TGCTTTGGGTGGACACTCAAATTTGCATACGAGCAGCCTCGAGACAAAGGAAGGATTCGCGCTCAAACTTTCCCCTGAAATCATTTGTCAGAATGCTGAACGGATTGTCACGTGACCCGCAGGAATAACCAGACTTCTCCCCAAACATCCTGCAGAGTAGTCCGAACAAAGAACCCATCAAAACATGGCCCCTTGGAGGGCCACGCGGCTTTCTAAGCCGCATGGACTTTTCCCGCCACATTTTCCTTATTTTCCGGCAAAGTAAACTCAGTTTAAAGTTTGCGATCGTAGTCGTCCAAACTGCATTACAAACTCCACGCATCAAGAAGGACATCAAAAGGAGTTTTCATCACGACGGAAGAGACTCGCATAAAAAGAGAGACCTCCAGACATGAAAGTCCAGGTATTTTTAGTTATGCGATTAAGCTGTGCCCCTTTTATCAAAAAAAGGTGTTTTTGTTTTTATAATCTTGGTGGTCCTTAATGGTGCGTGTGGAACTGAAAGTTTTGTCACTCCTCGCTTTACTATTTCTCTTTGTTGTTACACGTTCTATAGACCCGATATCTCCACGTGTTTTACCTTTGTTCTATGTTTAATGTTATGTTTGTGCGTTGTTCGTTATCTTTCTGACTAGTCAATGAATCCTATTATAATCAAGTGAATTGTATTGTTTGCCTCACAAGAAAATGTCACTGAAATACAGATTCCCCTGCCTAGCTATTATAAGTTGATTAAAACTTATGAATGATTAATCTACTTCACAAGAAGTAGCAATTAAATTCCCTTTTTCTAAATGAATAGATGATTGCCGTGGCCCCTCGGAAGAGCGGCGCCTCTGCTTGTGTTTGTTTGGCCAAATTAACAATAAATTGATCCAGAATATTAATGATTAATAATAATTCGTTATTGTTGATAATTAATATTCATAATCTGAGAGTCCGCTCGGTCGAGCGGGCAGGATCATATACAAGCATATGTTTGTTTGATCAAATTGACTGAAGCTTAAGCCGGAATATTAATAAGTAAGAATAAACCGTTATTGTTGATTATTAATATCCATAAAATGAGCTAATTTCTGTTACAGTTGTTTTTGAACCCAAATGAGGACTAAATGTATGATGTGTGTCATTTATTTGTAATTGGTAACATTTTTGAGAATTGTAAGGGGCTGCATGTGTTCATATATGTTGCATTTATTTATTTATTTATTTAATATAATTGCAGACTTTACAGAAGGCTATTTCACACTATCATTGATTTGCAGTTATGATCAAATCCTGTTCATAGAAAGGATAGTAATGAACATTTACACAAGTATTTATGTGTATAAAGCATCTGTTTTGTGAGAAGTGCTTCTCAAATGATATGTGAACGAACCGTATAGCTTTACTTTGACATTTTCTCGAGCAGGAATGATGCTGTCTAAAACTTTCTTGTGTACACCACGCCCACCAAGAGTACCATTAGTACCCTTTTAGCAGTGGAAACGCAAGCCTGATAAAGGTGACCCATACTGACCTGTACCATACTGTACTGTACCACTCAGTTGAAACGGGCCATTAATCAACAGAGAAGTAAATTGCAAACTCACTCATGAGAATTGAATCAAACTGATGCTTTCATGTGTCATATGATTAGCTGTTTGCTGTGTTGAACTTTCAGCTGCTTGTAATCAAAAAAATAATCAAAAACTTTGCAATTGACAGAGAACACTAATGTATTAACACTGGGTTTGTACCATGAAGCTGGATTAGCTGGCTAGCCGGTTAAGTTTCAGTATATTTTGCACCAATCTTGGGTTTCAGGTAACCTGAAGGCAGCTCAACGCTAGTCCCTCTTTGTCGCCATGGTATGGAGCAGCTGAGCTACCTTCTTGGTACCTTAAACCCACATGTCGTGCAAACTAAACTGACACCTAACTGCTAGCCCACTAATTTGGCTTCATGGCATAGATCCCTTCATAATCAGGTTGCATTATTTCTATTTGTTTTGTGCAACAGGCCTCTGATGACTAGGCTCTAAAATCTGCACGCATAGAAATCCGCAGATTTCTACTGATTTATTCCATTATTGAGTCTTATATATCTATATATCTCTATCTCACACACACACACACCAAAATCTGGGTTTTTGGTACTGTACCATGAAGGTAGCTCAGCTGCTCCATACTATATGATATACGTTTTATGTTAATTTTCTTAGTATTACTGGTTAATATGCAAATGTTTATTTAATTTATTTACAATAAAGTTTGTAAAGTAATATTTTCTGTCTTTCAGTAGATATAGGAGGCTTTTCTTCTACAAGTGGATGAATAATGGATTTGCATTATAAACCTTAAATAAAAGTAAAAAGTTATTACTTTATATATTTATATATTACATATTTATAATATACTCTCAAAATCATTCCACTAACATTTTTGAAAAACATTTGCGCAGAAGAATACTAATAACTTCTTTTCTGTTTGAATAGGAGCTGATAATGAGAATTAATGTATCTTTAGACTTTCATTATTACTCAATGCCTCTTTAAAACAAGCATATTATGATAATTATATCTTAGTCTACATTTTTTCTTCACGCTTGTTTCACAGATGACTAATGTGTCAGTTGCAGCCTTTGCTGCAAACATTTGAATTAATGAGATGCATTTGTTTCATCATTATAGAATGTGGAGTTGCAGCATTTGGCATTTTATTGGACAAGATTAATGGTTGAGATTGATTTAAATTAGTTAAATGTGTAATAATATAGTCAACAAACGAACACAATTAATAATTTCCCCTAATGGAACATGAGATTTTCTTTTGAATATTTTAGGATACTCCACTTTAAACCTGTTTAATATCCACCTATCCACTTATCTATCTTTTCTTGTCTGTTGATTCATCTGTTCTGGTCTATTTGCATTGTTTAGCTTTTTTTAGACTTGTCAACCTGTACATGTCTAACTCTAACTATCTACATCTCTTCTTGTTTACAATCAAACTCACCAGATTTTAATCATCAGCTCATTATTAGAGACTGAAAGACAGGTATTCCAAAACATGCAGAGTTGGTGGTCCATTTTTCACAATTTTTGAATCCATTCTGCCAATCTCCAGTTTTGGGTGGAGCGCTTTTAGCTTAGCATAGCAAAAATCCTTGACTTGGTCTGACTGGACCATTAGCATCTTGCTCAAAAAAGTTTTTCCAAGTTTTTCTAAGGTTTTTAAAGCAGGGGTGACCAAACTTGGTCCAAACACAGGGCTGGTGTCCTAGAGAGTTTAGCTCCAATCATAATCAAACACACCTGAGCAGGCTAATCAAGCTGTACCATGGCTGTGGCAGGCGCACTGATATTACACAGAACAGTTACCAGTTACTATTTTCAGGTACTGCATAATATAATTGCACCTGTTGCAGTACAGCAGAAAAGTTCCTCGTTCCTAAAAAAATCCTTAAAGTCAGCTGTTTAACTCAAGATCCTGGAAAACTTAATTTAAACATTTTGTAAAGAGAAAATTTTCTTTATTTAAAATATAGTAAACACATACAAGTGATAGACTGGAGAAATAACACTCACAGCTTGTCGCGAGAATAACAAACAATAGCAGCCGATGATCTTTTAATAAAAATTTGTCTGCTTTCTACGCTTTCAGCTAAATGTTAGTCACTTGAATGCTAATGACTAGTCCTTCAAGTAGATCCAGTCTTATCTTTGTGAAAGAACTGTGAGCCTGCTCCTCAAAACACCACAAAATAATTTTATGGTGTGATATTTACAGTTGAAGTCAGAATTATTAGCCCCCCTTTAAAGTTTTTATTCTTTTTTTAAAAATATTTCCCAAATTACGTCTAACAGAGCAGGGAAATTTTCAATTTTTGGAGAAAGTCTCAGTTGTTTGTTTGTTCAGCTCGAATAAAAGCAGTTTTTAATTTTTTAAAAACTATTTTAAGGACAAATTATTAGCCCCTTTAAACTATATATTTTTTTCAATAGTCTACAGAACAAACCATCATTATAAAATGACTTGCCTAATTAACCCAACCTGCCTAGTTAACCTAATTAACCTAGTTAAGCCTTTAAATGTCACTTTAAGCTGTATAGAAGTGTCTTTAAAAATATCTAGTAAAATCTTATTTCCTGTCATCAGGGCAAAGATAAAATATATCAGTTATTAGAGATGAATTATTAAAACTATTTTGTTTAGAAATGCGTTAAAAAAACCTCTCTGTTAAACAGAAAATGGGGCAAAAATTAAAGTGGGGGGGGGGATTCAGTAGGGCTAATAATTCTGAAGTCAATTGTATATTTAGAATGTTTTTTATTTGATATTTTTATAAAACTATGAATGAGCAAATATCTTTGTCATATTATTCCAAACCTAAAAATGACTCAAATTAAATTCCACACTTTTCCAAACTGAGCAAGAACCTTGCTGTCCTTTAGTCTGTCAATCTTTACAATACATCTGTCTACCTGTCTTATTGTCCATCCATCTCTTCTTGTGATTCCATCGATCTATAACTGCCTATCTCTCTCTTTTCATCTGTGGATTGTCAAGGTCTGCCTATCTGCTTGTCTGTGAGAAATAATAAAAGCAAGTGCGTTTAAAACTACAGAAACTTTTAGTACTTGCTAACCTCTTTGGCAAATTATTATTATTTTATTTATCAACAAAAACTGTGAAAATGTCAGACACATCATGTCATGAAGGATCAAGTTTAACAGCCTAGTGCAGCAACTCCTCCACCCCAAACAGAAGCTGACAGCCGTACAGCCGCCGCTATTGTTTGAGAGCTCACCTTAGTTCCAGTAATTAACACCATATCTTCCCCATGGTTAGACACAGTGCCTCAACTTCGAGGAGGAGCAACAAATAAGATAGCTCCACACTCAATTACAGCACTTGTCAATCTGCAGGCGGCACTGTGGAAGCAGCTCTATGACACCCTTAATATGATGGAGATCTCAGCCTGCAGCACAATGAATACGGCCATCAATCAAACACACACCATCTTGATCCATTTAATGACATTGTGAGATACAGAAAATGACTTTTATTCACGCATTTTATGACATTTTCATACAAACCACATTCTTTTGGAATACAAGAAATCCCAACGGAAATGGTACCTGCGCTCTAAGTTGTTCTAAACACTCGATCCCTCGCTTCAAACCGTACGCTAGCTATTCAGAACAATAGTTAGACGTTAGATTCACTTTGACAAATTTCCTAATTTCAACCCAATGGACTGATGTCTTGGCGTGAAAGTATATGTGCAATAAGAAATCCCTTTTTATGCAGTATTTCTCTTCTCTTTTTTCATTAAAAAGGCAGTCGATGAAATGTACGGAACAGGAGTGATACACATGAATAATAGCTTACGATAAAAATAATAGTACCTATTTCCATTCTACTGGAAACCTGTGAACAGTCATTTGTTTAGGGTTCAGAACATTGGAAGTGCAAAACAGGAAAAAATGTAAAGAAATAAACTTGTTTTTGGCACATAATGGAGCTACTGGTCTGCATGAGACATATCATGACTCTTGAATAGTAATAATAATAATACAAATAATAATAATAAAAACAATTAAATAGCAATGAAAAAACACTAACATTTAAACAGTTTTAAGAAAACCATTTCAGGTTTACCCTGCAACTTTTCTTTCTAGGATTTTTTTGTTTTCTCTTTTAGCGTGTAGTACATATAAAAGTGACTGACAAACATACACACACACACACACAAAAACGTGCATTCGCACAATCTCTCTCATACAAACACACACACAAACATGCTAATATTTGCTAAGACGTGACCACTCTGTCACGCTCCCCAGGCCTACAGCCCAGTAAAAATACAGTAAATATATTTCTATATATTCTGATGAAATTGCATACATACACATACGTGTGCGCCCGTACTTCGGCGGGTACAAGTGTTACGTGGGATATTCTCTTTAAATATAAGCTCTGCTATGAGAACACAGTGGTCTGTCTAGCCCTGGAGTGCAATCGGAGAAGTTTTACTGTTTAAATACCAGGCTTTCACCTCATGCCATTGTCATACGCTCAGTGGATCTCCAAAGGCACTTCCATTTGGCCCGTAGAAACCGCTTAAGCTGCTGTCAGTCTCAGCTCAATAGTGAAGCACTACGATTCGAAGCAACGCTCACTTGACATCTACACAACTAACTTGGCCACCATAAAAACCACAAGACGAGGAGGATTCAGTCCTTGAGCTGATATGTGGGACAGGGTGGAAAGGGTGTCACGCATACCGTTTTGGGTACAAGGGGAAACTTCACATTCAGGCAGACGTTAAACAATTCACCGACTGATTGCTCTGTAAACGAGTGTCTTAAATGCAGCATTGCTAAAACTTTAACATGTCCCGTCAGGAAGACCAAAAGGAAATGAACAAATACTTCAGTGCTATCGTCCTCTGTCACACACACACACACACACACATACTTAAGACACTCATACATACATTTACAAATAAGAGTTACAATTAATAACGTAATAAAAATGAATATTGACAAAACAAAAGAATCACTATCTTAATGCAACGCTCGTAACGTTAGTGTACCTTTGCGTGTGTTGTAGTGTATAAAGTGTAGTGTTTGTAAGTGTCAGAGCCCTATGGAGAGCCCAGTGGAGTCCACAAGACTTTGCTCTGTTCCTGATCCACAATAGTCACGATCTGAGTGCAAATGTAAGGGAAGGTGCCTCCCTGAACGATACCTGTAAAAGAAAACAGGCAAAAACAGAATGAGTCACGCTGATTCACTCAATTCTTGTCACAGTTCAGTTCACATTTTTTAAAAAGCAAGTATTTGAAGTGGTATCTGACTGAAATGTGTGTATATCTGTGTCTGAGAGCATCTCTCTCTTTCTCTAAAATGTAACGACGTCAGAATACCCAGTATTTAACAGTTTTTCGCGATTCTGCAATAAATAATCTCATAAAGCATCAAATTTGAAAGCATATAATCAAATGAATTTTATTTCAGTTTGCAATTTATTGTTTTACATAACTTATAGATGATGCATACGCACCACACATGATGTATTTGATTGTCTCTCAAAAATGACATCTCACCTCCATCCCCACAATCCTAACATTACATGAATGTGGGAGAAAATTGTTTTTCAGCCTATGAAGTAATCAGACGCGGATGAATCTTCAAGCTAAATGCTAAATGCAAACATCCAACAATTTACTGAAAAGGTGTTTATTATTATTGAACTATAAATATTTTACCCTGTTAGTCTAGTTTAAATTAGGTACAAAAATAGTTACACTCTGGAACTTCGGAACAAAAAAAGTCTCAAATTAAAACTGCAATAATTCATTCCAGTGTCTAGTGAGGAAAAGGTCATGCATTTTGGCTATCTTTTTTTCCCATCTTCTTGTTTTAGACAGCAGGCCAAGTTAACTAAATGCTGTAATTATAATTATTAGAGTTTGTTTCATATGTCTGTACTCAAGGTTCCTGCAGGTTTCTCCAAGTCAAATTTAAGACTTTTTAAGACCCTTTTAAGACCATTATGAATTAAATTTTAATATATACTGTTTGATATACTGAATATGTCCCACAACAAGTGGCATTTTGGTTTACACTGTCAAGTCTTGATGCCCAATTTTTAGGTCTGTGAAATACATGCGAAGTTCATCCAACTTTAAAATGATTTTGAGGCGGAAGAGAAGGGAAAAAGCTGTTAACGCAGCTTGCGCCTATGATTTATTTATGGTGTCCTCCACCATTCAGAGGAATTTGTGGATTTGAGAGAGATCTTAGGTCTGGTGGGAGTAAATTGAAGTGACTGACCACTTTCCTCCATGTTTCCTCTGTTGTTGTTGTTTACCACATTAGTGCCTCCCCACATGCTCTTCCTTCTACATCATTAAACCGTGAAGTACAACATTGTCGTAAATTTAATGACGTACAAAACGGAATGATTCAATAAATCTGATCTGCCCGTTTACATGATTGTCACATATCCAATTTAGTTCCACATATGAAGGAGGCCTGAAACCCATTTCTGAATATCCGAATGCATATGTTTTTTTTAGTCATAGAACAGATCTGATCTGTGTTACAAAAAAAACGGGATAGGGTCGAATTTAACTCATTTAACAGTGTCACTAACTTAAACTGATTTGACATTTATGATGATTTTTTGAACTGATGTTTTTGTCCTCAATTATTTTCAAACCACACACAAGAGTCAAAAAAGTCCTGTTTGATATATTCTATTAGTAACATTCAACTTGGCCTTTTAATATTATTTTATTGGTCTTTTCTGTTGCTTCATTTTTAAATTTATTCTGTGTTTCTCTTGTCTTGGTTTATTCTCATGCTTTTATAATCTGTCTCTTTATTTTACCCTGTCTTATGTGCAGAACTTTGGTCAGTCTTGAGGCTGTTTTTAAATGTGCTTTATAAAAAAATGAACTTGAACATGAAATGAACATAATCCAAATCTGCTTCAAAACAATACAGCATTTTAAAGGGACAGTTCAACAACAGTGAAAACTCATCATTCACTTTTCACAAACCTGTTTGAGTTTTTTTTTTCTTCTTTTGCTAAACACAAATGAAAAGTACATTTGGACAAATACTGAAAACCTGAACGCATCAAATGTAATGTAATGCTTTGTTTGCCCAGCATCCTTTATTAACAAACATCAGCTAGTACAAAATGCAGCTGCCAGAATTCTGACCAGGTCTAGAAAATATGACCATATGACCCCAATTTTAACCTCCTTACTGGCTGCCTGTTAAGTTTCGTATTGATTTTAAAATATTACTTCTTACCTATAAAGCTTTAAATAATCTTGCTGCAGTTTATCTAACCAACCTCCTGTCTCGCTACAATACAAACCCGCTCCTTAAGAACTCAAAACTCAGGGCTTCTAGCAGTACCTAGAATAGCAAAATTGAGTAAAGGTATTCAAGCCTTCTCATTTATGGCTCCTAAACACTGGAATAGTCTTCCTGATAATGTTCCAGGCTCAGACACAATCTCACAGTTCAAAACTAGATTAAAGACCTATCTTTTTTAGTAAAGCATACACTAAATGCATCACCTAGCGGAATGAGCATGAATGTGCTCCACGCATCTCGTATACATACACTATGAACAGCAGCTGCGCTAATTATTCTCTTTATTCTCTATTTCCACCTGAGGATACTCATTCTGAAGACCCCTGAGATTATACAGTGCCACTGATCCGATCCAAGACCTGTGAAGAGATGATTCCATGCTTTTCACAATCCTGGACCAGGCCGTATCCTGAGCGACCGCTGTGGTGGTCATGGAGGAGTAGAGAGCATGCGTCTGATCCCTGTGACACTCCAGGGACAGCTGACGTCCAGCATTCTCCAGCCTCCGGCGCATGCAGTTTAAACCACATTGACCTGAACTGAACTACACTGAACTGAACTTAAACTCTGAAAACTGAACTGACACTTTCAATTCACAATGTGAAGCTGCTTTGACCCAATCCATGTTGTAAAAGCGCTATACAATAAAGATGAATTAAACTAAATTTAATCAACTTCCAATGATTTTGTTTTCCTACTATGGAACTCAATAGTTCTAACATTTTTCTAAATATATTTTGTATTCAACAGAAAAAAACTCAAATGTTTGAAATCATTATAAAGGGCCATGAAACCCCCCCATTTCAGCAGAATGTTTTCATACCACTAGTTTGGAAAAAGTCAGTAAAGTGGGTGTGTCTAGCTCTGTTTGGGTGGGAGTGTCGGGGGTGGGAAAATGGGCAGGGTTTGAATAAAAATGGGAGTTGCCATTTGGGCATGCGCTGAGGACAGAGGAAATACAAACACACACACACACGCAGGGGAGAAAGACGTTTAATGACGGTGAAATGTTTGATACTGCACGTCTGTAAAATACGACGAAAATTCAACACAACAGTCGGCAAAAGTTTGCTTACAGTGTTCACACACAGAGAGCAGCATTTACAGTTGATCTTTCAATATTTTAGTGGTATAAACGTACTGTAAACTAAGTAACTTAGAAATCATTTTCACTAAGGTCTGTCTTTAAACACTGAAAGAGTACAGCTGACCATACGAACTATAACTTTGCCATCTGAATGAACAAAGAAAGGGCGCTGATCGCACACACTTACCGAATCTATAGACAGGACAATCAGCTCATACTGGAGCTGCGTCTTTTTTAAAGGAGACGAGCAGTAAATCCGGTTCTCACCATTGATGAGAAATGCTCTCGAGTAAAAAATGTTCCAAACAAATGCATTTCTGCCACACGTCACGTCTACGGATCTAGCAGCGCGCTCATAGAGAGAAAATGAAAACAAAACCTTCACATTATGAAAGCAACACTGGCGACCCGTATCTCCAAACAATTCTTGTTCTTTCCCCACAGCTTTTGGCAACACGACGTGTGTCGTCTCTCTGCTGTCTGAACACTGTTTCAGGTATAGTCTAAAAAAGCTAGCATGCATATTAATGAAGTTGCAGCGCATACATAATAGAAAGCGCTGATTGGTTTGAACCAAGCCATACTCATGAATGAATGCAACATACTCAGAGACATAATACGGGACACTCTGGCACAAACGTCCAATCTGCACGCTGGAATACACGCTAAGATCTCATGGCCGTGACGCAGCTTCAAAAATTAGTTTCAAACCGGAAGTACGAATTTGCTCAAAATAACGCAAAAACAACCAATTTCACTTTTTAGTGAAATATATGTGTCCTAATAGCAGTTAATTAATTAGCAGTGTGGGACACATACGACTGTCAACAGCTCAAAAAATGTGTTTTGGTGTTTCGTGACCCCTTAAGATGAGTAAATAATGAGTAACTTGTAATGTTTGGGCGACCTATCCCTATAATATTATAACATACTGTATTATGCAGACGAGAAGGCAAACCTGTGAAGAACTTGCTGTAGTCTTGCTCAATCTTCTGTGCAATCTCAAACTGCTCCTTGGAATGTTTTTGAGAGACTTTATCCCGCAGATAAATCGGGTCCTTCTGCTCTCTACACACAGAAAAACAGAAACACTCATTCAGAGTTCACACAATTACATTACAAGAATAAACTACAACCAGGCCTGTCACGGTAAATATTTTTTTGTGTGCAATATATTGTCATAGAAAAGATTGGGATAAGTGATATTATTGTCATTTTAATGCCTGTGTTTATGCAATGATCATACAACAGCATAGGCTGTAAATGGGCATGAACACTTTAGGACACAATAGGACAAAAAACAAACAAAAGTTAATGTAAAATGGCTCAAAAGTTATTTGTGAACAATCACTTATCTGGAAGTGGACTGCAGCTTTAAAATAGAGCTCAGTTGGACGTAAACAGTTTTTGGGAAAATGTCAAAATTGACCTGTTTTTACCTGTTAGAAAGCATTCCTTAACCATCCTGAACTCGCTGACACCATGTACATAAACATGATGAAAGATATATACTGCATCACCAAAATGTATTCAGGTGACATCCATATATTGGAAGTTAAGTGTATTATATATATACAGTTGAAGTCAAAATTATTAGTCCCCCTTTTGATTTTATTTCTTTTTTAAATATTTTCCAAATTATGTTTAACAGAGCAAGGAAATTTTCACAGTATGTCTAACAATATTTTTATTCAGTTAACCTTGTTTAATATATTATTTTAGTTTAGTTTAGTTTAGTATATATATATATATATATATATATATATATATATATATATATATATATATATATATATATATATATATATATATATATATATATATATTTTAATGAGTCATGAGACTGTAGCATTCAAAATAAACTCCAGATGCACCTTTTCACTTTTACTCTGATGAAAGCAGATCTCAGCCGAAACGCAGTTTTTTTTTTTGAAGATTAGCCATAAGATTACAGGTTTTTAATACTTTTTTTCCAAAATTTTTTGAGTGCCTTGGACTGATTTCTGCTATGAACTAACACTTTTAGGTTAATAAATACTTATCACCTGTTTATTAATAGTTAATAAGGTAGAAGGTAGGTTTAGGTTTTGGGTAGGATTAGCGATGCAGAATAAGATCCTACTTTAACTACTACTAATGAACAGTTCATATCCTAAAAACTAGTAGGTAGTTAATAGCATGATTTGTTACCTAAAATAAATTGTTTAAGCAATAATGCACAAATATATGAACACACACACACACACACACACACACACAAACACACACACACACACACACACAAATTCCACCAACGCATTTGAGTACATGAATTACACCATACAGAGGCTGAATGAAAATCCTGGCTATATATAGCTTCATTTTATACTCGCACAGAATCCAGAATATCATGAATATTTAATAAGCCACACAATCCTGGTACATATATGTGTTTGTAAGAGATTTCATCGAAAGTATAAAAAAATGCATGTGCAAGTCATAGTACAAGCCATGATGTCATCATTGTTATCACACTAACAACTGCAGGACAGATTAACTCAATATGCTTTTGTATGGAGTAAGGTGCTTGTGAGCAGGTCAAAGACAGCCTGTATTTATAATCCCCATAGTGATTTTCTAATCCTTCAGGGAAATGGCCAATTTAAAAACCTCTGCTGGGACGACTTTGCACCATTAGCGCTCTGACTACTCTTCAAGGAAGTGTGGAAAAGACCTCAAGGCGCCGTTATGCAGAGCTATCAGAAGAATAAAGCTGGGATTTATTGTCCTTTTAAGTCTCGCGCCCCTAGAGAGCTATCAGTACAGTAGGCTGTGAACCCAGGATATGCATATTAGCGGTCTGGAGTAGATTTTATATTATGCCTCTTTTCATAAGATGTAAAATAAATCTCTAGTGTCCATTGAAAGTGTCTGTGAAGTTTCAGCTTGAAATACACACAGATCATTTATTTGAGCTAGTCAAATTTGCCCCATTGAGCATAAGAAAAAACATATAACTTTTGTATGTGTGCCTTTAAATTTAAAACATTTAAAAATAAACCATTTCTAAAATATGAAGTCTTTTGGTTATGAAGATGGAGCATGAAGTGTTAGTATTGAGTCATCTTTTAGAAGCAAGTGTTGAACTGACCCCTCATTAGTGATGCAGTCTGGCACAAAATAAAGCAGTGAGCTCACTCTGCTTAATGAAGCCACAGCTTCATGGGTTTATGGCTTTGATAAAACAGTTATTTCATTTAAATAGTTTATGTTCATAGAAAAACAAAGCAAATAATTTTGTTTTGTCCCAGTACTGAAATGGTTGCCAAGCAACAGTCTCGGATGTATGTTGTAGAGTATTTTACAACAGCTTGCAATGCAACTGAGCCAATCAGAATAAATAACCAGAACTATCAGTTTCATAAAATATTTTGAGCCGCATTCAAAGCTTAAGTAAAATACTATTAAAACCTACACTGAAACCTGATATCTGTTGCATGGCAACCATTCATTTATCAGTACTGATTGAAAGAAAAAAACATTACTTGCTTTGTGAAATATTTGGAATTTATTTATATGCTATCAAATATTTTTATTGCTTTTGTAACATTTGGCATAACCAGTTTATAAAAGTAATAAACCCCAAAAAGTTGCGGTTTCCACTACCTGACAAAAAGTCTAGTCACCTATCTTTGTGACCTATAAGTTTTAGGAAAAACAAATAATAACTTCTAGTTGATCATTTGGTATTAGAAGTGGCTTATATGAAGCAGGACTGCGTGACAGAAAAAGGGTAACCTAGTTTCTGCTTTCACTCACCCAAAACATGCTCTGTTTGCACGATTTGATTAATATCATCACATCAAATTACTTTATAAATAATATTTCAAACCTCCTCTGGTGTTTATTGTTTTTAGAAAATATCTAAAACATTTTTTTAGAGATGCCTTTGTGAAACGAAAGTTTAATATGGCTTTAAAACGGTTTGATTAATGTATTTTATATACCTAAATTGTTATAGCTAGCTTTTGTTTGTTTTATATTAGTTTATTTATTTAAAGCGATTTTATTATATCCGATATTTGTAATTCTTTAAATTATTTCAATATAGCTTATAGGCTATTTTATCGAGATATGACACTTTTGTTTTGAGCCTACAAAAGTGGACCCGTAATTTGTAAAGTATGTATTTCTGCTGTATTCATATTGTGTATTATCTCCAAAATAAATAAAATCAGAAAAAAAAACGCTCGTGGCATCAAGAGAGCTGTGAAGGAAGCGCTCTTTTGCTCGCTCTCACATTCACATACAGGAATCTAAACGCGCACAAACACACCTTTTAAACTTGACAAAAAAACTCTTGAAAACTTTTACTGGTTGCTGTGTCTTTAATGTAGTGTAAAGATTATTATGCGTTATTGAAACATCAAGGAGGATGGAGCAAAGTCACTTATAAATTAAAACTTTATTATTTTATGCAACAGCCTTGCATTTAAAGGGAAACATAAGGGCGATCATAAGCAACAAAACCGCAGTCTATAAGGCAAAATGTTTTCTTTCCCTTATTTATTTGTTTGGCGCATTTAATCATGTGCGATCAGAAAACTAGTGTAACCCTCTCCTTTCACTTTGCCCCGAAGCCCTAGCTGGCCCACTTTGGCCCAAGGTATTCGGTGGGACGAAAAGGGCCAGCCGCTGGCCCCGAGAAAGCCCTGCTTTGGCTTGATTAGGCCATAAAAGTGACAGTGGAAATGCGACTGGCCTTGGCTCACCCTGGCTCGCTCGCTTTAGGCACGATAGTGGAAACACGGCTAATGTAACCCCAAATCATTAATTTTTCCTTCACCAAATTTGACTGATTTCTCTAAGAATCTTGGGTCCATGCGGGTTCCAATAGGTCTTCTGCAGTATTTCTGAAGATTGGGATGCAGTTTAACAGATGATTCATCAAAAAAATCTACCTTCTGACACTTTTCCAACTGATCAACTGGAAGTCAAGTTATTATTTGTTGCTCCTACAACTGGAATCGACGACAAGACTTTTGTAAGGTAGTGTACAATGGATTTTAGTTTTACAGAATTTATAAAGGCTAATGAGGTTTGAAGCACTCGGTTTCACATCTTGCCTGACAACACCCCTTTGCTGTTATAAATTCATGGCAAGCCACAACTTCATGGGCTTTTGCTTTGATAAAACAGTCAATTCATTTACATAGTTTATGTTCATAGTAAAATGAAGCAAATAAAAACTGTTTTTGTCCCAGTACTGATAGGGAAGTGGTTGCCAAGCAACAGTCTAAGATGCAATCCGACTAAATAAACAGAGCTATCAAAAAATAAAATATTTCATAAAATATTTTGAGCTACTTTCAAAGATGAGGTAAAATTTTATAAAAACATAAACCAACACATGTTGACTGTTGCTTGCAAAACATTTCTTTACTTGTACTGAGCCAAAGAAAAGCCATTATTTGCTTTGTGAGATATATAGAATGTGTATGTTATTGAATATATTATTTGTTTTGTGTAATATATATGGAATAACCGGTTTATAAATGCAATAGGTCCTAAAATGTGATGCTTTCAATGACTTTTTGTTTTACAGCATTTATGCACTCCACTTTACATCTTTCCTGACAACACCCCTAGCTGTTATAAACTCACTGTAAACCCCTGTATTTTTATGACATTCTGATATGTAAATATCTAACCTGACATTCTTTGGCACATTTCCTTCAAAAACCACATCCATTTAATAATTTTACAATGTCCTGAGTGACTTGGATGTTGGGAGTCTATATATGTCCTCATATGTTCACTAGTAAGGCTGATGCTTAAACTTTCGCCTGGCGCCACATCGAGCTCCTCGCAAAACAGACGAGTGTTTTATACTTGATACGTGGACATTTTTTTTTAAATGACAGGGGGCGGTCAAACCAACCGTAAAATCAGATGGATAAACATAGATGTAGGAAGTTTCCATCATATCATTAATATCGTTAAAGATTTTTAAATCAATCTTTGATGCATCACTTGCTTTTGTTCATATGTCGGACAGTTCTACCTATTGAGGTTTATTAACATATTAATAACAACAAAACATTATTAAACTAATTAATTAATAAATTAATTGTGCAAGTCATGCCTTAATGAAAAATCTAATATATATTAAAAACGTGTACTTTATTTACAAAGTATATAGTAATCTACAGTGTGTTATATTTACTATGCCTATGTGTGTGACATAATACATACTAATATACAAACAATTCTGGCTGTTAATTAAAAATCACAAAGATTAAAGAAAAATCACAGTTTTACCTTGCTAAATAATTAGAAAAAAAAAAAATCACAATTCACACATTACTGTCTGGCTAGATTGTGTCATCTGCCTATATGAAAAGAAGGCAATAATAGTCTGACATTCCTGACCATTATCACCAGTAAAGCCCAGAAAAATAGGGCATGGGTACATTCAGGGTTTCTGGAGGTTTCACCAAGTTAAATTTAAGACTTTTTAAGACATCTTTAAGACCATAATAAATGAAAATTTAGACTCATAAAGGGCAAAAAAGCTAAGGAATTTTATAAATGGCCCAGATGGAAGAGATTTTTATTTGCAAAAACATTATAATTTAATACATTTGATAATGCAATATATATATGCTTATATACATATTCCATAGCAAAATATTTTAAATATTGTGTAAAAACAAGCAAGCTCTACTTGTATCAATACAAAAATCTTTAAAAAAAGAAAAAAAAATCTTTTAAAAGTCTTAAAGACTATAATAAACTAAATCTATGCACAACAATTTGTCCAGGTCTGTAAAAACATAGAGCACTTTTAAAAAAAATGTTATTGTAAGGAAAATAATTAAACCATTATGATAAATAGAGTTAAAATGTACCTTTTAAATAAAAAGTAAAACATTTTATTGAGATGGAATTTTGGTGATTGTATGGGTTTTGGCCGGATTGGGTAGCAATGCATGAACAAAGGAAAATTAAGACTTGTTTAAAAAAAGATTTAAGACCGACAACACCATATTTCAGTAAATGTAAGACTTTAAGGCCTAAAATTTTGATTTTGGGATTTAAGACATTTTAAGACCCTGCTAAAACCCTGATATTGTACACTAATAGGTTAAAATTTTCCTTTCCAGTTATCAAAGAAATATTTTGTTGCCTAATTATAGTTTTGTAACTATTAAACAGTTTTAAATTAAAAACTGTAATATATACATTAGCGTAAACCAATAAATGATGAAAAATATATATTTTTCTGTCATTGTGTATCAAAACCACCTGGGTCTCCTTTTTTGCCATAGCCTCTCCTTTTGGCTCTAACTAACTTATTCCTCAAATTTTTCCAAACTGTTTTACAAAAATATTGTCCTTTCCCACAGCTGTTGCAATTTCAAGTCACAAATTATTGGTCATCTTGTTATCCCTATGATCATACGTGGACAGATCATAAAGATGTGTGTACAGTCGTACCCGTTTCAGAAAAAATCTCTTCAAATTGATTCATATTCAACTCAAATGAAATGTGGCGCCACGCAAATTGTTCTCTTGAGTCTTAGGGTGCTTTCACACCTACACTTTTGTTTCGGAACGTGTCTCGATTGCCCAGTTAGCGCGGTTCGTTTGGCATATGAGAACAGGGCAATCGCGCTCTGTTCCGTGCCAAAGTAATCGCTCCGAGATCGCTTGAATGAGGTGGTCTCGGCTCGATTGAAACGAACCCTGGAGCGGTTCGATTACAGTGAGAAAGCGATCCGATCTGAGCGCGGTTATATCACAGTGTTTTATGGATATGTAATAGGCATACGGCTATATGAAGAGAGAATTATGAGTATGGCGGGAAGTTTCGCGAGTCTCCGGATGCCCGCAAACGAGTGATGATCTCCCGGTAATCTCGTGTCTCCCTCCCGGTCCTCAAATAGGCTACGTCGCGCACCCTTCTCACCCCTCCCCATCGCATCTCTTCTCAGACACATCGCGCGCGCGCGCGCACCCTGTCAATCACCACCAAACCACCACCTCTCCTAACAGTTTAGCGGGACGCTGCAAAATAAACCCTGACACTCTGACCAATGTGAGGAGAGTTTACTCGCACGTGACTTGTTTTAGCTATTTTGGTTCGATTAGAAACTTTGCAATGTGAAAGCGAACCGCTCCAAGAGCAAAGAGCAACAATGTAACAATTGTAATCTCTGTTTCGGAACAACTGAATCGATTCAAAGGTGTGAAAGCACCCTTAAAAAATTTCATTAGCTCCGCCAGCCAAAATAATGTCGCACACACATGATAAAATGACATCACATTCTTTGCATGCACTCAAGCAAACACATTAAGTAAAAAGCAGCCTGTACATTGAACAACAAAACATTTGTAATGTTTTTTTTTCCGAGTACCAACATCTCTATCTGCTGCAGCCAGTCTCTGGGTTGGTAGATGCATCAGGGAACCTATTATAGCAATCAAACATGGAAAAATCAAATTCTTGTGACATATCCCCTTTAACTGAGCCTGTCTGATAAACCAGGTCTGGAATCTCACAAAGTGACCTTCAGCAGACAACCAAAGAAGGAGGCACAGACAGAAAGAGTGAAGCGGCTGCCTACGCTGCCATATATCTTGTCCTATATCTATATAAAGGGAGACAAGATATTCATCCGTTTAACAGCAGTTCTTCCAAGTCAAACGCAGCCTACACAGTAAAACTGCTTTCCATTTCCCAAATGTCTTCAGGGCCCTGGGGGAGCGCACAGGAACTTCTTGGCATAAAAATGTGCCAAGAAGGCCTTGAACAGAGTGTGTGCGCGTGTATGTGTGTTTGGAAGGGTCCACAAGGACATCCAAGAATTCAGTTTATGATTATTTTGATATGTATGTGTTGAGGAGGATGTGAAAACTTACTTTATCTGCTTTGCGTTTTTGTAGCGTATGAAAATGACGATTGGGTAAATGTGAACGCTGTGAAGCCTTTCAATAGCATGAGGTGCAATGTCAAGCAAACAGTGACAGTCCTATGAGAGAGAACAACATGGCACAGAACAGAGTCATGTTACACATATACAGCACACGCCAACAGAGAAACAACAGCAAAGCGAAATCAACAAACATTAACAATGCCTCTTGATATTATTCTATTTAAAAGAGATTTATCTGACTATTAAAGGGATAGTTCACACAAAATGATAAAATAGCTTAATTTAGTCAATTCAGGCAGAAAAAAATATTTTGAGAATTTAGTATTTTTTCCATTGTTTTTAGCTTTAGAGAATAAGAAAAAAAACTAATGAAAAATTACACTTTATTCATATGTTTTGCTATGACTACTGGAATTGACATCAGGGCTCAAATAATTGTTTTAGGTGACATAAGTGAAGTTTATTCATAAACCAATTTCGAGAGGAGCATGTGATTATGATTGAACACGGCTGGTTCTGCATTAGCATGCATGATCCACCAATCAGGCCATTCCTAACCCACTATAAAGAGCCAGGGTTTTTTCACTACAGTCATCTTCGATTTGAAGAATCCCCCCTTCCACCCCTACCTTTTCACCTTTTCCTCCATAGGGCAGCACGGTGGCCCAGTGACTAGCACTGTCGCCTCACAGCAAGAACGTCACCGGTTCTAGTCCTTTAACAGGCCGGTGGTCGTTTCTGTGTTTAGTTTGCATGTTCTACCCGTGCTTGCGTGGGTTTTCCCCGGGTTCTCCAGTTTCCTCCCACATTCCAAAAACATGCACAACAAGTAAATTGATAAATCTAAATTTGCAATTCAGGTAATCTTATAACACAGCATATCTTGTAATAGCATTCAATTTTTAGTCATCAGCTCTTATCAAGGGGGAGTTGTCGAGATCTACCTGAGCTCAAGGCTCCCCTCTCTTCCTCCAAACGGGAGGGAGCCCAGGGCTCAAGAACCTTCGAGCTCAGGGCTCTCTCCCGGGACAGCATGCCAAACTTGCTTATAATCAATCATCAGCTAAGTGTGAACTCTTGAAAAGGAGATTAATAGGCAAAAACAAGTATTTTTGTTTTTAGAATTTTTTTCATTCCAAAGATTATCCTCAAAAAAAAAAAAGAGTTTATAGCAGGGGTGCGCAAACTGTTTCTTATAAAGGGGCAAAAACCAAATTTGGAGGGGTGTGGGCCAAAGGGAAATATACCAAACTCGATTGAATCAAAGTTTCCATGGGTAATTCCCTAACATAAAAAAAATAATTGTTTTAAAATACACTTACCAGTCACTTTATTAGGTACACCTGTCCAACTGCTCGTAGAGCAAAATTATAATCAGCCAATCACATGCCAGCAATTAAATGCATTTAGGCATGTAGACCTGGTCAAGACGATCTGGTGCAGTTCAAGCTGGGCAAGAGAATGGGGAAAAAAGCCCAACCATCTCTAGGGTTTACAGAGAAGTCTGTAAAAAATATCCATAAATATAAAAAAATATATATCCAGTGAGCGGCAGTTCTGTGGGCACAAATGCCTTGTTGAAGCAAGAGGACAGAGTAGAATAACCAGACTGGTTTGAGCTTATAGAAAAGCAACATTAACTCAAATAACAACTCGTTACAACTGAGGTATTCAAAAGACCATCTCTGAACGCAAATGTAAAAAAAAATAAAAATAAAAATGAAAAATTACCCTTTATTCATATGTTTTGCTATGACTACTGGAATTGACATCAGGGCTCAAATAATTGTTTTAGGTGACATAAAAGGAGATTAATAGGCAAAAACAAGCATTTTTGTTTTTAGAATTTTTTTCATTACTAAGATTATCCTTAACAGAAAAAGAAAGTTTATAGCAGGGGTGCGCCCAGACTGGTTTCGAGTTTATAGAAAAGCAACATAAACTTAAATAACCACTCGTTACAACTGAGGTATGCAGAAGACCATCTCAGAACGCACAACATGTCAAAGATTGAAAAAAATATTGCCTGGTCTGCTAAGTCTTGATTTCTACTGCGACATTCGGATGGTAGGGTCAGAATTTGGCATTAACAGCATGAAAGCTCTATCTATCCTGTCTTGTATCAATGGTTCAGGCTGGTGCTGGTGGTGTAATGGTGTAGGGGATATTTTGTTAGTACATTTTGGGCCCATAAAGTACCAATTGATCATTGTATCAATGCCACAGCCTACCTGAGTATTGTTGCTGACCATGTCCATCCCTTTATGACTACAGTGGCTGCAGTGGCTTCTGATGGCTACTTCCAGCAGGATAAGGCAGATGTCATAAAATGAGAATCATCTTAGACTGGTTTTTTGACATTGACAATTAGATCACTGTACTCAAATGGCCTCTACAGTCACCAGATCTCAATCCAAAAGAGCACCTTTGGGATGTGGTGGAACAGGAGATTTGCAACATGGATGTGCAGCAGACAAATCTGCAGCAACTGCGTGATGCTATCATGTCAAAATCTCTGAGGAATATTGCCAGTACCTTGTTGAATATATGCCACAAAGGATTACTAGTAAGGTGTACGTAATAAAGTGGCCTGTCAGGGTATACTCTATTTTTTATAATTAACTTATTACAGTAAAAATATAAACAATCCATTTAATAACACAATGGAGTTAGCTAAATGCTAAATACACTAAGCTGCAGCATTTACATTATTAAAAGATCAGACTCATTTAGAAAACGAAACCAATTCCAAAAATAACAAACAAAACTTTTCATTATATTCGAAATGACAATCGCTGTCAAAGATATTCAACCCAACCCCCTCCCCAGCCTTCTCCTGCTCTCTTCTTAAATGGGATTGTAGTCCAAATCAAAGGTTAGCATGGGCCAACTATTTTGGAATCTCTATTCTTAAAGGTGTTATGAAAGACATAACAGAATGATTTCATATACCATTTTGCTTTATAAAGTATGTGAGTAAAATGGATATAAGACGGTTTTCCCATTTCAAACAATAGAATCATACACTGTACATTTGACTTTTTTTTTTTTTTTTTTGACTGTCAAAACATTATTAGCTATTTATAACTAGAATTTTCTCTTATGCTTTACTTAGATGCTCTATGTATGAGAAAACTAAGAGCAAAATACATTTTTGGGTGAACTATCCCTTTAAGAGCCATATCATCTCAACTCAAAACGAATGTGGCTGTGGTAAGCAGAGGTGTGCACAAACCTTGTCCGTGATTTCATTGATTGAGGCAACAGTCGTCACATCAAAATGGCCACTCCTTCGTTTGTAGTCGATGAAGAGAAAGTCTTTGACCCCACGCTCAATGGCCTGCTGAGAAGCCTTCATCACCTCTGGGAGAGCACAACAAACAAAGTTCAGCTCACTCATATTCAACCACCATATTCAATCGACTGTAGCACTACTGAAGACTGTGGTCTGTCGTTACAACCAGTTTTTATGAGATTAAAACTATCAAACAGTAATATTCAAGTGCACATTTCCCATTTCTAGATATAAAAATCATTTCATTTATAGACATTTATTTATAAAGTTTAGCATTAAAAAAAAAGTTCACCCAAAAACAAAAATTTACTCTCCTTCAAGAGTTTTGAAGCTTGAAACATGAATTTCTTTCTTTATTTTTTGTTTAACACAGAAGACATTTTCAAGAAAGCTGAAAACCTATAACGATTGACTTCCATAGTAGAAAAAAAACAATGGTGGAGTCAATGGTTGCAGGTTTTCAGCAATCCTTTAAAGTATCTTCTCTTGTTTATAAAAATAATTTTTTTAAGCTTTGAAACAAGTGAAAAGTGAGTACATGATGACAATTTTTATTTTTGGGTGAACTGTCCCTTTAATATAATTATTACCAACTTTAATCAAATCAATGTTTTTATTTATTTATATTTTGAAATGGAAGTTTCGACCGATTTCAATATTGATGTATTTATAAATGAAACAGAAAACTGAATAATCTCTCACTCAAAAGGGAAGTCTTTCCAGCAAAAAAGCAAATGTTCAGATTTTGATTAGACATTGCTAAAGTTAAATTAAAGTTAAATAAACTTTACAAATAAACACTGGATCATTATCATCATAATCATCATATCATTACGTGTGATAAAGATTTTTTCACACTTTTTTTTTGCCTGAATATTTAATTTAAAATAAAAGTCATCCAAAACCACACTGTGAAATCAGAACATGGAGGCAGTAATTGGATACCAAACTGACTAGGTAGCTATGTTTATTTAGTCTTAATTACCCATTATTATTCCATTTATTAGCTTTTAATGATACTGTGTGCAATAAAATTGTAAAAATTACTTTGTCAGATCAGGATGAGAATTTACTAAAGGCAATATGATGTTTGCGTATTGCAAAAAAGGCGGGATTAAACAAAATGATTAGACATTTAAAAAAGCGAGCAATTGGTTCATATTTTACATTTCTGTTCAGAGAGGTCATGTTTTGATCTTCGATTGGTCTCACGCAGTCAAGATTGATGCGATTTCGCAGGTCATAGTTCACCAAGCTTGAACTTTGCAACGCAGTAAACTGCAAAACTTGTTTTCAGTGTGATGCATTCGCGTATGTATGAATGAAAGTCTATGGGGAGAAAAGTGCAGTGTGACCAAGGCTTAATGGCAAAACGTCTTAATTCTCATAATAAACGCGTACCCTGACCTGACACGGGAGAAAAGATGTAGATAAACAAATCATATTTACAGTTTTTTTGGCACAAAAATGTGTTCTTGGAGGTTCATATAATTACAGTTGAACCACATAAGTCACAAAAACAATGATCATTTTGATAATGTTTTTGGTTCCTTTACTGGACTTTGAACATCTCAGGATTTTTCTTTACCTAAATAATGAGGGCGCTCTTGGATTTGATCTAAAATACCTTAATTTGTGTTCACAAGATGAACAAAAGGTTCAGGGCATTAGAATAACATGAGGGAGAGCAATAAATAACAGAATTTTCATTTTTGAGTAAACTTATTTTTTACTAATGAGAACTATTTACTATTCACATCCTACATTGTTTATTATTTCTAAAGTACATTAAGATCTTTAGTTATGACTAAGTACAGCACTTCGCAATTACTATGTAATTACCATATAACCGTAATAATTACTATTAAAACCGAGTATGTGATAGCATTGTTCATTATAAATGTCTATGCGGTCTATAGAAAATACCCTTTAAAAAAAATTCTTTGCTTAAAGAAATTGCATAAATTATTTTTGTAGCGGTAGCAAACTTTTGATCAATACAACCATCTTAACATATTATTTTTATACCTGAATTTTTAGAGTAACATAAATCAGACACGTCAGTACTGGGACAAACAAACCATGTGGACATTTACCAAGAACACATCTGCTGAATTTCCCTGGAGAATCTTTGACCAGCATGTCTTTAACAGGATCCACAAGCGGGCCGAGGATCAGCACAGGTCTGGGAGATGTGCAGTCAATCTTCTGCACTCTCTGATAAGCCAGACTCACACAGTCTGACAAAAAAAAATACACAGAATCAACTTCAAACTAATCAAAATGATAATTTCAGAAACACTGTATTGCCAGAGATTCTCACCGTCTAAGAAAGGAATTGAGTCTGTGCTGATGGCGTCCAAAGCCACTACGTCTTTCCCGTCTTTGGAGCTGCTGCGTTTGTGCTTGTGTTTCCTGCGGAAGAAGGATCTGCGTGCAGCAGCCGAGAGGGTTTTACTGGAGCCCGTTTCGTCCTTCAGTTCAGTCATACTGTGTCTACGGTAAAACTCCTGATCCATCCTATATGGCAACATGAGTAATGGTTACACAACTGCCTTTCTGAGTCTTCTGTATGTTTTCATCAGATTAGCTGTGGCAGATGCGTTACTGCCAAATCTTAAATACACTTAGAAACAAGCCATAACCGAAGTCTACACACATTTTTATATCTGTGGTTAGTCTATACACTGGTGTGAGGACTTGAATACAGTTGCATTTAAATGGTAGATGTATGAACATAAAGACTACTTTAAATATCCAAAGAATTGTTAGGTGGCTGGTGACATTTGGTCAATTTAAACAAATAAAACAATACCATTTATTTAATTAATACATTGATTCATTCATGTTTCTTCGACTTAGACCCAGCTGAGACTTAAACCAGTGATCTTCTGGCTGTGAGGCGACAGAGCTAGCCACTGAGCTACCGGTTTCCCCTTATTTAATTAATAATCATGTGGAAAAATAACTAAAGAAATATCAAATTTAAAAACACACAATGTTATCAGGAAACTGTTGCTGGTCGATGCAATGATCTTAAAATAGCACCAAAATAAACCAGATAAATCGAAGATCTGCATCCTTATGTAGACACAACGGTTCAACAACTTCAATAGGATTGTTTTTCAGGTCAGTTCAAAAAACAAATGTTTCCCGAAGCTTCATATATTTGGTCAAAAACACAATAAATATTACTATTATTAAAATACTGTATTTGATTTAGTATATTTTAAATGAAAACACCATTCCTGAACTGAATTTTTACATGGTCCTTCAGAAGTCATTTTAACATGCTTTTATGATTTGGTGAGAGTAGCATCTATTATAATAACTGTATTTATTTGCCATAAATATAGCTGTAAAGTATACATACAAAATATACAAATATAAATATTAAAATTATAAAACTGACTGATTCAATTGTGCTAGTCTATACAATGGTTAGATCATCACATCATCAGTTAGTGACATTATTGATACATGATATTATTGAGAGAACTTAAATATGTACTTAAATATTTACTTGCTTTTATTGATATGAGAAAAAGTGAATTAGTATGATATATTGTAAAAACTGCCACATAGTCAATGACAATAATTCTAATAATGAAGGAAAGCCTAGTCTACAGATATCACACTAACAATTTGCAAACACTTAAGTTTTGCCTTTGTCTTAAACCAGTCACAACAGAAAGTGAAACGATAAAGTTTTCTGTTTCAGCTAGGTTTTGATGACAATTTTTGTTCCTGTTCTTGAACTGAATCTTCTTATGACATTTACTCATTATGATGATGCTTTTATCCAAAATGAGCCACATATGAGCTTGATATTATCAATGGTAGTAGTTATTGGTAAAATCATTGACTACTTCAGATACTAGGCATGTAGCAATTTACAGAAAGCAAACGGAAAATCATTTAAAACACGTGATGATTTAAATGGATGTAATTGAATCACAGACACATTTTGACCAGTTAACCATTGTGTTTACCGCAAAATCAGTTGATATGGACAATAGCGATAATCAAATTTTAGCAGAAGCTCCATGTTTATTCAAACCAGAGAAGTGCTGGCCTGTGGAAGCCAAATCTCACAGACAGCACGGTGCACAACTTTATGTTCTTTGTTTACTGTCATAGGTTTAATATGATTTAACTTGCTTGTAAAAACGTGTAGATGATGAGATCCCTTCATATATGTGCACATAACTGCTTGTCAGTGTTCACGCTCTAGTTCCGGCTTTTTTATCAGTACAAATTCATATTATTAAATAAATGACAGTAAACATAAGTACTAAAGAGTTACAACAAATGACAACAATGGAAACAAGTTGAACATTTAGCAAATGTGTAGTGTTTGTTGCCCTCTCTTGCTTTTAATGAGTATTTTAAAAGTTTATATATGAACTATAAATAAAGACACTAGTGTCTGTACCTGCATAGCACTTCCCTAGATGGCCTCCGTTACACTCACCCCCCTAAACTTCACTCCCATCCCAGACAAGCCCCCATGTGTAACCCACCAGTCCGACTGCACCCAACCCAATCTGAGCTAAGGCCCAATCTGTGGCCTCCATTACACATTTTCAGCTTGTGCCGATGTGGATGTGCATTTCTTTTTTCTTTAAAGTAATATATTAATATTAGTAATAATAACAATATTAATAATATTAATAATAATAATAATGGGCAAAGCAGTGGCGCAGTAGGTAGTGCTGTCGCCTCACAGCAAGAAGGTCGCTGGGTTGCTGGTTCGAGCCTCGGCTCAGTTGGCGTTTCTGTGTGAATTTGCATGTTCTCCCTGCGTTTGCGTGGGTTTCTTCCGGGTGCTCAGGTTTCCCCCACAGTCCAAAGACATGCGGTACAGGTGAATTGGGTAGGCTAAATTGTCCGTAGTGAATGAGTGTGTGTGTGCATGTGTGTGTGGATTTCCATAGATGGGTTGCGGTTGGATGGGCATCCACTGCATAAAAACTTGCTGGATAATTCGGCGGTTTACTTCGCTGTGGCGACCCTGGATTAATAAAGAGACTAAGCCGGCAAGAAAATGAAATGAAATAATAATAATAATAATAATAATAATAATGTTAATAATAATGAAATTTTAAAAATCCAAGCTAACAAAAGAAGACACATTTTAGTTTGCTCAAATACAAGCTATTGTATGTGTATTATTATTATTAGATTTAGAATTTGTTTTAAAAATGGAATTTAGTTTTGTTATTTGAAATGTGCAGCATTTATTACATAACAAAAGGGTATATAAATATGATATATAATAAGGGTAATAAAAGTCTCAACTCCTTTTGTAAAAAAAAAAAAAAGATCAATATCAGTGAGATCAGTATCGTGAATTTTACCGAACTGTAAGTTCAGTGAATTGTTATATACCTAATCGATACACAATAACACTATCTATCATCACAACGCTGTCAGGCACCATCATCCAAGTCTGTGACTCACATAAATTTGCTAGGAATCTGGCCTCTTTGAATTTTTTGTGCATTTTCGTCAAGTTGCCAGGCCATCCAGGTGCCGAAGTTGCCATTTGGTAGTGTGTCGTCCACATAGAGGATGTCGTCTTTCTTAAAAGAGAGGTCGAGCTCAGTCTCAGCTACTCGGTCATAAAGTGCTCTGGAATAGAAAGAGGAAATGAATAATTCAACAAGTGACAGCATTATACATGAAGAAAAGACTGCGGCGTCTGCGAGAACGAGGTAACGTGAGACAAATGAAAAGACTGCAGGAGACAAAGAAAAATAAAGGGAGGAAAAAAGGAATGAAAAATTCAGGAAGAGGCCAGGACAGAGGCGATCTTTCATTCCTGGGAGAGGCACGAGGCGGCTTTTAGCAGCCACCCATAACTCCTCGTTCCTGCTCATTCATGACACACGGATTGACAGAGATTATTTACTGCGGGTGACATCATGGGAGAGCGGGCAGAAAAAAGCGCCTGCAACAGCTGCGGGCCACAGAATTTCATTTGTGAAGACAAACATGGCTATTTCTGAACAGCCCTCTTCCATTATTCTTTTTTCCACCGCACAGACACAATGCATCTCTGTCTCGAACCGTCTAATTACCACAGCTACTATTATAGAACACAAATTATGGAGATTTGGTGATACAATCTGCACTGCCAGATACAATATCTCACCCTCCATCTTAAACATAATTAAAAAGATTAAAAGATTCCCGTTGATGCGATTTTCTCGTGTATCCATATTTAGCAGTGAGTGCAGGGTCCAAACTCTGGTATTTGGTTATATGGAACTTTTAAGCGGCCATGTGTGCTTATGTAAGTCAATGGCAGATGCGATATCATACTGTACCTGATATAGAATCCATCTCCAGGAGTGCCTTTCACCTGGTTGAACTCATCCAGACGATGCTGGACTCTTAACGTCACTGTTTCTGCAGGCTTCAGCATTTCCAGATATGCCTCCTCCACAGTCTTATTCTTCATATTAACTGAGCCATACTGAAAGGACAAATAATAATATAATAGGAGGTTATTACATTTAATTTAAACACATAGGTCACACTTTACTATAATGTTTCATTGGTTCATTTTACTGTTAATTTCAACAGTTACCAATGCATTGCTAGAATCCAAAGTCATGCTTTTTAAGTACATCCAGGAGGTTGTTTTCACAGAGTAAATCCTAAAGCAATTCGGAGGGCTGTCATATAAGACCGAAGGGCTTAGACACAAATTAGACAGAAAATATTGTTTTAGATAAAATATTATCTGAGTCGTAATAGTTTATCAATTATTGATTAAACACAACACTCAATGTGGCTGACAGAGCATACACTAACCTATAGGTCTATTCAGTCACAAGATGGCCCCAAACAGTCGAAAACACAAAGTTGACAGAAACAAAACCAGCTGAATGTTGCGTAACCTGCATGTTGTTCAGTTACAAGATGGCGCCAAATAGTAAAAAAAACACAAAGCTGACAGAAACTAAAGCAGCTGAATGAAGTTTACACCAACCTATGTTTAGTTATTCAGTCACAAGTTGGTGCCAAACCATCAAAAACAGCAATGTAACTTACAAGCAAATAAATATGAATGACAACGTATGCAAGTATATGGATGTGAACGTATTCAAGATTAAAAGTTCCTGGATAATCTGGTGTTATTTAGAGGTTGTTATCTCAGAATAATAACCTTACTCGGAATGTCGCAACTGACCAATCAGAATCAAGTATTCCAGACAGCCGTGTATTATCATTATTTAAGGTACTGTGAGTTAACAATGATAGCATGTATTTTCATTACCTAACACTAACAAAGTAATAAATAGTAAATAAATGTATTGTTCATTGTTTTTTCAAGTGTGTAAATAAATGAACTAACCTAACTAAAGAAATTTTATTGTAAAAGTCTGAAGTCTTGTTATGATATTATTTAACAAATATGAACAAAAAGCAGAGGCACCATTATTTTGCCAACTTTAAGGGCGCACTCACACTATGCTTTCCGAACCATGCCCAGGCCTGTTTCCTGGATCGTTTGAGAAGTGTGAGTGCGCTGAATCAGGCTTAGCACGGTTCACTTGGGACGTGACTTTTAAGGAACTGTTGCATATGGAGTTATGAATCGCAAGCTGTCGTAGATTATTAAAGACTCAAACCCCTCACTGTTCGACAGCTGCGCACCTTCAGCAACCTTCTAATTCCTGCAGCACGAGGACTTTATGATTGTTTATGACCGTCAGAAGTGGCTGATCTGTTCGGTGAAATATTTGACTGCGTGTCACTGCATATCAAATGACCTAAACGACGATGTACCTGAAGAAATCTCCACTGTGCTGAGCAAGCTGCGCTTCTGACCAGCACATCATCGATGACGTAATCGTGCCCAGGCCCGAATGTAATGTAAGTGCGGGCCGCCGAGGGAGACGGGAGAGCCGACAAGCATGCTTTGGCCCAGTTCAAGGCAACTGTACATAGTGAGAGTACGCCATAAGTTTTAACTTCTAGGCCAATAACTTAAGACTATGAACGCACTGGTAGAAGCTATTCTGACATACTGTGCAGTTGAAGTCAGAATTATTAGCCCCCGTGTTTATCTCCCCCCCCTCCCCATTAATTTATGTTTAACGGAGAGAAGATTTTTTTTCAACACATTTCTAAACATAATAGTTTTAATAACTTATTGCTAATAACTGTATTATTTTAATTTATCTTTGCCATAATGTGAGTAAATAATATTTTACGAGATGTTTTTAAGACACTTCAATCCAGCTTAAAGTAACATTTAAAGGCTTAACTAGGTTAACTACGCAGGTTAGGGTAATTAGGCAAGATATTGTACAATAATGGCTTGTTCTGTAGAATATTGAAAAAATTTTTTAGCTTAAAGGGGCTAATAATTTTGTCCTGAAAATGGTTTTTAAGAAATTAAAAACTGCTTTTATTCTAGCAGAAATACAACAAATTCTTCAGAAGAAAAAAACATTAGCAGACATACTCTAAAAATTCCCTTGCTCTGATAAACATCGCTTGGGAAATATTCAAAAAAGAAAAAAACAAAGGGGGTTAATAATTCTGACTTCAACTGAATGTAAAATAGTCACATATAGTCACACATCACTTCCATTCTAGAGCTTAACTACCTTGTAGCAAAATTCAATGATTTCTTTGCTTTGCTGTTGATGTGGCTGTCACAAGTCTTAATATGTCCATGCCAGGAATGGCATATTACCAATTTCGCACAATAAAAGCAAAGAAGAGTTCAATAAATAAATAAATAAATAAGGAACTTTGGAATGGATACTGTCGTTTGAATTAGAAAAGAATATTATAGGCAATGAATGAGGCTGGAATGCAGCTCAGCAAATAAGAGTGATGCAGGAAAAAAAAACTAAAATAAGTAACCATTTCTGCACACTCTTGAAGTCTTTTTAATTATTAAACAACTAAATAAGGTTTCTGGTTAACATCAGCTCAAGATATTACACCATTGTTTCCCCTACAACATAAAAAAAATCAGGAATGCCTGCTTGTGATTCATTAAAGCATTAAATGTCCTAAAAACAATGTTAGCAAGTGCCTATAGAGAAGGGGTTCCCAATCCTGTTCCTGGAGATCTTCCAGCAGAGTTCAGCGGTAAAGTCTAGTTTGAATACGCAGCTGGGCGGAAGTGTGATATCAATATGGAAGCCTTTTTTATGACATTGTTTAACAATAATTAATATTTTTACAGTATTGTGACAGTTGGGTTTAGGGTAGATTTTAATAAAATATAACAAATGAGAAATTTAATAAATAAAATATTGAGTGTAAAATATCTATCATCTATGATAATATTTGTGATTGATGTTTTAATAACACACAATCTAATATGTCATGAAATATGAAAAACATGCATTGAAACATCCTGTAAATGAAGCTTATTAAGGACCCGTATACTTCAAATAGATTATTTTATATTCTTTGTTTAAGAGTGAAAAGACGTGAGATAAGACTGAGCAACGGTTTACAACTTTTTTAACATTCTGGCACCCAGGATGCACCTCCGGCACTGCAGGAGGCAGGGTTTTAAACATACATCATGCTGCTTGCGTGTACCTCTAAACACAACAATGATGGTGGGTGTAAGAGAAGAACAGTTAATATGTAAATATCTGACAGTTGCACTCATCTATTCAATGGCACAGATGGTATAAAAAAACTGGAATAACAGAGGGTTTGCTTTCTTAGCAAATTTTGAGTACAGATAAGAAATTCCATGTTTTATACTTCAGTGCATCACGTGGTTTGACAATCTACTGAAAAGGGTTTTGCCATATCTGAAACATGCAAAAACGCACAGAAAAGAGGACACACATTTCCACTATGGAATGTGGATGTGATTAGAAGCCAAAGCTAACCTCCCATAAAAGGTTTGCATTGGTGAGTTGTTTTAAACTGGCAAACAAACTTAAAGATGCCGTACGTAAGTTTTTGACTCTTCTAAAGCATAAAAATCCCGTTATATGTTTGCAGATATTTAAGAAACATGCCAAGTGAACATACTTGTTTATCTGAAAAATAAAGCTGAAGTCAGTTATTCTGCTCTTTGAACAGGTCTTTGTTTTGATCATTTAACCCGCTAAATGCCACTTTAGCCAATTATATTTCAGCACACCGAGGTGCCATGGTAGAAAACAGCGTATTTCATTCATTCAGTCAGGAAGGCTCTCAAAGTACATGTCCGCCACTGAAATGTGACCTCTGGTGGAAAGTAACAGCCCCGTATTAAGACGCAGATTCAGAGTTCCACATGAAGTGGTTATTAATTAGCAAATAATATAAATATTACAAATTTGAACATTATGTGCATTATGAGCAGGTTACATTATAAGCCCTTGTCCTAACAAGAAGCTACGTGACAAGATTTGCAGTTATAAGCAGTTTGGTTGTCCCCAGACAAAACAGAAATTTAAATACAGCCATACAGAAGCTCAAAATAATGTTACTGCACTGCACTTCAGCAAAATGGTAAGACTTACAATCTAATTAAAACATATTAAACCTCTTTAAAATTATTATATGTACATGCTGAATGATTGATATTTGCTAACTTGGCTAGCACTAAGTCACAGTTCTAAAGTTTAATTTCAGACGATTTATTTTATTTTCAAGGTCTGAGGTGAACTATCTGCTGCTGCTTTTAGTAGTATGGCAATAAATGTCATGTAAAATGGCATTCAAACTCACATCATGAGCATTTAATACAGAATAAAGCACATGAGGTGTATCTGAGGTGAGGTGTGGTTCACCTGTGAGAAATAGATGCCATTTCTAAAATAGAAATTTCAGGTGTTGGTAAGGACAAAACCTCCTTTTAGTATGTAAAATTTTTCTTCACGTGTCATTGCTTTTAGTTAGAAAACAGTTGAAATCAGCCTTAAATCAGCCTTTAGGCTCGATAGTCAGGCACACTCACGTCAATCCGGCAACTTGCGCTTGGTGGATTCGTCAGAGGAGGAGCCGAGTGAAAATGTGTTTTGATCCAGGAGTGCAATACCTGCATACTGCACCTTTAAAATGTACATTTTGTTATGGACATTGATTAAAATTGTCATTTTAGTTCCTGCGATTTAATTTGAAGAATATCAGGGCCTTTATAATACAGTTCGAACAAGCCTATACCAATGAGTTCTTAGCGATAGTTCTAACAACTCGTTCTTAACAACTTATAACAGTAGAAGTATTCACAGCAGCGCGTTTGATACTGAGATTTTGGAAAGATGCTAATTGCACAAAAATTACACTCTGCATTAAGTTCATGATTGAACTTCTATATGAAAAAATGTAAACTAAGTTGAATGGAAATCACGGAGATGTGGACATGTGGGACAATGTTATTCGAAGGGTTGCCTCAAGTGATGACTTAGACCCATGTTTAGAATGTGAAGTACCCTGTTGTGCTTTACAGTGTGAAATCCCGTTGTTTTATTTTATGTTATGTGTGTGTGTATATATATATATGAGTGTGTGTGTGTGTGTGTGTGTGTGTGTGTGTGTGTGTATATATTTAATATTGATTTAAATTTAATTTTTAAAATTTAATAAAATTTTAAAATTTAACAAATTAATTTTTAATTTAAATTTTAAAATTTAATATTGATTTTATACAATAGTCTAACAACCAAGACATACCCTAAATATAGGTTACATTGCGGCACACTCTCTTCATTGTCAAAGTAGCCATCTTTTAGCTCAATGTTCACCAAAAGTCTATTACTCCATTCAAGTAAGTGTAAAGTCTAACCCTCACAATGGAGAAGAAACTAAAAGCACATTTCTTTCTTGCAAAGAACCGCTGTCTCATCATTTCTGCTCACAGTATTTCCCTAAAAGCATTACACAGACAGAGGAGTAGCTTCATTTACCTCAAGTATCATGTCCCCGGGTACAACAGCATCCGCTCCTCTGGCAGGACTGTCATCTTCCAGCCTCTCCACGAAGATTCCCCGCAGGTTTCCTCCACACAGCTGAATGCCCAGCTCCACCTGAGTCTTCCTCACTGTCACCAAACGCGCCTCTGGTACTTTCTTGGAACTTTCAGACGGCATTCTGACATTCAAGAGAGACACAGAAACTGTCACCCCATGTCAGTGGATTTCATGTTGTGTTACCCTGGTTGTTTTAAATGACAAGCTGCAGGCTTGAGCTGCACCCCACTGAGTTTGCTTCTTTGTTTTCATGCTAGCAATTATTCCTCTTTTCATGGTGAGAACTTTTCATAGTATATCCATTTCAAGTTTTTATAATTTTTTTTCCCGCCTAAATATTTTTAATCTATTCAAGTCCTTCAGATGAGAAGTTAAACTGAGGTCCTGACTCTCTGTGGTCATTTCAAATCCCAGGATGTTCTTTAAAAAGAGTGGAGGTGTGTCCCCAGCATCCTGGCCAAACTTATTAACTTAAAGGTCCAATAAAATTACAATGACATTTTTTAATGCTAGTTTGTTAGTTTCAGTCTGTTAGTTTTAAGGATATATATAATATATATATAAGGATATATATATATTTTTCTCATCAAATCTTGATCAATCAAATGCTCATTGAATAAAATAACTCTTAAGATTTACTTTAAAATCCTCGTAACAATTTGCACAAACAAATTTCAAGTAAATTTTACAATCTTATATCAGGTACAAATAACTTATTTAGAAGTGTTAGGTTCGACATTAAGTAAAAGTTAATTATCTTTATTTTTCAGTCTTTATTTATTTAAATGAACCAAGTAATGTAATTTCCTTGCTTCAGCAGAAGGAACATTGCTTTTACCAATACAAACAAATTTTATTAGTTACAAATTAGTACATTTGGTACAACTTGGTTTATTAAGACACACATTTCCACTTGAAATGTGTTATTTCACTTTACTTTAAGCAAATTTATTCAGCAAGAGCAAATTGACTTTATAAATGCTTACTGCTGTCAGCGCTAGTGTTAGCACAGCTATGATTTTCTGAGTGAAGTGTCAAACATTAATGCTGAAAATACCAAGACCCAAGGCATTAGTGCTGCTCTTCTGCAAGGTGGTAAACTCAAAACTAAATAACATACTCAAACTCTTCTTAATCTACAAACTAATGGTGATCAAATTCTAACTAGTCTTTCTCTCAAATTTTAACACCATTGCTTTTATTTTCAAAATACTTTTCTTTTAAATCAATCCCTTGAAAAGCATGCTGGGAACTATCCATTGCGCCATATCCATTATTAAAACTGGTAACACTTTATTTTGATGGTCCATTTGAGTATTAGTAGACTGTCTGCGTAATATACTGCACCTTCAACAGACATTTAACTGACTAAGAAACTTAGCAAGTACATGTCAACTTACACTAACCCTAACAGTCTACTTATAATTTAATGAGAATTAGTTAGCAGGGAGATGCAATTTAACTTGAATCCACCATCCAACCACCGTCTTTTCATTTTCAGTTGTGATTACATTTAACATTGAATTACAAAATGTGCATTTAAGCACTCAATTAAGCACATTTAATAGCTGATGTGTGATGTGTGATCTGGCACAAAATGGCTGCTATTGCATAATCCAGATGAATTTTGCATACTGGTGGTGATTGAGGAGACCCCATTGAGGAGTTTAAAAAGAAGTAAAAAAGCTTATGCAAAAAATACAAACAAACAAATAAAGTGGTTTATTTATTTTTCATTAAATGCCATCTAATGCCAGAGAGTGGTTTTGCACATTTACTCTGTTCATTGCCAGTAAAAAAAATAAATCACCAAATAGAAATGCAAAAATCTTCCCATTGTGCAGGAGCCTTAAAGGTGTCATGAAATTAAAATAAAGTTTTTAAGATGTTAGTATCAGTATTATTTATTTTTAGGATATCTATAAGGTAGTATAAGGTAGTTCCCACCAAATGGACCAACGGTTTTACTCACCTCAAATAATACTACCGTTTCTTATTAAATCATAATCAAATGCTCTCTAGTATCAGACATGCCCTGCCCTTTTTAAGACAATTCTCATTTGCTTTTCATTTGATGCGCTTCAGATCAACCACTCACTGGCAGAGCCATGATAAACAAGACATTATTGCCTTTTTTTTAGGGGAGGAGCTACTTAATGTCCCTCCCTCTCATCGTGTTTTGGGTTGAGATTATGTCCAACATCCAATAATAATGCATATTCCAAAGCCCTTCACAGGACCTTTAAGGGCATTTTCACACCTACAAGCAGATTGTTGGTTAATTTGTTTAGGGATTAAAACGGTTACAGTATTGCAATTTCTTCTTGGTTCGTTTTGTTAAGACCAAAATTAGTTACATGCATGTAAAGTGATTGGCCACAGCTCACAGTTCTGGGATTCAGCTAAGATGAGTCATGTGTCAGAATGGATAGGCATCAGCTCTGTGTACTTGTCACGGCCTTCTCTGTAGCTGCCGTTATATTATTCATAACTCATCATACAGTGTGATGAAGTCGGTCTGTTAGTGTGTTGGTTTGGATTGCTTTCACACCACAACCGAACTGATCCAAGATTAATATTCAAGAGGTTTGAGGCCATCATGTAAACCTTCATGGAAACTCTGACTCATTAAAGTGAGCGTTTATACCATTTCAGAGTTCCTAGTGGGCAAATTAGTTCTCTCATAGAATTCTTCTAATTATCTGGTGTGAAAGCCACTAATACTTTTTTAAAAATGCATCTGCTGCATATTTAGTAGGAGTAGGGAAAATATTAGCACAGTATTGTGATATTGTTCACAGCAACAGTTTATCAATACACAGACATAATTGTTATACAGTTGAAGTCAGAATTATTAGACCCCCTTTGATTTTTTGTTTTCTTTTTTAATTAACTTATAAATTATGTTAAACAGAGCAAGGAAATTTTCACAGTATGTCTGATATAATATATATATATATATATATATACTTTTTTAAGTCTTATTTGTTTTATTTGGGCTAGAATAAAAGCAGTTTTTAATTATTTATTTTAACTATTTAAAGGTCAAAATTATTAGCCCCTTTAAGTGATTTTTTTCGATAGTCAACAGAACAAACCATTGTTATTCAATAACTTGCCTAATTATCCTAACCTGCCTAGTTAATTTAATTAACCTAGTCAAGCCTTTAAATGTCACTTTAAGCTGTATAGAAGTGTCTTAAAATATCTAGTAAAATTTTATTTACTGTCATCATGGAAAAGATAAAAAAAATCAGTTATTAGAAATGAGGTATTAAAACTATTATGTTTAGAAATGTGTTTAAAAAATCTTCTCTCCCTTAAACAGAAATTGGAAAAAAAAAACAGGCGGGCTAAAAATTCTGACTTCAACTGTATATGCTTGTCAACATTTTATTTTATTATTTGGTAGAATAACAAAATATATTTCTTTACAGTCCACTTTATTATGGTGTTGAAATTTATCTTTTTTTTTTTTTCTGGTGAGCCAGGTCACCTTCAACACACAGCTAGTTAATAAAAAAAAGATGACAGCTTCACGGAGAGGTACATACAACGTTTATGACACGGTTTTATTAAAGTTTTGGTCAGTTTTCAGCTTGACAATCCCATTTTGCACTGTGGCAGTAAAACCAAAGTTAGACGCACAAACTGAGTAATGTTTTCTCTTTAGTTAACAAATGAAAATTCTTTGAGTTTGCAGATAAGTTGAAGAAAGGTAAAAAATAAATGGCCACTTATAGTAGAATATGACGATATATTTAAAATCTCTATAATATTGTATTGTGACACAGGTATCATAATAATATAATATCTTGTAGTCTATGGTGATTCCCACCCAGTGTTGGGTGTGTTATTACAAAAAAGTAATTAGCCACTAATCAATAAAATTGTATTTAATTAATTTCTCTGAAAAGAAACTTTATAACTCAAGTAATTTAATTACTTTACTCAATACTACTTAAAACATCTGAAATCTTAATGGATAGACAATAGAGCAATTAAACTCTTTATACTTCTTAAATTTGAGTCCAGGCCTCAATAAAAACAGACATCTTGGTTTAAATTAATGAAACAATATTTCAATCGTACCATATATTGACAAATGTATAACATTTTCTTAAGCATCTGCACTTAGCAGACAAATGTAACCTCTTTTACTTTAAAAATTGGGTTATTATGCAAAATATTCAAATAGCAAAAATACTTATAAATAAATAACCTAAATTATTACTAAAATACACCTTATATTTTCATTTAAAAATCTGACTTACCTCATTGCTTCAAGCTTTTGTAATTATCTTGATAAAAATAAACATTTTTAGTTATTTTTTTATTTAAGAAATGCACATAAACTGTAATTAAAATACATATAAATAATAATGCATAAAATGTATTTTATTAAAATAATTAATAATTTTATTACAGTTTGTAGTTCATTTGTAACCAATTACACCCAACACTGTTCCCACCCCTACTAAGACTGTACACAACAAGGCAGCTCTCTAAGTGTATGAGCAGTACCTGATGAAGCTGTTGGGACTGGTTGTGGGTGTGGTCTGTTTGGAGGATGGGGTGAGTGTGCCTTCATCCTGTTCACTCAGGGTGTCTATGGTAGAGTGGTTATCTGGGGTTGCAGTTCCACTGCCCTGTGGCGTGGATTGAGTGCTCACTGGCTCCAGGCGGGAACTATGAAACAAGCCAGCCATGAAAAAAAACTAAAAGCTATACATCAAATCTGCATTTAGCTTAATGAATAAAATGGGGAAAGGATTGTACCTGGAGCGCGAGTGGTTGCCGAGCTGATACATGTGTGGGTTGTATTGGGCCATGATCGTGATGGTGTCACACTGCTGGCCAATGATGAGTCGTGCTTGCTGTTCAGTGGCATTGCGCAGGTTTATTCCATTATACTGATGTAAAGAAAGAACAACTTTAAGTTACACATTGCAAACTGTCAATAACATGGCATACAGCTTTACTATGATCAAAAAAATATGTGCATGTTTTCCATTATTTAGTTGTAATATAATTAAAAAACTTCTTAGCTTTATTAAATAAAGTAGCACAATTTAAAATATCTCATATCTAAAATTCATTATTCATTATAATTGAAAATATAAAAAGGCAAAAACAAACATATTTTACTCATACTCTAACTTTTCAGTTGGCCAAAATGTCTAAAAATCCCTTCTTTGTATTGGTTTTAAGTAATATTCATTTTGGGGTTTTCATTAGATGTCATCAAAATTAAAAGAAATAAACACCTGTAATACATCAGTCTGTGTGGAATGAATGTACATTATACAAGTTTCACTTTTTGAATGGAATTAGTGAAATACATAAACTTTTTTGAAGATATTGTAATTATATGACTAGCACTCGTATGTACAGTTGAAATCGAAATTATTAACCCACTTTGAATTGTTTTATTTTTTAAACATTTCCCAAATAATGTTCAATAGAGCAAGGACATTTTACAGTATGTCTGACAGTATTTTTTCTTTTTAAATATTTTCTTTTTTCTTTTTCTTATTTGTTTTATTTCAGCTACAATAAAAGTTTTTAAAAACTATTTTAAGGTCAAAATTATTAGCCCCTTTAAGCTGTATTTTTTTTTTTTGATAGTTTGACGAAACCATCATTATACAATGACTGAGCAAATTACCCTAATCTGCCTAGTTAACCTAAATAACCTAGTAAAGGCTTTAAATGTCACTTTAAGCTCTATAGAAGTGTCTTGAAAAATATCTATTAAAATATTATTTACTGTCATCGTGCCAAAGATACAATATATCAGTAATTAGAAATGAGTTATTAAAACTATTATGGTTAGAAATGTGTTGAAAAAAAATCTTCTCTCTGTTAAACACAAATTAAGGAAAAATAAACAGGGGGGCTAATAATTCAGGGGATTGAATAAATCTGACTTCAACCTCATATGTTTGTTTTTTCTTTGTAATGGCTGAAAACAACAAAATGTGTATACAACAACAAATAAAAAAAGGAAATTATACAAAATATTATATAAAACGTACAATAAAATTTAAATCGCACACAATATAAATAAAAAAACAACAACTGTATGAATCAAAAATACAAAAAAAACTAAAATGCAAATGTGTATAAAATTACATAAAAGCAAAGTGTACAAATTTAAAAAAGCATAAAAAAACATAATAAAATAGCATTACGAGCAAATGCAACCGTCTAAAATAAAACAAAATAAAAATGTTGATTTTAATTTTTTTAATAACTGTAAAATGTTTTAAGACAGTATAAATGTAAATAAGTATAAAGTATAAATAAACTAAATGTAATGAAAGTAAATAGCATAAAATGAAAAAATATAAAAGAAATATAAAAATAGCACAAAATATGCATCAAATTGAACAAAATAAAGAAGCATAAAAAATAAATAAAATGCCATATAAAATAATTTAAATACTGGAATATGTCCTGAAATGTGATATGCAGAGCAAAAAACTGCATTTGAACCTCATAATCTAGTTGCATAAATAAAGAAAAAAGGGTTTCAATATTTATTCAGTTCTAAAATACTAACCTCCAATAGCTGGTCCCCATACTCCAACCCAGCCTGGTGCGCGATACTGCCTCCTGTCACCTTGGAGACAAAGATTCCTCCGTTCTCTCCACTCACAATGGAGATGCCGAGAGGCTCCGCCCCTTTGTGCACCATAACATTCCGTGGCTCCTCCAAGTACGGCCTACCAGAGTGATAAACCAAGATGAATTTTAAGATCAAAGAAAATGGACAGATGAGACAGAAGCTTAGTCAGGGTAGAGGATGAAATACTGCAGCAGAGGAGAACCATGCAGGTGGGTCAACAGCAAAAGACATTTTCTGAATTGGAAGTTTGGAGGACTTACAGTCGCATAAACAGGGTAGAAAGCAGAAGGGTTTGTGCATACAGGACTTCAATAAAAGATCCAGAAGGGTGTACTTTTATTTATTTAACCTAAATATTTACATATGCCAGTTCAAAAGCCCAAAGATTTAAAACCATGTTTTAAATGTAACCAATCCAAGCCCAAACAAAATATCCCTTCACAACTTGACAAGTAGAGAACATTTCAAAACAGACCACTGTATCCCTAAATAAAGACATGTTTAAAGCTGCTATAAGCAATGAACACCATCTGCTAACATCTGTCAGATTTAAGCTCTATTCAGACAGTAATTGTTTCTCAGGGGGTAGTTGGTGATTTTATTGCTGTGCAAATCCCCATCTCTGAGCGAAGACATTTCCAAAAGTCATTTTGGATTTTTTTTCTTAATCACTTAATCTGTACTGTTGCACTTTGCTACCATTTTCCTCAGAAAAGAAGAATATCTTGTGTTAAAAAACAGAATGTTACATTACCGAAGTACTAAAAAGTAAATAAATTTGCACCAGTGCTTCAATGCAGTGACTGAAGGCTATTAAAATATGACAACACAAAAGAAAAACACAAAAACAGAGAAAATGCAAAATCAAATGGAAAGTGCCATTATCATTGGCAGTGCACATAAAGATTTATTTATACTAGGGCTGGGCAATTAATCGAATAAGTATGTAGAACCTATAAACAATCTATTTTTACCAGGTCAATTTTTTCAATTACTTTTTCAGACCACGTGTGGAGTCATATGACCCTGCTCTGTTGGCCACAATTGATCTCAGCCACATATGATTTCTGGTCAAGTAGGGCAATGGACCAATTCATGAGCCTTACTTTGCACTACACTGACAATGATTGGAAGGTGCGCTGAGATGCCTTGATACAGCATATATATTCAATTATATTAAAATGATTATTTACATTAAAACATTTGTTTACAGAAGATGCAAGAAATACACTGTTTAAAAAATTCTTTACAGGATATACAAGAGTTATTATATTTAGAAATTTTAGATGCTGCTTATTTTCTACTTTTAAAACGAAACTGAAACGCTAAAAATATTTTTTTTCAAAAGGAATTTATGTATTTTTTTTTTATTTTAATTTATTTTTTTGTGTTTTCAAAATACTAAATTTTTCAAAATTACAGCCTCACTTCCTTTTGAAAATCCACAAGCTTGGCACACCTGTCTTTTTGTATTGTTGCCCAATCCTCTTTGCAGGACCTCTCAAGCTCTATAAGGTTGGATGGGAAGCGACAGTGTACAGCCATTTTCAGATATCTCCAGAGATGTTCAATAGGATTTAGATCTGGGCTCTGGCTGGCCACTTAAGTACATTCATCAAGTTGTTGTGAAGCCACTCCATTGATGTTTTATTGCTTTGGGTCGTTGTCCTACTGGAAGGTGAATTGTCGTCCCAGTCTGAGGTCAAGAGCACTCTGAAGCAGGTTTTTATTCAGGATGTCTCTGTACATTGCTGCATTCTTCTTTCCCTCTATCCTGACTAGTCTTCCAGTTCCTGCTGCAGAAAAACATCCACACAGCACGATAATGCCACCACCATGCTTTACTGTAGCGATGGTATTAGCCTGGTGTTGAGCGGTGGCTGGTTTTCTCCAAACGTAACGCCTGGCATTCACTCCAAAGTGTTCAATTTTAGCCTCATCAGACCAGAGAATCTTGTTTCTTATGATTTAAGAGTCTTTCAGATGCCTTTTGCCAAATTCCAGGCTAAGGAGTGGCTTCCATCTGGCCACTCTACCATACAGGCCTGATTGGTGGATTGCTGCACAGATGGTTGTGCTTCTGTAAAGTTTTCCTATCTCCACAGAAGAACGCTGCAGCTCAGACAGAGTGACCATCGGGTTATTGATCCCCTCCCTGACTAAGGCCCTTCTCCTACGATCACTCAGCTTAGATAGCGGGCCAGCTCTAGGAAGATTCCTGGTGGTTTCAAACATCTTCAACTTATGGGATGATGGAGGCCACTGTGCTTATTGGAACTTTCAGAGCAGCAATCTTACCCAGCCTTGTGCCTCAAGACAATTCTGTCTCGTAGATCTAGAGAAAATTCTTTTGTCTTTATGCTTGGTTTGTGCTTTGACATGCACTGTCAACCCTGGGACCTTATATAAACAGGTGTATGCCTTTTCAAATCATGTCCAATCAACTTGAATTAACCATAGCTGAGCTCTTATTAAGCTGTTGTAACATCTCAGGAATGATCAGAGGAAACAGAATGTACCTGAGCTGAAATTAGAGCTTCACGGCAAAGGCTGGAAATTCTTATGTACATGTGATTTTACAGCTTTTTTTATTTTAATAAATTTGCAACAATTTCAAAAAATCTTTTTTCACATTGTCATTTATGGGGTATTGCGTGTAGAATTTTGAAAAAAATAAATGAATAGAATCAATTTTGGAATAAAGCTAAGCTTAACTTAAAAAATGTGGAAAAAGTGAAATGCTACAGTATAAATACTATCCAGATGCACTGTAATCCAAATATTCCTAGCTTGAAACTGATGGAAATTTGACTGAATTGTGCAGCCTTTACGGCCCCCAACATGGCTTGATCCACACCTGGCATTTCTCCTCTTGGGTTTTAGGTTTTGGAAAAGAAAAGAAAATCCACCACCCTGTCCAAACTTTTAGGATACCAGGGTATCAGATTTGCACAATCTATATGCACAATGCATTGGGTTGTTTCCCTCCCTCAAAAGCTTGACAGACCTCTCGTGCCTATTTATTGTTGCTAAGCCACAATTGGTCTATGGCAGTTTTCGTGTGGCTTAGTAAAGAGTTAATTGGCCTTGAGTTGCGAAGTATACATTTTGAAAAACATAATTGTATAGATTAACATATAAACCAAATATTTATTATTTACATAACAGGTTGAATGAGTTAATTACTTTTCATTTCTAGAAAGGGATCCAAAAAATGTATTTAGTATCCAAAAAATTTATTTATTTGTATCAAAAGAGGGCTAAAGACAGGTTTGTTTCATATTTTTAAGATACCTGATAATTTCTTATAGCAGGTTTAACTTTGATTGAGAAAATCTGGATCTTTTCAGGATGAGAGCAGCCAAACATGCAAATCAAAAATGTCTCTCCACTTCAGAATCGTAATCACTTAAGTGCTCTTTTACTGCAAGAACATCTAAACCTGCTGTACAGATTTAACATTCATGAGGAATCTCTCGCTGAGCAGGTTAATCAAAAAGTCAATTAAAATCAGCAGGTTAAAAAAAAATCTTCCAATTACACCAATTAAACTCCACTTCATTGGAAAATGTTGACAGAGATTTATAAACATGATCCCTTCCATCTAGCTGCATTAAATAGATAATTTGCAAAAAAAAAATTATATTCCTTCATTATTTATTCAGCCTCAAGTCCTTCATAACATATATGACTTTCATTTACCTTCGAAACTAAAATGAAGGTTTTTGTTATGAAACTAGGAGACTGAACACCCATTGACCAAAATCTTTAAACTTTTTGAATAGACATTATCATTTTTTAACAAATAAAATTATTAGGGCACATACATTCTGATTTATGGCTTGTTTCCACTGAGCATTACAGTTAGGTAAGTACATTACGGGACACATTTATATTTGTTTCCATGGTCAAAAGAACCAAAATAGCAAACCATTTCATACAACTTTTTTGTGACCTTTCGTAAGGGTAACTTGCAGAACAGCATGCTACAAAAAAGATGGAGCTAAGCTTGCTACTGAATGCTATTGGCTAACAGTGAATCATCAATTGTAAATGCAACTAGCTAGGGAAAGGACAAGGTACTGTCATTAATAAATACACAGCCAGTGATACTGCAATAATACAGTGCTATTCTTCAAACAAATTCTCCAAAGCTGTTTGCAAAGCGTATGATTAAATTTAAAATCTGAAATTGCTAGTAAAATTTAACAACAACTGTCTCTTCAATTTCATTTGTAAAGATTCTGCATTTCTGCAAAAGATTGCTTTTTTGTTGCACTAGAAGGGAACAAGATTATGAGATTAACCTATAACAATTGACAAAAAATGGTCTTTTATTAGAAGCCAGGGCTGTGTTTGCCAGAGCTGCCATGTTGACCATTACACTTTTCCACATTCAAACTATACAAGTTTTCTATAGTCTAACACCATTTAAGGCTTTAATTCACATGGATGAATTGGAAAAAAGTTCCCTGGTCTTGGTTTCTGTTCCAACATCTGGCATAAACAAGAATGAAAGCATAAATTCATCCTGTCTTGTATTAGCAATATTTTTACATGCCACACTTTGGGCACCTTTGTACCAGTGGAGTATGCGTTTAACACTACAGCTTACATGAGTGCTGTTACTAATGATGTCCACTGTTATGACCACAGTGTACCTATCTAATAGGGCTGATCAACTGAAAGGAAATAGAAGAAAATCCCTATAGCGGTTTCAAAAGATTTAACTGCTTTCATTGACTATTTTCAATTCTAGAATTACCCAATAAAGTTGACTTCATTATGAAGGCAGTTCTGCATAGCTTGTCAGTAGGGGTGTCACGATTTCGATTTTTAATTGAAATCGATCGAAATTTTTGCTCAACTTCGATTATCGAATCAAAAAATAGAATCGTCGACGCTGCCACGCCCCCATGTCATGTTAGCTTGGCTTGCCAAGCGGGAAAAAACATGCTTGTTGAAGTGCTTGTTAAATTGCAGACGCAGGAGACCCGTCGACAGAGCTTAAATCCTCTCCTCTTTCAATTAAGTCGCTGGTGTGTAAGCATTTTGGATTTCCAGTTAGTTATGTTGACAACGTTCGTGTTGAAAAAAAAAAAACACAGTTTGCAAGCTCTGCTATGTACGTATTACGTATTAATATGTCTGTGTTTTTAAATGGCATTTTAGAACGACAACGATCCACATCCACACTGGCGTGTAGCATTTCTGAGCAGCCCTCCTTCCTCACTACCGCTGAAAACGCACATCACGTGACCACACACACTCATTCACACACAGACACAGACGGACACACATTGTCATGCGCTCGAGACAGCGGATAAATGCAGTCATCGAGTCAGTAGACTGCTTCCATCTTTTACTTTCACACAAGTACTTAGTCATTTTAGCTAACACCTCAGATACTGTTGGCTGGTTTCTGTTGGTTGTGCACCTTTTTTACCGACGCCATTATAACGACACAGATCACTGCCTATTCACGAGTCCCGCAGAAAAAAGTGATTGACAGGTTGTAATTATGTGTGTAACTTACCTTTATTCGTTTACTGTATGATTTGTTTATGGGAAAAAAAAGACCATGGCAGTCAGGTAGTTTAAACGCTAGGCTACTAATAATTAATTCGTCATTAATTAATTAATTAATTATACATAATCGAAAATTGAATCGAATCGTGACTTTAGAATCAAAAATGTAATCGAATCAAGGATTTGGAGGATCGTGACACCCTTACTTGTCAGTGAACTAAAAGTGCTGAATGATTTAGTAAATGCTGCTCTATCTGAAAGCACATGCTGGAGATTTACTGCTGATTACAGAACTGGCTTCACGGACAAAATCTGTACACAATTTTCTTCGATTGTGCAGCCCTACTATCTCATGGTACTTCCAGCAAGACAGCGTGCCCTGTCACAAAGCTCAGATCAACTCATACTGCATACAAAAAGTGGGGTCCCAGTAATAACAATAGCCCCATTTCCACTGTCGCGCCTGAAGCTAGTAAGTCGTGTTTCAACTTCCAGGACCTGATCAGGTCTTTTTCAAGGCTTCCTCAGGGTCAATGTGAAAGCAAAGGCAGAGTAGAGTCACATAAATAGGGTCTGCAGCAAGATTGGGGCAATTGCGCATGAATGTACAGAACACAAATAAAATAGAAAGAATGGAGAATAGACAGTACAGGTCTGTTGAAGATAGCAGGGCTCTTCTGAGGATTTGAGCTGAGAAGAAATAATAATAATTATACCAATTCCACACATTTACTTATTTTTGTGGGAAATCTCCTCATCCACCAGCAGTGCAGTATCTACCTGGAAGACACGACGGCAGCCATATTGTGCCAAACTGCACACCACACACTAGCTGATTGGTGGAGAGGAGACATGAAGTGAAGTGATGAAGCCATGATGGACAGGGGCCAGGCGGAAAATTTGGCCAGGATGCTGAGGTTTTTCGTAGGTCATCCTGGGATTTTTCACAACCACAGAGAGTCAGGACCTCGGTTTAACGTCTCATCGAAAAGACAGCGCTCACTGAGCAGTATACTAGGACATTAAAACCCACACAGGTTGAGTGCCCCTGCTGGTCTCACTAACCCCACTACCAAGCGGCCTCTATGGAGGTACTGTCTGGATGCAGCCCTGCTTCACTTCAGTGGGTGACCTTGTGAGAGTTGAAGAGCTAGCTGCCAGCAATGGCAGATTGACAGTGTCTGTTAAAACAAGGATATTATAAAATACATTGTTGCAGAGCTTGGAAAGATACAGATTCAACACACAACAGTACAAGAAAAAGTAAAAAAAATTGTGGGTACTTTAATGAAGTGACTGAAATCTCTATTTAGCTATCATGTCTCTTAAGAAGATTTGAATTAAGCCACATTATTCATATGGATGTTTTTGTAACTTTTTGCAACTTGCACTTACAATGGAGCAACAGAAAAAAACATTACTTAGAAACACCTTCATTTTTATTATTTGTATAATAAATTATATTATATATATTATATTAAAAATTATATTTGGAATAACATGAGAGTGAGTAAATGAGGACAATTTTCATTTCTGAGAGAACTAAATGTTAGAATAAAATAAAAAGAGACTCCCAAAAACAACAATTTTAAAACCATTCTTTGAAATGCCTTAACTAGTTGTCTAACCAGCACAGAACTGCCGTTTTACTATCAAATTTTTCTTCAGTAATGTGGCAAATCTACTTAAGATAGCACCACTTAGACACAGCCTGGGTTCTAAACTAACAAAAAACAGAGAAGCAGGGATTTCCACAGCCAACCACTTGGAGCAAACAAGTACGTTTGTCAGGCATTCCCTGTGCGTAACTGGCAGGGAACAAACCTCAAGCTTCTGAGAGAGCAGAACTTAGGCCTAGCAGCCAGAGGGATTCTCAGAAAGGATCTGTTACGGTAAAGAGATCTGAAAGATTCACAGGAGCAAAGAAGAGAGGAGAAAAACAGATTGTGAAAAAGAGAAAGAGACACACACACACACACACACACACACACAAAGGAACACTCTTGGAGGAAGACAAATATGTAGAGTAGAATTATAATAAACACATAGGAACAACTGGAATGAATGGCCTAGTTTGCTATGTAAATTTGAGTTTTATATAACGGTGCTGATTAAAATGAGTCCTGACCGTGCCAATATGAACGTCTGATGCTTCAACATACATTATTCTATATTCACATGCGGTCCAATTATTGGAGTCAGATAAAAGGGCTTGAGAGCGAGCTGTTGCCTGGCAACCCGATGAAGGGGCGCAGCAGGACTGGCCTGAGGCAGTGGGTATTTACCTGTCTTTTCTGCGCTCTTCTGTGGGTACGGGGCTGACGGAGATCCTGGGCAGGGTGGAGATGGAGCCCTGAGACTGGCTGGAGGCAAACGAAGACGTCTCCAGATTGAGAGGAGAAAGAGGGGGAGTAATGAGACTGGGACTGCTGCATTCTGAATGAGACAGGGACCCTGATGAACAACATGGAGAAACGACTGTCAGCATTTGTACTAGAGTGACAATCTTACATTAAATTTTTTGCCTACTGTAATATAAATAAATGTAATTCTCAATATTTGAGCATGGCTAATTGGTATGTAATGTTTACCTTTGTGTATCCTGATGGACATTTTTGCCTTTTACATATTTGTAATCATGTTAATGCAAACAACAATAATTTTGGCAAGAAAGGAAGAAATCAAGGAAGAAAGCAAGATCTGCATTTGCTTACATAAATCTAGAATCTTGACCAATAGGACGTAATATCACCTGTGACACCAGTTAAAACTGAAATATATAATCAAAGTAGCATTTAAACAAGTATCATTTCTGAATCTTTTTTTTCTTTTTTTTTTGGCACATTCTTGTTAATTTTTAAAATTTCATTATTAATAATCTAATTGTGTAGGTGTGTTAGTAGAAATATCAGAGTTTATTTAATACTGTATGCGTACACTGAGAAATTGCATATTTGTAATCAATTTGGCTATGTTAAAGCAAACAGCATTAATTTTTGCAAACAAGCAAAAAAGCCAGGAAGAAAGGAAGCAGGGAAGAAAGGAAGCAAGCAAACAAGAAAAAAAGAAGTCACCCTTATTTCCTTTCATAAATCTATAATCTTGACCTGTAGGACAAAAATGTCCCTTCGACAACAGATAAAAGTACCATTTCTGAATTTTAACAATTGTCAAAAAGTTTTTTGTACATTCTTGTTAATTTTTTGGCCTTTTTTTGTAGTCTGCAGGCCAAATTGAGAAATTTGTATGCATGAGTGTTTTTATGACAGTGCTCAAAAAATATCCAAAACATATCCAAGACTGTAAGAACAAAAAAACGTCCTTAAGCATTAGTGTATATATAAAATAAGAAATATGTTTCATATATACACTGTTCAGCTTAAATAAGTAAATCCTCCTTTGAATAGTGTAATAATTTATCTGTGAATTTAGGCAATATTTTCGATGCATTTAAACAAAACAGCTTTATTAAATGAGTATATCCATTAAAAAGAAGTTTGATGACCTAACATCTTTAGGAATAGAAAGATAATACATTTAAATTTAAATGAGTAATTGCAATAAAATGTTTTACAAACAACAAAAATATCATTAAATGTCATAAATTTATCTTTCTCTTCATTGTTCTTGTTTGCTAAAATTTTATTTTAGAATTTTCCGCAACCTATTAATTTTGGTGTACTAATATTCAAACTTTTTGTTAGATAAAAAATTAAATATTAAGATTATACATTTGGAGTTTTTGTTAGATTAGTTCCAGTTTCAGCTTTGGTTCTGACTAATCTAATTAAAAAGAGAGATCTGTGATGGTTGTGTACTCATTTATGCTGAGCTGTGTGTAAACATTTTCAGAAAAAAATAAATAAATGCTTATTTCAGTTGGCAAAAACCATCAAAAAACAAACATTAAATTAAGAATTAAGAATTTGATTTGTCCATGTATGAATTGAAACTTCAGGATAATGGACACGTTTCTTCACTACTTAGTCTATATTTGACTTTCTTAGTAATTGTAAGTTTTGTGTGTAATTCACCATTAGTACAATTATAAAATCTCTTTTATATGGGCACTTGTAAGTGCAAACTCTTTGCCTGTGGTTATTTATTCAGGCTTCCAATATTTCAGGGTACACAAATGTCAGGCTTGCTTGTGCAAAGTATTCTCTACTTGACATGGTTTACTTGATTTAGCTTGCTCTGACATTTAATTAAATTTCCTTTTCCATATTGCTACTGCTAGTGGTTATTTACAGTTCTACCTGATGCAGAGAAGAAAAACACCCAGATAATAACATACCAATTTAACGCACAATGTAAAGTGTTTGTTTTTGTACAGAGTATGCAAACAGAGCATACCTGTATACCAACATACAGCAGTGTCCAAAATTAGACCTACAATTTCCCAAATTTTAAGGATACTGATTGGTCCTATTACAACCCCAAATCAGAAAAAAGATGTGACAGTATGAAAAATGCAAATAAAAAAGTAAATTATGATTTCTAAATTTAACAATACAACAAAAATTATTTAATGCGTTTATGTTGTTTTGTTTCCAAAATAAACACGTATTCCAATTTTGGCTCTTGCAACACATTTCAAAAAAAAGTTGGCACAGAAGCAACGATGAGATTTGAAACAGGTGATATCAACAGGTGATTGTAGATATGATTTCAATATGATACGAAAGCAGCATCCGAGGAAGGTTTAGTCCTTTAGGAACAAAAATGGGCTGAGGAATGCCAGTTTGCCAACAAAGATGTGAGAAAATTATTGAAATGTTTAAAAACAATGTTCCTCGAAGAAAGATAGGAAGACATTTGGATATTTCACCTTCAACTGTGCATAACATCATTAAAAGACTCAATGAATCTGGAGGAATTTCAGTGCGTAAAGAACAAAGGCGCCAGCCTCAGCTGAACATACGTGATCTCTGATACATCAGGCAGCACTGCATAAAGAATCATCATTCATCTATAAGCGATATCACCACATGGGCTCAAGACTGCTTTGGAAAACCTTTGTCAAGTATTACAATACTTTTCATGGTAAAACATACATAGAAATTTTAGAGTAAAAAATGCTGCCTTTTTTTCCTGGGACATCCATGCACATTTCAACAAGACAATGCAAAACTATATTCTGCGAACATTACAGTGTCCTGGTTGCAGATGAAGAGAATGCAGGTACTTGACTGGCATGCCTGCAGTCCCAACCTGTCTTCAATAGAAAATGTGTGACACATTTTGAAGCACAAAATGCGACAACAAAGATGCCGACCATAAGACTTATTTGCAGAAAGAATGGGAAAAATTACACCTGAAACACTTCATTACTTGGTGTTTTCAGTCCCTAAAGGTATTTTCAATGGTAAATGCTTTATTTTTCCAACTTGTTTTTAAATGTGTTGCAAGAACCAACATTGAAATACATGTTTATTTAAAAAAGAAATCATGAGGAAAACATTACATGATATTTGTTGTACTGTCTGCAATGAAATACAAGTCAAAGTAGATTTAAAAATCACTTTTTTCAGTGATTTGTTTTTTTACAGTCATACTGTCCCAACTTTTCCTGATTTGGGGTTGTAGTTAGTAAGTTCTACTAACAGGATTCCAATCAGAAAATCTGGACCACTATTGGTGAAAAGAACATTGTGTGGAAAGAGAACTGGTCTAAATTCCACTTTAGTTGGGAAAATGAGTTTATTTCTTTTGGGTCTAATAGGAAACACGTTTGTCATCAAACTAAGACAAGACTGAACCCAAAGTATGTAAATAAGTGAAAGGATAAAAGGTCACTGTGTGGAGGATGTTTTTTTTTTTAGCAGGAGAATACTATGGCAAGTGTGCCTTGGTACAATGATTCACTAGTCAAAGAAATACTGCATAAACAAAACAGGCTGGAATGCATGTATAATAGATATACTGACAGTGAAAAAGTGAAAGTAATGATGTCTGTCAGAGACTAGATGTGCTGAAATTAAACGATGTTAGAGTTCATTTTACATTTCATAACTTGAATATTGGACGTAAAAATTCAGTCGTCTTAAATTTCATAAGTCAGTTTTTTAGACATATTTTCAAATGTGTTTTTGTGTGTTCTGAATTCCTAGACTGTAGATATCTATTTTGTAAAAATACAGGTTCAAGTTTTTAAGGTGAAGAAATTCAGAACATAAATTTCAATATTCTAAAAATCCAAACCAGAAACTCAGATTCAGCGCAAAAAGTAAATCAGGGGTCATCAACAGGGAAAAGTACACGATCACCGTAAAGACAAACCAAGCATTTTGGTCAGTTACAGAGCTGCGTACTGGTGTATGTGCATACGGAAGGCACAATTCTTCTTCAAACTGACTATTGGGGGTCAGCTATTTTCAGTAGTAAATATACGTGTAATATACATGCTTCAGTGAACCAAATTCATGTAATTCAATTAATTCAATTACATCTCATTCAAATTTAGATTGTTTTGGCATATTATTGCCTCCATATAGCAGAACATTAGCGCAGAAAATGCATTGAAAAAATACTGTGGTAAAAAATTCATTTCCATATTTTAATTACATGCAATGAAACTTAATGGAATTTAATGCAGTGCTCCATGCCTGGTGTAAAACCCACTAAATTCTGTATCTCGTTAAGGCAGTGAAGATCACTGATTTTAAAACAAACCAGATTATAAATGTGATGAGTTTATAATGCGTAACTGTTCACCAGAAGCACCTGAGCTGGCTTATTCAAAATTAAAAGTCCCCATGCATATACTTATTGCTGTATTTAATTTTTGATTATGTTTTTCACAAAACAGTTATTTTTGTCAAAGGGGCTTTGGAATTGTTGTAGAACACAGTTTGATGAGCTAAAACTAAAAATGTTTGATATTTGAACAAATCAAATTAGAAGTGTAAATTCACCAAATTCTGATCTCCACTTTATATCACATGAATTCGGAAATCCTTTATTTATGAAAGTAGACTCACCTCTGTCTGACCCCAGAATAGAGCGAGGATATCGCGGTGTGGAGGGAATCTTAATCCTTTCAGTGCGATACTGCAAGTTGTTTGATGAACCTTCAGAAAGCAAAAGGGAGAAGATATAGACCAAAATAAAAATACACTTATATGAAAGTTTGGTGCGTGGAGTAAACAGACAACAACATGTATTATTAAAGAAAACTGACCGAGTCTTGCACTGGACGGCAGGGAGTTGGTGCCGTGTGAGGCCCGGCTGCTACGGGACGACTCAGAATAGTCCGTGGAGCGTTTCTGGCTTAGGTCCAGACTCAGTTGTCCTTGATGCTGAGGACTAAGATGGAGAGAAGAAACTGAGCACACTGAATCAGTAAACACTCATGATCATGGGGTGAGAAAATGAATAACTAGCCTGTTTATCACCTGTAACTGCTAGTTTGCACTTAGTATGACACACTTATAAACCACACTTATGCTCATTAAACTTTGGAATAGAATCAAGTGGAGAAATCAAAACAAATAAGTGGAACTGCTCAGGAAAGGCAGCCCACAGAAACTTTTAGCGCAAAATTTTTTATAGTATGATATTCTGTTGAATATAAAATTATTAGCGAATTCTGTGATTTTTTGTTTTGTTGATTTTTTCAAATATTTCCCCAGCGATCTTTTTAACAGAGCAAGGAATTTTTAGCAGTTTTATTTAAAAAATATATATATATTATTACCCCAGTTAAGCAATATTTTTTTTCAATTGCCTACAGAACAAACCATCATATAACAATGACTTGCCTAATTAACTTAATTCGCCTAGTTAACCTAATTAAAAAAGTTAAGACTTTAAATGTCACTTTAAGCTGGATATCTTTTTATCTTGAAAAATATCTAGTAAAATATTATTTACTGTCATCATGGCAAAGTAAAAAAAAAATCTGTTATTAGAAATGAGTTATTAAAACTATTATGTTTAGAAATGAGTTGAAAAAAATATTTCCATTAAACATGAAAAGGAGGGGGTGGGGGTGGGGATTATTATTATTTTTAATTCTGACTTCAACTGTAAATAAAGTTATGGTTCGCCCAAAAAAGTGCTTGCCATTATGTGGTTGCAAACCTTATGTATTAGCTTTTTTCCCCTTTGAACACAGATAACTTACAGAATGTTGTAAACTGGTAGCTATTAACATCCATGGAAAGCAAAAGAATTCTATAGACGTTAATGGCTACATAATTCCAACATTTTCAAAATATCTTTGCATCTACAAAAAAAAAAATATTGTGTACAACTGAAGGGAGAGTCAATAAGGACAAAATTGTAAATTTTGGGAGATTTTAATCAACATTCAATCACAAAGACTGCTGTATTCCAGATTGTATATGTGTAATTTCAGCTACAATAGTGACAGTTCTGTTGTTCATTCATTCATTTTCTTTTCGGCTTAGTCCCTTTATTAATCTGGGGTCGCCACAGCGGAATGAACCGCCAACTTATCCATCACGTTCATATGCAATGAATGCCCTTCCAGCCGCAACCCATCTCTGTGAAACATCCATTCACACATATACACTCTGGACAATTTAGCCTACCCAATTCGTCTATACCACATGTCTTAGCACTTGTGGAGGAAACCCACGCAAACACGTGGGGAAATGCAAACTCCACACAGAAATGTCAACTGACAGCCGAGTACTGCGCAGAGCCACCGAGCTGCCCCACCCATGCATATTTATGATCACTTATTTCGTTCTTGATTGCATCAAACGTTTAAACAAATCAGTTGAGTGAATGAATATGAACAGCTACTTGCCATAGACAGAATCTACAAACAATTTAGCCATTTCTGCAGAAGTTTGTAAAAAAAAAAAAAAAATCTGCAGATTTGTGCGGAATGAATTTGAGAGTATAATAACTAAAACTTAATACATTAAATAAAAATAAATTAATATTTTACATTCCTTTTTATTTAAGGTTTACAATGCAAATCCAATTAGAACCATTTAATTGGTTCATTTAAATACTTTATTGTACATAAATCATGAACGTTTGCATATTATTCAATAATATTACTTATGTATGTATGTATTTTTATTTTTTCAGTTTTTACAAGTAAATAAAAAACTTAATGACGGGCTAAACAATCAGCAGATTTCAGGGCCTGCAGATTCTGTGTGGGTCTAGCCATAACCTACTGAAGTTTTAATTTCATTTTTAAAAAATATTGCATTTCAATAGAACCTGAGGCCATAATTTGAATATCTGCTATTAAACCACAGTCCTTATGTTTTAATAAAAGTAATATAAATGTGATTGCCTTTTCTACGCTTTTAGCAAGAAGGTTAGTATTGCTCAAATAAAAAGAAAAATTTCTCAGTTGGCAACCTGTTTTAGATCACATAAAGAAGATGGACCCTTCTGTTCTTTTAGAAGAGTAAAATCTATCCTTTTTATTTTTTTAATTAATTGATTTTTTCTTTACTTTTATATACGAGTAAAATATGTTTTACTTTTTATTATTATTATTAGTTTTATTTTATTTTAATATTTATATATTTTTATGGAATCTAAATGTACAGTGCATCCAGAAAGTATTTATAGCGCTTACATTTTTCTGCATTTTTTTTATTTTACAGCCTTTATCTAGAATGGATAAAATTCATTTATTTGTTTCAAAATTCTATACACAATACCCCATAATGACAATGTGAAAAAATATATTTTTTAAATTGTTACAAATTTATTAAAAATAAAAAAACCTGAAAAATCACATGTACAGAAGTATTCACAGCCTTTGCTCAATACTTTGTTGATGCACCTTTGACAGCAATTACAGCATCCAGTCCTTTTGAATATGATGCCACAAGCTTGGCACAACTGTCTTTGGGAATTTTTGCCCATTCATCTTTGCTGTACCTCTCAAGCTCTATCAGGTTGGGTGGGAAGTGAAGGTGTACAGCCATTTTCAGATCTCTCCAGAAATGTTCAAATGGATTTAGGTCTGGGCTCTGGATGGGCCCTTCAAAAACATTTTGGTGGTGTGCTTTGGGTCATTGTCCAGCTGGAAGATGAACCGTCGCCCCAGTCTGAGGTCAGGAGTACTCCGAGGCAGGTTTTCATTTAGGATGTCTCTGTACATTGCAGCATTCATCTTTCCAGACGGGAAGTGACTGGCCATACAGGGCTGATTGGTGGATTGCTGCACAGATGGTGGTCCTTCTGTAAGGTTCTCCTCTCTCCAGAGAACGCTGGAGCTCAGACAGAGTGACCATCGGGGTATTGATCTCCACCCTGACTAAGACCCTTCTCCCCTGATCACTCAGCTTAGATTGCCGGCCAGCTCTAGGAAGAGTCCTTCTAAACATCTTCCACTTATGGATGATAGAGGCCACTGTGCTCATTGGAACTTTCTGAGCAGCAGAAATTTTTCTGTAACCTTTCCCAGCCTTGTGCCTCGAGACAATCCTGTCACGGAGGTCTACTGACAATTCCTTTGCCTTCATGCTTGGTTTGTGCTTTGACATGCACTATCAACCCTGGAACCTTATATAGACAGGTGTATGCCTTTTCAAATCATACCCAATCAATTGAATTTACCACAGGTGAACTCCAATTGAGCTGCTGAAACATCTCAAGAATGAGCAATGGAAACAGAACGTACCTGAGTTCAATTAAGAGCTTCACAGCAAAGGTAGTAAAAACTTATGTACATGTGATTTTTCAGGTTTTTTATTTTTAATAAATTTGCAACAATCTAAAAAAATAAAATCTATTTTCACATTGTCATTATGGGGTATTGTGTATTGAACTTTGAGGAAATAAATAAATTTAAACTATTTTTGAATAAGGCTGTAACATAAAAAAATGTGAAAAAAGTGAAGCGTTATGAATACTTTCCGGATGCCTTGTATATGTGTACGACGGGTTTTGTTTGTTTGTTGTGTTTAAAAAAAAGGAATATTGAAAAGCTATTTGTACAACATATTCAATAAAAGCATGTTTGAGTAAAAATATTGCATTTCTTTAAACACAATCTCAGGGCAACTGAGTGATTGAGGTGAGACAAGAATTGATAAATACTCGATTCTTTCTAAAATAAATTAAAATTTTAACAAATCACTGTTGAAATAAAGACTTGATCCAAAATGTAAAAAATGTAAATGTCAAAATATTTCTTATTTTGGTAAATGAATGGCTAGTACATAATAATATGTATAATCTCTGTTGCATGTTTCTGTAAAACAGGCTCACAGTTTTATAAAGGAGCAGATAAGGATGTGTCAAGTCTACTTCTCCACTGTAATAAAGGTACAGTCTAGAAAGGAAGTGAAGTATATGTTTGAGTTTGCATGTGTGTGAAGTGCTGGTTATCTCAGTGGGAACTGTGGTACCTGGGGTGCGTGTGCTGCTGATTGATCTGGCTGACGACAGTAGGGCAGTTGTTAGTGTGAACTCTGTGACTGCGCACCATGTAAACAGGGTTCTTCATGACGGCTGTTACTGCAGAGCAGGGGGCCAGTCCTCGATGTGCTGAGTCTGAAGGTTTAAACACAACCACAAAATAACCAATAAAACACTCCAATGAGAAACACACATACACACAATTCCCTTCAACTGCCCCCTGTGCTCACATATTTCATTTCAGTTTCTTTTATTGGGCCTGCTCACATGTTCAAAAAACGTTTAATACGTTGAATGTTATGTAGCACTTATTATTAAAGTTATATTAACTAATAAAAAATATATTAATTAAAATCACTTATCAATGCATAAATAGATGTACTTATAGATACAGTTCACAATGTTTTTCATTACATAAAACATTAACCCATGAATAACTAAATCATAATTTAATTTTGGAATATTTGTTTGGGGGTGGCAAAGTGGCTAGCAATGTCACCTCACAGCAAGAAGGTCGCTGGTTCAAGTCCCGATTGGGCCAGTTGGCATCTCTGTGTGGAGTTTGCATGTTCTTCCCATATTCATGTAGGTTTCTACTGGGTGCTCTAGTCCAAAGACGTGGAATTGGATGAAGTAAATTGGCCATAGTGTATGACTGTGTGTGTGAATGAGCCTGTATGGGTGTTTCCTAGTACTGGGTTGTGACTGAATAGGTGGCAGTTCATGCCACTGTGGCGACCCCTGATATATAAGAGACTAAACCGAAGGAAAATGAATGAATAAGTATTTGTTTGGTACTTTTTACTAAAAAAAAAAAACACCCTGAAAAAGTACCCAACTTACTGCAAATTTTATGATAGATTATGTATATTTGTATTTAAGAGTTTAAAGGATCGGGCACTTTCTTATTTATCTGAACTTGTAGCCAGTTAACATATCTGTTGGATGTTTAAGGTCATCATGTCAGAAATTGTTAAAATTCCCCAGTTAAAGTCCCAAAGACTTTTAAGAGAAAATGGAAAACTGGGCTTATGTTTTTATGGGTCCCAAATTGTGGAGTAGTCTACCTCTTTCTATCAAAATTATCGCCACAATTATCCATGTTCAAGGTAAAAAAAAAAAAAAAAAACTTTATCTTTCAGGAAAGGCTTTTAATACCAGAGTTATTTGAGCTTGCTTTTTTTCTTTTATGTGTTTTTAAATTTATGTACAACACAATGATCATTAATGACTGTTGTTGTATTGTGCTATACAATGTTAAAGATTTTTGTAAATTACACAGTATTTGCTCCTTAATATGTATTTTACTGTAGGACAGTTATGAAGTTTGTAAACAAGTAAACTAGTAAGTAAGTAAACAAACAAACATAATAGTCTCCAAAATAAAAAAACATAGGACTAGAGCCATCAATGTTTCAAAAATGATATGGTCCCATCATGAGTTTTGCTGTAATGCTGCCTCGCTTTGCCTTTTGCTTGTGTTAAATTAAAACAGCTGCTCTGGGCGACAGAAGAGCAGACAGTGGGGAAGCTCAGAAGGAGCCATGCTGACCAAAGCCTGAATATTCAAATCAAGTAAAAATAGACCTCATTATAAAACAAACCCCATGTGAACTGTGCAGTCACATGACTGAGGACCCACAGTGTTCTGTCCTGTTTCTACAAAAATCCAAAGCCCAAACAATGTAAATATTATGTCATCACGTTAAGCATAACTAAATTGAATAATTTCAGGTCTAAATTACAAGAATAGGTTTGTGAGAATAAATCAGGAAAAAAATATTATATATGTATATATATATTAGGGATGTCAAAATTAGTGCGTTAACGCATGCGATTAATTTTAAATAATTAGCGCGTTTAAAAAAATGAACGCAATTAACGCAGTTGCAGGTTTTTTTATTTCCTGTTGTGGTGGACGTGTGTTTAACATGCGAGAAATGTGGATAAGACCAAGGAAGCACTTTTTGAAGGCAAGTTTCAGTATAAAATAATTAATGTCGCATCACCAGGCTCTCCAGAGTTTCATGCAATTTCGGGTGTTTCATTTTTACCTTTCGACTTCTGTTGTAAGTTGATACCGCATGGCGAACAGAAAGAAAATCCTCCGCATTTCGTGACTCGGTGTTCCTTTAAGGTAATAAAATAACTGCTTAGGCTACACGGTAGAATTTTAATAAGAGTATAATCTTAATCATATTAAAAACTTATGTGAATGTACTCAGAAAGTCTCTGGTGAAGTCGCGAGCTGTCAAAGACAGGGCATTACTCTGCCTTTCAGCATGAGCCCTCCAAGTTTAGCGTGTGTCCTCAATAAATGCAATGAAAGCGTATGCTTCGCGTTGTTGTGTCAGAATCCTTGTGAAATACAATAATACTTTAGGATGCTTAGTTTAAGTAAATTTGATGAACGTGATCATGCGTGTTGAATCTGGGGGGAGTCGCTCCAGTATGGAAGGCCGTTGGGGCCAAAACGTCTGCAGCGCGTTGTGTGTGTCTGTGTGTGTGTCTGTGTCAGGGATGGAGTGAGCGACATATCTGAGTAGAAGCGTGTGCGCACAAGACGTACCTGAAGGACGGTGGGGGTGAGTTGCGCGCGACATAGGCTACCTGAAGAGCTAGGAGGGATGCGGGGTAGAGGGGTGTGCAATGTATTTAACGACCGGTTTGCGAGAAATTATTATTCATTTGCGGGCATTTGGGAGTCTCTGCGCACTTGCGGAAAACTCCTAGTCTTAGCAACTGGATGAATGTAAAGGAGGATTAAGCAAAATTGTTTCTACTCTATAACTAATGTTCTCAACTCACAGCAATAAAAATTTACAATGAGTTCAACAGTTTATATTCTATAGTTTATTATTATAATTGTTCATTTTCAATATCTCAATTCCTGTATTTTGGCATTTTTTTGCAGTCCACTTAGAATCCAACATGGAAATCAGTGTTTTCTTTATTGGCATTGATTGTTTTGAAATTTAAATGTCATTAACATGCCTGTGTTTTAATTTCTTTAATAAATACGACTGTCAAGCCAGGATCTTGATGGTTTATTGTGGGTATGTTGTTTACTTGAAGAAATCTGTGTTACAGGTTAAACAAAAATTCTAATAAACAATTATATTTTGAGTTTTAATTCTAATAAACAATTATATTTTGAATTTTAATAGTTTTTGTCTTGCGTTTACATTAATTTTACATTTGAATAGCCAAAATGACAAGTTTCAGTATTTTGAATGCGATTAATCGCGATTAATTTTTTTTTAAAAGGTGTAAAAAATAGTAAAAAAATAAAAAATTAGTAAAAAAAATTTTTTTTAGCGATTGACAGCACTTATATATATATATATATATATATATATATATATATATATATATATATATATATATATATATATATATATAGCTCCATACAAAGTGATGGAATAAATATTCAATGACAAAATGTAGAAATAACCAAGCTCGATTAGCCATGTTTTTGATGATTATCATAAATAAGCATTACAATTACTCAGCACTGAGTTCACCATATAATTTTGTAAAATTTATAACAGCTATGTACTGTATATGCAGTAATGTAATAATAAAACATATTAGCTGATTATAATAGCTGATTTGTGTGGCATTCATTTTTATTAAACATTTTCATATAATCTTTTGAACTATAGTAACTTTTTATGAGTAAAAAAATGTGAATTATTATTATTTATACAATGATGACCATGTTATTTGATGGTACAATTCCTGTACTTAAAAACCCCCAGAAAAATCATAGAAACCAGCATAGAAAAATACTTGATCATCAGTCAATCTAAATTAATAAAATCTTTCCAAATAGAGCTATTAAAATCAACTGGTGAAATTACATTTATATATAATGAATATAAACAAAACAAAATATATTGTGCAACCCTAATGTGAATTTAAAAAAAGTTTAATTGGATAGTTTGAAAAAATACATAATACTGCCATTTTTATACTTAAAGAAATGTAAAACATTTTATCTTTAAAATCTTTGAGTGACACTTAAATATCTTATAACAACAATGAACAAACAATTTTACATAATCACAATAAATGTGGCTTTCTCTTAAATAAAAAGGTTTTCTCTTAAATGTGCTATATTCATCTTAACCGCATCTTCCACACAAGTTTAAAATTATTCAACTTTTCTTCATGTAAAATTTTAAAGTAAGAAAAAAATTGACGTGAAAGACTGTCACGATTACCAGCGATCATTTCCCATAAGATCGCTGGTTTGCAACTACAATAACCATGGACTACAAATCTGACATTTCTGGACTACATATTCATACATGCACTCCGGTCACACTCACACCACCTGAGGATTGTCAGAGACTGATAAACACACACTATTTAAGCCACACATTCACCCCTTTAGTTTGCCGAGTCATGTTATCTGTCACAGTAGCATTGCAACACGTTTCCCAGTCTAGTTAACTTGTGTACCGACCGTTAGCCTTGTTAGCTTCTTTGCCTGCCGCCAGCCTTTCTGACCTCTTGCCTGTATTCGACTGTGATTCTGGATTATCCTCACACACCTGTTTGCACCTGTGTTGACCACCGCTTGCCTGACTGTGAATAAACCTGCATATTGGATCTTACCTCAGTTGTTGGTGTTACTCCCCGATGTTACAAAGACGTATGATGTGGTAATAGAGTGGGTAATATAATAGGCTTGTGTTTCATCCCGCTCCATTTCATAATGGCTAAATTCATTTGTGATATTAAGTGTATATGTAAAAGTAAATATTTTTGTTAATTATGAAATGTATTTTGTTTAAAAAAGTATTTTATTGTATGATATTCTGTTCAAAATAAATAAATCATATCAAACTACAGCTGAAAAACATCTTGTATCACTAAGAGTGAATGATTCAACAAACATTCCCTTTGTGTTTGCCATGAATCCATCATTACGCTTCAAAAAACTATGTAAAACCAGAAAAAATGCAGTCAAGTTCCTCATTTTCATACTAATGACGGCATGAATATTCAAAAATTCTAAATCAACAAGCTCATTCAACCTTATGTGGCATTGTTATCATAAATGAGCATTTTAATTAGACAGTACAAAGTTCTTCATAAAATTAAGTAAACATCAATTTTGTAGGCTACCTCGTTCAGAGTAAAGATGAACTGCACTGCGCTGAGTAAATGCAGATATAGACTGAGTAGGAAGTATGTTTTTAGAGAGATGCATTAAACTAGGGCTGTGATTGAAGCGGGTGTAACTTACTGGGAGGAAGGGTTCCATTATAGGACGTAGGCACGAAACCCACGCTGTGTCTGTGAGGTCGGTTAGGAGAGGAGCGCAGCATCTCCCTCTGCTCCACGGAGTCACCGTCATTAGAGTAACTCTGCCAAAGGCACACATAACACAGCATTAGATAATCTAGGCTACAGCTCCACAGAAATGTAAACATTTTCTATGAATTACAGGACAACAAAAATACAAATATTCTTAAAGATAAATAAACAATTAACTGTGAAGTTTTTTTTTTTTTTCAGCATGTGACTCAGATTTAGACCAAAAACTAGAATACGCAAGACATGTAATTCGTATATAGTTTTGAATTGGGAAAGGGTAACAGTCAATATGGTGAAAGAAGCCCTGTCTTTTAGTATAGAAGCCAATCAACGATCACTATAGACTGACGATTCTCCAGGGGAGGGGCTTGGATCAGACGTTAGTTTCTGCAGATTTTATGTAATTCGAATGTTTAGAAATGAAACTAAAGAAACAAGTTTATTGTCGATTCCTAATATAAAATGTAATCATTAGCTTGGCAAGCAAATTTTGAAAATATGACGCTACCAAACTCAAACAGAAAACTCAAGCATACTGTCCAAGATGCGTTTCAAAGATGGCCGACGAGTGAAATGGCTTGCCTTAAAGCAGGGCTGTCCAAACTAAGACCTGGAGGGCTGGTGTCCTGCATAGTTTAGCTACAACTTCCTTCAACACACCTACCTGGAAGTTTCTAGTGTACCCAGAAAAAGCTTGTTTTGCTGGTTCAGGTGTGTTTATATAGGTTGGAACAAAAATATGCAGGACACCGGTGCTCCAAGAACGAGTTTGGACACCTCTGCCTTAAAGGTACTTTGATTAGACTCAGCACAAAACTGGTTAATTGGGCAGTCTAAATGTATGAAACTAAATGAACAAACATCTTTCTTATCTCATCTTAAGGAAAATTGATGGCCTAGAAATTTTGTGCACTGATACAAATGTGAAATTTATAATGTTACGCATTTCATAAAATGAATAAATATTCCGTATTATTATTATTATTGTAGCTAAGAATAAATTCAATATTATTACCTGATAAAATTAAAGGGATAGTTTACCCAAAAATTATAATTATGTTGTCATCATTTGTTACCACAAAAATAAAATTATTTTAGAACAATGTTGGAAATCTGTAACCATTGACTTCCATAATATTTGCTTTTATGTCTATGAATTACATTAATTACAGGTTTTCAGCTTTCTTCAAAATATCTTCTTTTGTGTTAAACAGAGGAAAGAAACTCAAAGGTTTAGAACCACTTAAGGATGAGTAAAGGTTTTTTTTTTTGGTGGACTATCTCTTTAATATATATATATATATATATATATATATATATATATATATATATATATATATATATATATATATGTGTGTGTGTGTGTGTGTGTGTGTGTGTGTGTGTGTATGTGTGTATATATATATATATATATATATATACTATACACACACTACCAGTAAAAGGTTTGAGGTCAGTGGTATTTTTAAATGTTTACAATTAAGCTTCTCCTGCTCACCAAGGCTGCTTTTATTTTATCAAAAATACAGAAAAATGTGTAAAATTGTGAAATGGTATTGCACTATAAAATAACGGTTTAAAAGTAGTTTATCATTTAATTTAATATTTTATTTCAGTGATTGTAATGATGCATTTTTAGCTTCATTACTCTAGTCTTCAGTCACATGATCCTTTTGAAATCAATACTAATTATTATTACCAATATTATTTTTATTAATGGTAATAGTAATAAAAGCAATACTGGATTAATCATTTCATTTGAAACTACATACATTAAGAAAGCAGTTTTTTTGTAATGTTTTTAAATATTTAAACTTTTTTTTTTTTTTTTACATTTAATAAATGCTGCCTTGTTGAACAAAATAATTTAAATAAAAAAATAAATAAAAAACTCCCCCAAACTTCTACCGGTAGTGTATATTTAATAAATATTTGAATATAGGCTTTATTTATTATAGTACATGCATAAAATTACTAGACCATTTTTAAAATTAAGAATTATATAATATCTTCTAAACCACTTGCTAATTTTCTGCATATTATAAAGAGGCGTGCGTCAGCATTTCTAATGCTCTCTTCCCCTCTCTCTATCCTGCTGGTGCAGTGGGAGATCAATCTCAGGCTGCGAGGCTAATTAAAACAGGCAGGGTGTCTGGCTGTGTCGAGCCCAGCGGATCTATAAATTCACCTGGAAGCTCTGGAGAGGAATGTTTTGAGGAGTCATCCTGCGTCTGAGGGCCGGGGCCGATTTGGGCCTGGGACGCTTCACTTCGGGCTCCTCCGCCCACATCCGACCGATGTCCTCCTCACAGGACTTCCTGGAGCTCAAGACTTTACCCTCACTGAAGTACAAGTTCCCATTACGATCTTCCTGCTTAGGTTCAGAGATGGACATGGCACTAATGGTGGACTCGGAGGTGGAGCTTCCCTGATGTTTGTGCTTGAATTTAAAGGAGTCGCTGCGAGTAGGCGGGGTTGGGGGTGTGGGGGCGGAGTCTGCTTTTAAAGGCTGAGGGCCATGGTAATCAGCTTTTGAGGGGGTATCAGGTCGTTTGAAGGTATCGGCATCAAAGATGGACTTTCTTTGTTTGGGTGACCTGTAGATGGAAAGCTGCGCTGGGCTGTCCGTGGTCATCGCGACACCAACCACCATTTTGGGCCAAGTGCCGCCACTATGTTTCTTCTCTAAGGTGGTCTCCAACGTTACACATTCAGGGCCGACGGACTCTGAGCGAGTGTAGCAGACCTCCTGAAAGGCGCTGGCGCTGTAACGGACTGGTCCCAGTTCTGAAGCAGGTCGCAGTGTGTTTGGGTGCAAGGTGGATATGGGGAAGACCTTCCTTTCAGAAAAAAGGCTCTCCTCTGCATCAGATCTGGTTTTTCGTCTCTCTCCGGCCGTGTCACAGCTGTAAATGTCTGTCTGGGTGGAGCTGTTGTGTTTGAGGTTTCTGCTGTTTCGTGAGTGCACATCTGTCAGGTGGATTCTGCCATTGGATTTCTCTGCCTCCCTCAGGCTCTCGAAGATGTTCTGTCCTGATGTGCTCTGGGGAAAGAACTGTTAATGGACAGGTTCAGGATGGCTGGGAGAAATATACCATAACATCAATAATACAAAATAAAGTAGAGAAATAACTGTTATGGAGGCCTGTTTAAAGTTTAATGGCTACCCATAATACTTTGACTGTTTGAGTAAACTCTGAATTTTGTTTTTGTTTTCTCCAAAAAGACAGAGGGCTCTATTTTGACCATCCATGCGCAAAGTGCAAAGCGCAGGGGGTATGTCAGAATCCACTTTTGCTATTTTAAAGACGGAAAAATCCGCTTTGCGCCATGGCGCATGATCTAACAGGATTGAGCTTATTCTCTTAATAGGTTGTAGGTGTGTTTTGAGAATAAACCAATCAGAGTCTCATCTCCCATTCCCTTTAGGAGTCAGTTGCATCGCGCCATGGTGCTTTTGCTATTTACATGGCGGACTTTGTAAGTGGAAAAACTAAACCCTTCACTAGCAAGAAAACATTTAAACAGAGCATCTACAGCATGAGAATGAGAGAATGAGCTTCTTAATTGTTTACTTTCACTTTCATTCTCGTGGATAAGGAAACATGTTGTACGTACAGACATCTATTAGCCTATAAATAATTAATTTTGTTTGTTAAGTGCAAAGATTTGTTTCAAAACTATTTCTAAATTCAGTTGTTATTTCCAGCAAATGAATAAATGACCAATAAAAACAAAGTGTGGTCAAAAACGGAGTTTTATCCAAATACACATGCTGTGCCCCATATGGTCTAAAACCTGACAGGTGGGCAAATCTAAGCTTGTTTTTAATAAAACAAATATAAATAAGCATATAATAAATAATGCTGCAAATAATAATGACATTATACAAAAGCAAATTGTTATGAATAAACTGAAAAAGCCCCCAAGATAAAGAAAGCATGGAGGTATGGTTTTTATATTTATCTAGGCTGAAAAATAATATTTTTTGTAATATTTTATTCATTTAATTATTTTTCATTTGTAAAGATATTTGCAAATTGATGTACACCCTGTGTGTACTAGCGCGCTTTGTGCTGGACAATAGACCTGATTTGTTCTGGTCTATTGAACCGTCTATATATGTTTTTTAAAATAGCAACGCGCCAGCAATGTGCCTCAACACGCCTCGTTTTTTAGACCAGAACGCCTATGGGCACATATATGAGAGCAAATGCATTTGCTATTTAAACAGCGAGGCGCAAAATGTCAAAACAGCTCGTGCGCCAAGCTGAAACTAGCAAACAACAATTGCATCACGCCTTGCGCCGCATTGCAAGGGTGTATGATAGGGACCATATTGATAGGGATGCACTGAAATTTGATTAAGTCTGTTCTGAAATTGAATCAGAGTGAAATCTTCTTGGTGTAATGTATTGTAAAAATATACATTTTATTTTAAAATTAAAAACCTTTTAAAATGGCAAACTTTTATAATGTTGAAGACGCCTCTCAATGTTTTTATAATGCTGCTCTAAGGGGCAGATCACACTGAAAACAGTTTTTGCATTAGCTATGTTTCTATCCAAAAATGAGAATGAACTTTATGCGCAAAACTGGATTATCGCATATAAGACATGTGAATAAAGCAGTGGTTCCATCCAATGAGTCAAAGAAAAAAAATTTGTCACTTGCCAATTAACTGCCGCCAAATATCAACAGTAAAAACAGAATTTGCTGAGGTAGCAGAAACTGTGTAAATCTTTTCTTTATTTACTAAATGACTTGCGCCTCAGAAGGCAATCCTCACATAGAGTGAACAGGCGTGAGACGTGGAACAGAGACGCTCTTGATTCTGGAGGTAATTAATAATATAACACTAATACTGAAACAGTTAAGGCATTTTACAATGACCAAAACAACATTTCGGTTGTTTTACAGTGTGCTCAAACTGCGGGTTTGTCCATTCACACACATTTTTATCATCACATGATCTCTTAACAAAATTACATGGCCTTTTTTAATGTGCATACTGAAATTTGTTCGATAAAAGTGTTTCATCATAGTTTATACACATCTTTTCTCATCAAATAAAAAGTTTATCCTGCTCAGTTATGCGCATACACTTTCATGCGCATTTTCAAAACTAATGTGCATCTTGGCGTTTCCATCAACTGATTTTTATGCGCATATCCAAAATGTGCATAAAAATAAGTATTTTTTGGTAATTGAATAAATTACCAAAACATTATAAGGCACTCTCTGAAGACCTAGAAGCCCCTAATAGTCCCCCTTTAAAACATATAATTACACAAATAAATATTCATATTAACCAACAAACTGAAAAAGACCCATACCATTATTAGATATATTTACAAAGCTGATATTAAAACGACCTTATGTGCAATTAAATTACAAAAATAACTTAACTATTTTAGTGATGAATAATACATTGATTTCAATAATTAACTGATTATTAAATACACTTATTTCAGTTTTTTAGGTGGTTTTAATGAAATAGTATAGGTGTTAATAGAAAATATTAATAAAATACATTAAAATTATTTTTTTTATTCAGTCAGTGCCCAGATTTTTATGCATTATTAGTTTTCATTAGCTATTATTAGACTCCCGGTATATAATAAATTATTTAACTATTATTGGGAAATTGGGTGCGTCTCAAATCGCATACTTCTGCACTATTCTACGCCGTTAGGTTGTATAAATAGTGTAAGTAGTGCACTCACACTGAAAACTCTTTAATTACCCGGATGATGCACACGTAGCAGAAGGGGCGGATCCTTTGGATGCTCGTTTTGGATTACTTTATTTATTACACCGCCTCTCAATGGTAAATGCGGTTATACTCATGGCAGGTATTATTAGGTAGTTGGAACATTTATTTAGCTAATTTAGCAAACATCATCAGGGAAACTATCGAGTCAATCTAGGGCCCTATAAACTTGCAACATAAAAGAAAGTTATAAATAAAGAACTAAATAAAAATCTAAATTTTAATATTTGCTATTAAAAATATATACATATATTTGCTAAAAAAATTTTCCAGTGTTGCCTTTACAAAACCTCTCAAGTCAATTGCAACGCTCATTTTGATTAGCTTTTCAGTCAACCGTGAGTTAGCGATGCTGTTTTCTTTTCGCACTCACATTTCTGTGCGTTTCACTTTCTGGCCCTGATTTGAAAAGTGTGCAGAGTCACAGGAACTGGGGCGTGTACAGCATGCACGGACCTGCCTCCTATGAAGTGACGTCATCAGCTGGCAACATCGTGACACAAAGGAAATCAGCCATGAATCGCTGTCAGATCTAATCAACATAAGCTAAAACTGTTTTTAGGGGATGTTTAAACCGTTGAACAGTAAAACTCGCAAAATTGACTTGAGAAATATAATTTTTTTTTTTTTTGCAGCTCAAATTCCTTTTTATTTCTCAAAACTCAATTTTCCCATTGCGATTTTTTTTTCTGGATTTGTATTCATTCATTCATACATTTTATTTTCGACTTTATTAATCAGGGGTCGCCACAGCGGAATGAACTGCCAACTTATCCAGCATATGTTTTACGCAGCGGAAGCCCTTCCTGCTGCAACCCATCACTGGGAAGCACCCATACGCACTTACATTCACACACATACACTACGGACAATTTTAGCTCACTCAATTCACCTATAGCGCAAATCTTTGGACTTGTGGGGGAAACCGGAGCACCCGGAGAAAATCCACGCAAACACATGCCAACTGACCCAGCCGAGGCTCGAACCAGTGACCTTCTTGCTGTGAAGTGATCATGCCTGCGCCACTGCATCGCCCGCAATTTGTATTATTTTTCACCATTTTTTTGGTCATTACTTTATTTCATTTGCAAATCTTTCGTTAATGTTGCAAGTATATATGGCCCTAGATTGACTCCATAGGTAACGGTTTAAATTTACGCTTAGTAAAAAAAACATTTGTGTTCCATTTGAGACGACACTACATACCTATACTATGCTGTTGAGTGTGTAAGTACATAGTGTATAGTGTGCCGTTTAGGATGCAGCTTTTGTAACTACAAAGTAAAAAAAAAATAATAATAAAAAAAAAATTTAAAAAAAAAAAAAAAATATATATATATATATATATATATATATATATATATATATATATATATATATATATATATATATATATATATATAATATTATTTTTTAAATATAAAAAAATAATATGTACATTCCTAATTCAGAGGGATAGTTCCGACCAAAATAAAAATGCTGTCATCATTGCCTTACCCTTCACTTGCTCAAAATTGATTTGACTTTCTTTTTTCTGATAAACTGATGGTTGATGTGGCCTATTAATTTCCATAGTATTTTTCCTACTATGGATGGCCAGTCAATGGATACCAGCAACCATCTTCCTTTGTGCTCAACAGAATAATAAAATCAAATAAGTAGTAAAAAAAAAGTAAATGATGAGGTTTTTCATTTTTATTTTTGGTAATCTATCCCATTAAAACTATTCACAATATTTAAAACAGCATCAAGCAGTAAACATTCTTTTAAGAAGAGCCTTAACTACTAAAAGCATTAAAAAAGAACATCTACAAACTAGCCTATATTCCAAACTTGATTCCATCAGTAATGCCTGAAGACTTCGTATTCTCACTCAGACAGGCCTGTCTCAAATCCAGCTTGGAATAAATGTCACGGCAGCAGCTTGGCATGTGGTAATGAGACAGCAGAGAGAGAACAATCACCTTCATGAGAGAGAGAGCGAGCGAGTCCCTGCCACCCCTCAGCAGAGCCTCACATTCACTCAGAGATTTGTTATCCAGAGCGATCCCATTTATCTGGGGAAGAAGAAATTTAGGTCAGCGCTTCACCAAAAAAAAAAAAAGTGCAGAACTTTCAATCCTTCTATTTTCAAACCAAGAAATGACTTTGGAAACTTGAGAACAGAGACAAAGAGATACGCCTGCTGAATGAAGGGATGTACTTTAAGATCTCCAGATAAGTCCTTCCATCTTGTTAAACTTGAAAAGTTCTTTACTCAGAATTAAAACTCATTACCACTGTAAAGTCGTTATATACCTAAACTAAAATCAAATGGAGAAATGTTAGAAACAAAAAGCACTGGCTGTGTAAATTAATCTTATAGAAGACTATGGGAAAATGGCACCCTAGAGGTTCCATAAAAGTGATCCATGACACTGTATTTCAAGTCATAAAATAGCTTTATGTAAGGAACAGATTGAACTCAAGAGCTGTTATTCATCAAATGTAGCCCTCAAATGAAATAGGATGCCATTAGTTGTCAGGTCTGAAGTCAGCCACACACAACAACCAACAGCATCCAATTTCAAATTGTACTTTGCTAGTCGAAACAAATTTTGTTGTAAATTTCAGCACTAGATATACAGTTGAAGTCAGAATTATTAGCGCCCCTAAATTATTAGCCCCGTTTATTTTTTCCCCAATTTCTGTTTAACGGAGAGATTTTTTTCAACATTTCTAAACATGATAGTTTTAATAACTAATTTCTAATAACAGATTTATTTTATCTTTGCCATGATGACAGAAAATAATATTTTACAAGATGCTTTTAAGACACTTCTATACAGCTTAACTAGGTTAATTAGGCAGGTCAGGGTAAGACTATTAGAAAAAAATGCTTAAAGAGGTTTTTAATTTTTACCTTAAAATGTTTTTTAAAAAAATTAAAAACTACTTTTATTCTAGCCGAAATAAACAAATAAGACTTTCTCCAGAAGCAAAAATATTATTAGACATTTCTTGCTCTGTTAAACATAATTTGGTAAATATTTAAAAAAGAAAAAAAATTCAAAGGGGGCTATAAATATATGAATATTTTTACTAGCCTGCCTCTAGTAAAAGTTAATTATCTTGATTTTTTATAATCACTCTTCATAAAAATAGTGTGCAAAAACACTTAGAATGACATTCTCCCTTTCTACAAGTCATTAGAGGGGGAAATTACTGCCCATTAGGAATGTTCTCTGTTTATCTTTATGTTTATGTTTATCTGCCAAATTTTAGTCATCTTAGACAACCTTCTCTTGAGCCACCACTAACCACTGTTAGTCCTGTTTTAAATCTGCCACTATGCTGACCTGACACACAGGTGTTTATAGCTCTGCTTACTTTTAAAAAGAGGGCTGGGAGCATAACATAATTTGATTTATAAGCGACAGTCACCAAAATGGTGCAGGATTTGGATCAAAGAGTTATAAAATACTAGTTCTGTTGTATTTTGAGCTGAAACTTCACATATACACTCTAGAGACATCAGAAACTTATTTTACATCTTGTAAAACTTTACATAATGGGTTTAAACCAAGCCACATCTACCTGGCAAGCAAAATGACATGACAAAAAGTCTTGTTTTTGGTAAAATTGTAAAAAAAGAAAAAAAAAAGAAAAAAAAAAAGAACAATTCTCTACCAAGGAATTCAAGTATTAAACCATTTTTGTGATAAAATAATATAATATAATATAAAATAATATAATATAATATAATATAATATAATATAATATAATATAATATAATATAATACATTTCAGTAAGTTTTCAAGGAATATTTGTAATGAATAAATAGATGCATCAAATGAATAGTTCACCTAAAAATGTTATTCTGTGATCCTTTATACACCCTTCAGTTGTTTCACATCTGTCTGAGTTTCTTTTTTTCTGTTAAACACAAAACTGATAGTCTTAGATTCCATAGTATTGTTACCTACAATGAATGTGAATGGCAATTAGTTTCCAACATTTATGTATCAAAACATCTTCTTTAATGTTCAACAGAGCAAAGAAACTCAGAAAGATTTGAAATCACTGACAGGTAAGCAGGGTAATACATTTAGATTTGTCAGTGAACTACACCTTTAAGTACATTAATTATATAATCAATAAAAATCGAAAAGTCATTTCATGACTAATATGTTACCTAAAAATGTCTTGTTTTTGCAATTTTTAAATGAACTATTCCTTCGCTGATAAGAATTGACAGATGTGACACTATTGATTGAACCATCTGACATGTCCAGCATCAGAGCCAAAAGGTTAGAGATATCCACCACCCCGTATCCAGCATGCAGTTAAAAGTAACACCTGATCTGCTCTCAGGATTAACATCTGTGTTACTTATCACTGGAGTGCCAGCTATCACTTAGCACATCACCAGTCTTATATTCAGCACCTCCATTTAAGGACTGCCCTGGACTTGATTGGCACTTCGTCTAATGAGCCTCCATGCATTTAAGATAAGGAAGTGGATTAAAAATCTGCTTCGGTTTGGATACTGTGATGAGCGCTAAGGTCAGACTTTTGTACAAGCAAATCGGATCCTTGACAGCTTCGGTTTGACGAAGGCTCACATGACTACTTACGGCAATCAGGCGGTCTCCGATGGTAAGAGATCCTTCTCTGGCAGCTGGACTGCCCGGTGCGATGCCAGCCACGAATACACCACCTTCAAGAGCTATACCAGCGTCTGTGCGGAGCAGAATTAAGAGTCATTAATAAGAAAACAGAAGGCAAATAGCTACGGAAAACAGTCAAATGTGTCAGGGAAGACATAGGAAGTTTCTTTATTTATTTATTCATTATTCCTTTTAATGAGTCACAGTCATAAAAGGATAATTCAATCACTCATTATCTGGTTTTAAACCTATGTTGAACAGAAGATATTTTGAAAAATTCTCCTTTGATGTCAATTGTAGGGAAAATAATGACTATGTAAGTCAATGGGTACCATCAATCAGCATTCTTCAAAATATCTTAATTTGCACTCAACAGCAAAAATAAAGCAAACAGGTTTCGAACAAATGACATAGATTTCATTATTGGTTGAACTATCCCATTAACACCATGTCAGCTTTAAATGTAATCATTTATATCCGCCTTTATCCACATGGGATTACAGGGTTTAAAATGATGGACTTGCACTTCTGATTTGGGAAACTTTCATTTAAAAGAACGGAATCAAATGACTTCATTATAATGATGTGTAACAAATAATAGTGAAAACCAAGTTAGAGGTACAGTGCTCAGCATAACGGAGTACACCTCATTTTGAAAATAAATATTTTAAATATTTCTCAGTGAATATGGATAATATATATTGGTGCATTTGAACAAAACAGATTTATTAAACATACATATTTATAAAAATAATATTTTAGTCACAGATCATCTTTAGAAACAGAAAGATAATACTCATGAAAAATATTGCAAAAAATATATATATTATAAACTTTTCAACAAAATTGTATATATGTTTTGTTTCTCTTAATGTTTGCTATTTTTGAAAATCAGGGTTCATACACATTTTACTATGTACGTTGTTTTAAAATTCCATGACTTTTTTTAATGACTTTTCCAAATCTTTAGGGTAATAATTCATGATCTTGTTTCTTGTTTCATGTATTGTCTACGTACACGTGGTAAATGAGAAAAAATGCACATTAAAATTTATCTCAGCATATCAAAAAATATGTGACAATCTATGTAGTTTGTATTTTTATATTTGTAAATTAGTTTTTAGAAAGTATCTTGCTGTGTGTGTGAAAATTTTATAAATGTTGTCTTGTGTTTTTACAAGACTTAAGATTAGTACAAATTTGCCTTTTGCACCCTTACCTCTGCAGTTAGATATTGTTTCTTGACACGACACTCAAAATACATCTCGAGTTACTGTGAAAGCGAGTAAAGACAGGCGAAGCTAAAATTGCTTTTGATTTTTTTAAGTTATTGCTTTTTACCCATATAGTTTTTTTTAAGTTGACCCATCCAATATAGTGTCAAGTATTAGTCAAGTTCATCTCACAAATCTTCAAGTACACAGTTAATTGTTAAATTTCCATGACTTTTCCAAAACATTTTGGGTTTGTTTGTTTGTTTTTCCAAAACTTTTTCAGGCCTGGATAAGGCTTTTTAAAATTTCATGACTTTTCCAGGTTTTCCAGGACCGTATGAACCCTGGAATATGTAAATTAATAATTTTCTCTAACATACATTTGAGTTACGAATTTCTGAACCATTATTGTAATATAATTTGGCTTCAGTACTGGCAAAACTAAAGTAAATGCACAAATATAATATTATAAAGCATCCTATACAAAATATTAATTTAAATGAGAGATTTACTCATATATTTGTAAAAAAACAAGCCAACATTATAAGATTTTCACACAGGCAGCAAGATACTTTCTAAAAACTATTTTACAGATATTTTTATACTTTTTGTACTAATTATTTCCTTTATATTCCACACTGTACATAAATTTCTGTAATATGAGGAAAGGCTCATTTTTTTTTTTTTAATGTCCAATAATCTATTTTCTGAATAAACAGGGCCGTAACCAGCCTAGTGAAAGGGATGGTTCTTTTTTTTTTTTTTTTTTTTTACTCGAAATGTGGTTATTCGCATTATTTTTTTTAATTAATATGATGTTTAAATACTGCATTGTAGTGACATTTTAAGTTGCATAAGCTGGTCGGAAAGTCATCATAACCACACTTTTCAATGTACCAAATATTTCCTTAATATTTAGAATAAAGAAATATTAATAAACACTTATTTTTAAAATACAAATGTATACATTAAATCATTAGGAAAAAAATGGAATCTGTTCAAGTTTTAAATTAAAAACTGTAGCCGAATGACATTAATTGGGAAAATAACAAACTGGCCAGCACATTCAATTGTCCTCAGTCACATTTGCCCATTTTAATAATAAAAATGAAAACATAACTATAATAAAAGAGCTTTATGATTTTTCTAACCTTTCTTGGAAAAAAAGTACATGTGATTTAAGATTCTTGGATAACAACAATAGCCAAATTAGTTTTCAAAATTAGTTTAATATGGGCCACTTTTGGTGCTTAACACTAGATACGTTTCTGATGGTATGATATCCTTGAATAAAAATATCGGTAATATCGGTTTCACAGCATTATGATTACTGCTCTAAAATATATTCTTTTTAATTGTTGAGAAACATTTCAAATATTTTGGAGCAGCAAACATGTCAGGCTAAATGATTCAAAAGATTTATTGACTTCTGCTGTCTTTATTTACAAAGGCATCCTTGGATATCTTTTCTGCTGGAGATACTGCAGTCCTGTTTCAAGAATAAGGTGCAATTTTTATAATAAAATTTACTTGTAAATGTTTTCTCAATTTAAAAACAATACAGATGACTTCACTTACATCCGATTGTGTTTTCTTGCACAGCTGGATATTGGACTCATGAAAAATAATAGTTTGCATTGGACAAAACTGATTAGCCGAAATCACACTGATGTGATGGACAACAGATGATTCGGCTTGGTCTTAAAACAGTTTTAATGGGTTATTTTCTCAATTTATGGTGGTATAGCAGTCAAAATAGGACACATGAGCTAATGTATAAGACAAATTCTGGACCTTTGTCATTGAGGGGTCTTTTGAACCACTCAAACCCCCCTTTTTTGTTGTTGTTCGTCATCTTTTCAAACTCAACATTCTACTAAAAAGTGTTTTGTACTTAAGAGATTGTTACATAAATCACAAATTGATTTCTCTACCCCATTCAGTAAATAAGAATGTGGGAGTTTTGTATGAGCGATTCATCATCTTGTAAATACACGTCCATAACAGTTATAAAATAAGTTTCTTAACTGCCTAATTTAAAGTAGTAAGTGATACCTTTGTGTCCGATGAGATTAATGTGAACAGAAGTAACCAGCCTTCCTCCTAAAGATTTCCTCCTGCGAACGACCATATTGATCAGGCCTCCTCCATTAAGTACAGCTTTGATGACCTGCTTCCTGTCTTTGTTCGTCAGGTCCACATCATTTATCTTCAGCAGCCAATCATTCACCCTATTGAGAGAAAGACACGGCTGGTCAGGACAAAACGACGGGCAGTGAAATGAGCGGGCCATTATCTGTAAAACGCTCAATATGTGAATTCACCTCAATCTTCCATCCGCGATACTTCCTTTGTCCACCCGAGAAACAAATATCCCACAGTCTCCTGGTAAATATGGATCATTCACCCCCTCTGCGATATCAAACCCCATTGCCTTCAAATCCATGTCGTCCTGTTTGGGAGATAATGATGGTCAGAGGGAGAACAATTTTATCTAAGTAAAGACAAACGATAAAATGACGAAAATCAGACAAAGGTCAAAATGTTTCTCCTCCACTACCTAGGTGAGGAATGGATGGTTTTGCTGCCATTTTGGGTGTCTTGTTTTTGCGATATTATAAAAACTTCACTCCTAAGTGCCCTTTAGAGAGGAATATCCCATTTGGAACATACCGTAAATAGTAAGCACGGCAAATGCTGAAATGTTGGTCTGCATGTTAATCATGGCCGCCATATTGAGGTTTCGTTCAAAGCTGAAGTGCTCAAAACTGGCTACTACAAAGGTCTTTTAAGAATGAAGGATTTTAAAGGGTACAACTGAAGGACACTTCAGGCCTCTATGATCCATTGCAGAGAATTTGTTTGGTGTTAAACTACAGGTTCTATCCGGGAGGGTAGACTATGCCTATGCCCTAATCCCTTTGAAGCTGTCACTATAGAGAGAAAACCCATTTAAAGGGATTAGGGCAAGCCATTCCGAAAAGCTACAGTATATGAAATGTATATTAAATATAGCAAGTTTGATGTCTTATGTCGAGAATACAATGATGCTTGCAGTGACAATTCTATAAGCCTAAACGGTAATAAGCCCTGTGTATAATTCATGTTTAAACAGTATGGCTCGGTTGGAACCTCAACCGAGGGGGTACTGAAAAGTATCAGGTACTAGTTACAGAATACAGTGGAAAAATGAGCCATATCGTACTTTTCTGAAGGGCACTTCAGAGTGAAAACAATCTTGGCCACCATATTAAAGTGTCATTCCAAACTGAAGAACTGAAAACTGGCCACCTGGGAGGAATAAAGGCTTTCAAAGAGTAAAACAGATGGACACCTCATGCCTTCATGATCCTTTAATCCAAGGGTGCCTAAACTTGGTCCCGGAGGGCCGGTGTCCTACAAGGTTTAGTTCCAGCCCCAATCAGACCCACGTGGGCTAGCTAATCAAGCTCTTACTGGGCTTTCTAGTCCGGGTGTAACGGATCACGGTTGATCTGTGATCCATACAGATCACAACACACAGTTCAGAACACACATGACCCGTGGATTAATAACTTTTTGTTAATTCGTAGGTTATAACAATTGCAGAGAGATCGCCTTCGGCGTCATTCAAAACACATGTATGGAAGCATTTTGTCTTCCCTTTAAAATATAATGATGACAGAAAAAGTTGTGGTGGGACATACCTAAATGCTCTCATAGGCTATTAATTAAAGGTGTTTTCTGTCACTGTTTGTTTAGCCTGCATTAAAGCGTTCAGTGTAAGGCTTCAGTGTAAAGCAGTGTAAAACAACCATCAAAATTAGGTTATATTTGAATATATATCCAGATATTCATGAAGAGCTGCAGCCCTGCAGAGTTTAGTTCCAACCCTGCTTCAACACACTTACCTGTAGGTTTTAAACAAAACTGAAGGAACTCAATTAGTTTGATCAGTTGTGTTTAATGAGGGTTAAAACTACACTGCGCAGATCTGCGGTTCTCCAAAAAGTTTGACACCTGAATCCCTTCGAAGCTGTAACTATGGAGAGAAAACCCATTTCTAATTTTAACGTAACCTTTTATCAAACCATTTGTTTGATTATTGTTGTGATACAAAAAAAAAACAAGTTTTTCAATTAACTGTTCATGGTTTTTTTTTTTAAACTGTAAGGGTCCTCAACGAGCAAATCAAGTGTATTTAATGTATTTGGAATAAAAAATACACACATACACATGTTTGTTACACACACCCACACACACACCCACACACACACACACACACACACACACACACACACACACACACACACAGTTACTTTAATGTAACAGTTTGGTTTATTTATCTAAGGCAAACCACCTTCTATCAAGTTTAGTATTTGGCCCTTCATAAAAAAAAAAGTTTGGACATCCCTGATCTATATGTATCATATTCTCCAAACTATTCTTTAGGCTGTAGGACTTTGGATTTTTCCATTCTACTTACCCGATCCTTCTCAAACTCCACCACTTCAGTCTCCCACTCTAATGAATCAGTGTCTATGGCTGAATCATGGGAGCTGTGAGCCATCAGCTGGCAGAAACGCGCCTCCTTGTCCAACTGGCTCTCCATCTTCTCCCTTCATTGGGAAAGAGAAAACAATACAAGACAGAGTATTTTCTCTCTCATTTCTCCAAGCAGTCTAATTCATCTCATCCCCCCAAAAACCAAAACAAAACAGAATGAATGTCAAGTGTCAATAGTCTTTGTTTGAAGTGCTTCTGATGCAATACTAGGAAAAACTGAGCCTTACAGGCCTGCTTGATAATAGGAATTGGCATCAGGGCATTTTTGCCACTGTTCACGTAATCTGTAAAGACTGTGCTAGATGGAGATGTTATAAAAGCTGCATCAAGGTCGCACCTTAAAATTGGCTAGTAAAAAACAGGATCAAGTAGTTGGGGAATACTAGCAAACTGTCACTAAGATTCATAGACTGAGAGAAAAGCCTGGAGGGCATCAGTGACATAAAAAAACTTCAGAATAGTTTATAGAGCTCTTAAAGAGGGTGTTTCAACCACTAGGGGGCGTCTGAAGCAGACTTTTGATGACAGGAAAAGGGATTGAGTCTGGTTACAAATAAGCAGACCTAAAATTTACAGAACTATGAATAATTTGTCATAAATTAAAATAACTGTGGATTCTAAATGTTGAATGATCTGCTGCTTGCCAATTTTTTGCACAGGGAAAGAAAAGGCACACCAAAATCATTATTAAATGACTGATTACCTAATTGATCAAATAAATTGATTCATCAATGATTTATTTACTACTTTTTTAGTATTCGATGTATTCTTCATTATTCTTTATTTTCATTTATGCACAATAATATTTAATTATTTATTAATAATTATTATTTTATACAAGTTATTACAGCTAAAATCTCCAAGTTACAATGAACATTCTGCATCCGTTAAGTATTGTAATGTAATGTAATGTGTATTTATATAGCAAATTTATTGTGTATGGCCATACACCCAAAGTGCTTTACAATCATGATGAGTTCTCTCCACCCCCTTACCAGTGTGCAGCATCTACTTAGATGATGTGATGGTAGCCACGGTACAATGTCGCCAGTGCGCTCACCACACACCAGCTATAGATGGAGTGAAGAGACAGTGATAAGAGTCAATTCAGTGGATGGGGATGATTGGAAGGCCATGATGGGTAAGGGGCGATGGAGGGAAATTGGCCAGGACACCGTGGTTACAGGAGGTAATTTAATAAAAACTTATTCATAATTAAATTTGTTTATAACAAATGTTATTACCATTATTAGTATAACTGTTGGACTTGCACATTAAAATTTAGTTATAATATCCAAATGAGGCACTATTTTTTAAATATTAACTTATTTGTATACATCTTTAGCAGATCTGAACATATGGTGTTATTATTTGTTGATGAGTTTATTTATTATTTGTAAACTGAATCTCTTTTTATTTAGAATTTTAAGAATCACATTTTACCCGTGATCTGTTTATATACACCTTTTTGTCCTTTTAGAATAAAATGTTGTATAAAATCTGTAGTATATAATATAATTAATTTAACAAACAAATTAAATGTGAAAATATCCTTCAGTAAAAAAAAACCCTTCAGATTATTAATGTGAATAAAACAGTGACTTTAATGTATGTAAGAGCTGCTGAAGTAGAGATTTGTGGCCCAGCTCAGTAAAAAAGAAACACAATCTATATATATATAGTAATTAAAATCTATACAAACAAATTGATAAAGCGCTACAAAAAAACTAAAAATGTATTTTGGATGTTTTTTTTATGTAAACAATTAATGAGCTGCCAAAAAGTCAATTAATATTAAACATCAATTAAACATTAATATGGCTACTAAATTTTTAAATTAAAACAATAATAATAATAGTAATAATAATAAAAAAGTATTTCCAAGCTTTTATTCTTTTTTTAAATGTATTATAAACATTACCATTTACTAAAATTATTTAAACACCCTGGCTGACTAGAAGATTGACAGTGAGGGAAGACTACAACAAATGTTTACTTGAGCTCTTTAAGTTCCCTGGCCGCATCATTGCGCTGTTTCCTCATATCATCAAGGTTGCGTAGGGCATCGGCCAGATCACTGACGGCTCGGTCTCGCTCTCTACGCAGGTTATCACACAACGTCCTATCAAAACAAAAGAAAAAAACACACTCAAGCATCAACACCAACAGCAGTATACAGATTCATTCAGTTGCATATTGATTATGTACATAATAGATTATTCAGTGGCTAATAGTACCGTATGCTCTCTCTCTCTGCAACAATCTTGTCTCTCTCTTGAAAGGCCCAATCTCTGCGACACTTAGCCACCTCAGCCTCCTGCACTGCCTCCTTCAGCTCCTGAGACATGGCTTCACACTGCTTCCTCAATATGTCAATCTCTTTATTAGCACGCTCCATGTCCAATGTGGCAGAGTCTTGTTTCTGTGGCAAAACATTTGATGAAGTGATAGATGATTTTTTAGATGATTTGATTAACAAAATGTGTTTTAGAAAGCATAACTTAAGGTAGGACACTGCAGGTAAATAGGGTAAAGAATATATAATAATATTTATCTGCAGAATGAACTGCAAAATGTTTTGTATTTTAAGTTTTCTAAAATTTTGTTTAGATATCCAAATGAGGCACAATTTTAATAAATATAAACTATACATTTGTAATTATTTTTAGCACAGTAATACTTGACATTCAAATTCTAAATTCATGTTTCATTTAATTTATTTTCTATAAAAAAAAATATATATATATAGACACACACACACACACACACACACACACACACACACACACTCTCTCACTCACTCACTCACTCACTCACTCACTCACTCACTCACTCACTCACTCACTCACTCACTCACTCACTCGCCACTTTATTAGATACAACCATCCAACTGCTCATTAACGCTAATTTCAAATCAGCCAATAATATGGCAGCAACTCAGTGCATTTAGGCATATAGACATGGTCAGGACGATCTGCTGCAGTTCAAACCAAGCTTCAGAATGGGGAAGAAAGCTGATTTCAGTGACTTTGAATGTGGCATGGTTGTTAGTGCCAGACAAGCTGGTCTGAGTCTTTCAGAAACTGCTGATGCCGACAAATCTGCTGCAATTGCATGATGTCATCATGTCAACTGAATCTATACCATGAAGGATTAGGCAGTTCTGGAAGCAAAAGGGGGTTCAACCCAGTACTAGTAAGGTATACCTAATAAAGTGGCCAGTGAGTGTGAGTGTATGTGTATATGTATATATATATATATTTAAAAATATTTTATTCATTTAGACTGACTGGGATGATCATTTGCAGTGCTTTGTTATTTATTTTTTTTGTGTTGGGGGTGGGGGGGGGAGTCTAACAGTATTCAAGTATAGTAATTGAACATTTAAATGTAAAATAACATGGTCATTGTTTAATACTTTAAAAATAAGATTATTTAGTAGCATCTTTAATAAATAATCTAATCTTGCATTGTGACTATTGCACATACACACATTGCTATATCAATGCTCAATCAATATATTGTCTGTGTCTTTAATGTATGTTTTTAATCTAATTCATTTTTATTTGTATAGCGATTATACAATGTAGATTGTGTCAAAGCAGCTTAACATAGAAGTCCTACCAGTTTTCAGAGTTGAAGTTTAGTTTAGTTCAGTTCAGTGTGGTTTAATTTTCAATGTAGAAGTTCCAAACACCGAAGAGCAAAGCCATCAATTCGCAGCTCCACAAGTCCCAATTGTAATTATGTAACTTTTTAATGTTGACGTATAGATTCATGGCACAGTTCCATAGAAAAATACACATTTTGAGAATACAACCTTTAAAAATTTGTATAATCACAAAAATTACACAGACAAGTTCATAAAGTGCCACAAAAGAAAAACAACTCTTTACATTAGACAGGAAACAACTGAAGAAATGCCAAAATGGCCATTTTTACCTGCAGTGTCTGATCTTAATACATCTCTAAAGTCATATTGGTGAAACAAATCTTATAAATTTCACCTTGGAAAAGAAAATCTAAGAACAGCAACTCTAGAGAAGTCAGAGAGCCCTCTAGTGGACACTGTGCTTCAAGAACTTCCAGCTGCCTGAATAAATCTGCTTATAGTTTTTTTTTTGACTGGAATAATCCAAAGGCTCACAGCTTATGGGATTTTTATGAGCTTTGTGGATTGTAGTGTTTGTTTGTTTGTGAAGACTGGTGTGAAAAATCAAGACAGACAGGGACAACAGTGAGGATGCAATGCTTGGAGATTTGACCAAAGATTCAACTCTGATAAGGTCACTTCAATATTTCTTTTCAAAGAATAGAAGATAAGTGCAATTATTTTGAATAAATATTCAGTAAAAACAGCAACGTTGATAAATATTGCAATTTAAAATGTTTAAATACTTTATATTAATATGTTTTAAATAGTAATTAACTTCCAAGCTAAGCTTAATTTTCAGCATCAGATCTCATAGAAATCATTACATTTTTTATTATTAGCATTTTTAAATAATAATAATTAAAATAAATAATAAAATAATTGTAAATTGTATTAATGGAAATCATGCTATTTTTTCTCCAGAATGAATAAAAGAACAATAATAATTTAAATCAGAAATTTGATATGCCATTACAAATCTCTTAAAGAGCCCATATTATGGGTTTTTGAAAATTCTCCTCCATGTAGTGTGTAACACAGCTCTAAGTGAAGTGAAGTATCCAGCTAAGGCTTAAATCTGTAAGAGTACATTGTTTAAAACGGTTGATTCATCTATAAAAGAGTCGACTCATAGTGCTTCAAACGAGTCACCTTGATACCGAGTCATTAGGTGTTTCGCCATGACGTACGAACGAAACCAAGTTATTCACGTGCACGCGCAAACCCGGGAGATTTGAAACCTGCGGCAACACCCTCTAACACAGAAACCCAGACACACACAGACCCACAAACACACGCACACAAACATGCTGGTCGATTGAAGTCACACTGCAGATGGATATTATCGAGTCTCTACCCAAAGATGAAACCTCAGCATTATAACCAAGCAGTTGGAAACTACTGGAAACTTCTGCAAACTACATGCTACAAAGAATACTTCATCGGCGTTTGTTAAAGGAAGGATCAGTAAAGAGTAACTTACTGATGGACGTCAGGATGGGTTTCTTCCTCCATTTCTCAAGTGTAAGTACGTGCGATTAAAGTTGTTGCCTAGTTTACTCTAGCTTGCAAATGCATTTAGTTGTGATTTGTTACTTGTAACCGCGTGTACTGTATCAGGTTAACTGGCTATATTCTCTTATCGCGTGCAAAGTCACGTTAAAAACGCGACGCATGCTGCTTTGATTACGGAGCTCCGTGGACGAGGGTAGTGTGTGTGTGTGTGTGTGTGTGTGTGTGTGCGCTGTCGTCCGGAGGTATGTGTGTGTGTTTGTGTGTGTGTGCGCGCGCGTTGTCGTCCGGAGGTATGTGTGTGTGCGCGTGTGTTGTCGTCCGGAGGTGTGTGTGTGTTTTTGTGCGTGTGTGCGTGGACGAGGGCAATGTGTGTGTGTGTGTGTGTGTGTCTGTGAAAAGAGCAGAGTGAGACAAGCTAGGAGATCTCCTCGACAGTTTTTGGAGTTTTTGCTCAATAAAATAGTCGTCTGTATTTTCAAGTCCATCGACTGTATTTACATTGACCCACTGGCAGCTAAAATCCACGCCTACACTATCGAGCGTGTATGAACTGTGATTACTTTTATATTGATGATTAGCTGTTGGGCATTTCACTCTCTGACTGAATGCAGTTGACCAATTGCAACAGACTGTCATTGGTCCAATCAGCGCAGATTAGCTTCGCGCTAAGGAGGGGTTTGGGAACAAATGAATCACTGTACGATTCATACAGGAGTCGCTGGAATAATTAGGTAAAAATAAATGCAGATTATAAGACCATGAAAGTGTTTTTTGACCTTGCATGCATATTGTTGGAGACTGTTGTTGGAGACCCTTAGAACCAAGATATGACCCTATTTCATGTATAATATGGGCTCTTTAATCAAAAGTAATGGTTTGATCAACTTTGGTTTGATCTCCTTGATTCATATATTTTCTTTTTTGTTAATACTACTTATTCGACAAATAACTAGTAAATATGCCTAACAAGTGATATTTGTCCCCCATTTTTAATGAATGTTCATATAGGGTTGCGCAAATATTTAAAGAGTTCATATGCAAAACCTTTTAAATCCATCAGACCTCTTTTCTTGTAACTGAGCATTTTCTATCAGGCTCCAGTGATTAGGTTCAGAAGTTTCATTTTATATGTAATGATACAGTTATTAGCTACTAAATAAAATACATTTTGTTTAAATGTCACTTTAGACAATTCTTTGGTTTTTAACAAGGTAAATTTTCTTTAGGATCAAAATGAGCTAAATCCAATAGTGCTTTTTATGCAAAAAAAAAAAAAAAAATACTCTAAATCTACCTATTAATACAAGACAGTGTAATTAGTTGAAAATCACTAAAAATACAATTAGAAATTATTTTACCAAACATAAAACTCCTAAAATAAAACATGTATATATCTGTCCAGTAAGTGGTGGTTCATTCCGCTGTGATAATCTCTAATAAACCAGAGATAAACCAGAAAGGACAAATAAATGAATGAAATCTGTCAAGTAAGTGCATTTACCAAAAATCTTAACAATTTGTTGTCATTTCTGATATTTGGGATTCAGATTTAATGTAAGTAGAGCAATGTAAACATTGTAAGCCGAGCTTGTTGGATTCAAATATTGTAATGAAAAAGATTATGAAACATCCATATTTGTGCATTGCCCATTAATATAAAAAGATCATCAGATGTATAGGTATTATGAAGTGATACAAAAAATGTATTGTTTGACACATTATATTTATCTTTTAAAAATAGCTTATATTTATACAAGTAAGGCCTACTGGGCTAAAAGGGGATATCTCTCAGACAATTTTAGAAGCTGTCAATCATTCAATCCCATCATACTTAAGGTCTTGGTCTCTTCTTTATCCTCATAGCATCCACGTGGGATAAAAGAACGACATCTTAATTCAGTGTTTTGTGAAACGCAGTTGCCGTTTAATGTATAGTAAATCAGACAAAAAAAAAAAAAAACGTTATGAATGCATGCTACACTTCTGACTGTACATTGTGTATTCTTTTCCTTATAATGCACAGACTTTTAAGGTAAGGGATGTTTTCACTTGACATTCACTGACAGTCGGACAGGCTAATCCAGTTAATCAAACTCCGTCTTTTAAAATCAAAATCAGAAGCATATAAAACAGTCTCTTCATAAAGGCCGGCGTATAAGCGCGCTGCTATATTGAAAACATCATTCAATTCACGCTTCTGATTGCTTCTCGGGATATAGCGGCTTTTACTGTCAAAGGCAAGTGGCGTTTAGCAACTTTTGCCAACAAACTGTTATTTCTGATTGCGCTGACGCTGCGATTTGGATTATTAGAAGCAAATCTATTTGTTAATAGTGTACTAAATGCCTAAAGCATTCACTTAATGTCATTAGCTAATTTTTGGCGGAAATGGCGTTCAGCGGCTTTTGCATCTAAACTCTTTATTTATAAATAATATCATACCTCAATATCTCTGTGAAATGTTCTAAAATATTGCTCTATATTTTAGTAATGCTATAATAATGTTGAGTGCATATTTGTAATGGTACCTTGGACTGATTGAGGCTTATCATGGATAAATCAACATGACACAATATCACTAAAAGGTGGCGACATGTCACTGCCTTGAGTGATACATTGAATCATACAAATTAGTTGTTCAAACGTACCATTATATTTTTTTACTATTTACTACCACCATTATCAAGGCAAGAAAAATAAAGACTTTAAATTGTATGTAAAACGTAACTTAATATTAACTTCTTGGCTTTTTTTACGGTTCCATAAAATATGCTCAGGAAAATAAAAAAGGCACTCTTGTTTGTGTCATATCACTTATTTCTTATTATCACACAACTGCATCATGCATCTTTGGTTTCATGATTTATGTTGAATTATAGTAAACTATATGAATTATAGTGTCATTCTGACTGTATTTCAATAGGTCTTATCCACAATAAATGATTTTGCACTCCAATGACACCTTTTTGGTAGTTTTTTTTACAAAGTGAGTGATATATTGGATTATGTGAGTTTACATATTCTCATTGCAGACAAATATTGCACTCTCAATCCACACTATTCTAAACCCTTTCATTTTATTGTGCTTTGTAATAAAATGTTATTTTAAGCACTTGCAAAAAAAGTGAAATGACTTGTAAACATTAACATCCTCAATAATGGGATCCTAATAGTCAGAAACCCATATTTACAGATGTTTATAGTTCAATGTGTTCCTACCGCCACAGCAAATACCGCGGCTGTTTATCTGCAAAATGCACCTTCAACTTTTGACCGTTAGTTGATGCTTTTGCAATAGACTTCAACAGCTAAAAAACATCAACATGCAATTTTTAGTGTTGCCAGCTTTGCTATTTCATAATGCTATAAGACGGTTGCAATAAACAAATAATCTAAGATAAACAAGTAGTCTAGCTATTCAGCGAGCTCATATATTGGCTGCCTTATGCTGTGTTCACACCAGACAAGGCATGCGTGGATAAATCTGCGTAAAGAGACGCGTGAACATTTTGAGTTTACTCGCTTCATTCGTGCGTCAAATTCACTTCACAATAGATGCGTATTCGCGTCATGGGCAGGGCTTCTGTCTGCCCAGTGACTCTAGCTTTGTTGCTAAATGGCTAACATGGAATATATTGAGAGAATAGATGCGTTTATAAAGGCTGAAAAACAAGGTTGATTCATTTGGAGCTGTGCCTGAATGCACTAGATCTTTTCAGAGGTGCACCCAGCTCTGTAAGTTCATCTCCTCCAGAAACTGTACCTGGATGATGGAAGCTTTCATTAGAGCATGAATTACATCTTTCTATATTAAGGCTATAACAGTGCTTAATTAATTAATTTATTTATTTATGTATTTATTTAATTGTTATTTATGTTTGTATGTATGTATGTATGTTTGTACTTTCATTTTAGATGTCGTCGTCAAAAACTGCTGTTACACCTAAAAATATTTTCTTGTTAGTGCCAAAAGCCTAGTGGTTAGTGTGTCGACACAGCACCAAGGTGCTCACAGCGACCCGTATTTTACATGGTGGTAATAATCATATTGAACTGCCACCCACTGTACTGAGCATTTTTCCCCAATCCTGTGAGATTAGCAGTTCTTCTTGTTTTAAAAAAAGAATCTCCGTAATAAAATTGTAATGTTTTTTAAAATAACCATTTTTCAATCTTTTTGAGCAGAGGGACTTTAAACGTTTTCATGATTAGTTTTCTTCCATTAGTCATGAATTTTCCAACACTGCACCATGTTTTCCACTAGAATATGAAACATTATTCTTTATAATATCATTAATGAGAGCATATGGTAAAGCGCCTACTATAAGCACCTGTCGGGCCTGGTAGTATTCACGCAATAACTGGTCTCTCTGGATGATGGCTTCGGTTCGCTCTTTCCTGGCAACGTCTCTTTCCTCCCGCACGGTCTCGATGTCTTTACAGGCCTGACTCAGCTCTTTCTGGGCCTCTGCTTTGTCCTTCACTTCGTGGCAGTATTTTTCCAACAGCTCGTTTCTCTCACAGATGGCACGGTCTCTATCCACCAGCGATGAATTTAGCTCCTACAAAAAGACACTAACGTCAGCGACAGTTATACCCTATTGATTTAAAGTGCTTTACAAAACAGCATGTTATTTGCTGGCTGCCTAGCACAAACTTGGCAACAAAAAGGTGATTTACAGAACACAGAGCATATAAAAAAAAAATGCCCAGTCCAACCATACACTTGAATCCTGTATTTATGAGACACTTTCTCAAATAACTGCTGACTGAAGATAATGCTTTGATTTATATTTCAAGGGAAATATAACAAAAAAACTAATCTAATTCGAAAATAAACTAAACAAGTTTGGCCCTTTTAAATTAAATTCAGGAGTAAACAGCATTTGATCTACCACTGGTCCCAGGCAATTATAGTACATAAAAGGTAGGTGTGAGGATGTAGGCCTCAACCTTTCGAGAATTTTGTTTTTCTGCAATATACATTGTGATATGAAAATAATTCAACAAAAGATAACCTAAATAAGGGTGACTCAATGGTGCAGTAGGTAGTGCCTTACAGCAAGAAAGTCACTGGTTCGAGCCTCAGCTGGGTCAGTTGACTTTTCTGTGTGGAGTTGGCCGGGTGCTCCAGTTTCTCCCACAGTCCGAAGACATGCAGTACAGGTGAATTGGCTAAGCTAAATTGTCCGTAGTGTATGAGTGTGTATGGATGTTTCCCAGAGATGGGTTGCAGCTGGAAGGGCATCCGCTGCGTAAAACATATGCTGGATAAGTTGGCGGTTTATTCTGCTGTGGCGACCCCGGATTAATAAAGGGAATAAGACGAAATGAAAATGAATGAATGACCCAAATAAGTCTACTCATAAAGAATTTATACATGCATAAAACTAACAATTTATACATGCATAAAACTAACAATTTGCAAGCGTAGAACAATAGAACAAAGATATAAATATTAATTTTAAAATTTAGTATCTAAGAACATAAATTCAACATCAATCAAATTTAATTTTATTGTCATCATTGTACAAATAATTAAATACAATTTAATCTTTGCTAAATCTGTAAACTTTAGAATTTCTTTGTTTAAATACACTTGATATATTAGCCACAGTTCTTTAAAACACATCTAAATGAAAATTTTTCACTCTATTAGGGTTCACATCTGCAATGACTCCACAAATCATGAAAAAATTTCATCCAATTATGTAGAGTTGGACCGACATCTCACATTATTCCGATATAGTAGCCCAATCTGTCTGTCAGCAAATGCAAATTTGAACAAATGCGCAGCCGTTTGTATGCAGATCGGTAAAAACATGCTGGGCCCTATCATACACCCGGCGCAATGTGGCGCAAGGCGCGGCGCAATACTTGTTTGCTAGTTTCAGCTTCACCTTCATCTGTGTCTTGTGTGTACACAGTATTAGCCCTATAACTTTAAAATAACACACACTGTACATCTTTCTATATTAAGGCTATAACAGTGCTTAATTTATTTATTTATTTATGTATTTATTTAATTGTTATTTATGTTTGTATGTATGTATGTTTGTACTTTCATTTTAGATGTCTTCGTCAAAAACTGCTGTTACACCTAAAAATATTTTCTTGTTAGTGCCAAAAGCCTAGTGGTTAGTGCGTCGACACAGCACCAAGGTGCTCACAGCGACCCGTATTTTACATGGTGGTAATAATCATATTGCAATGACTCCACAAATCATGTTCTGAAGTGCGGTTCCTGGTCATTGTAATCACAACTCAACATTGCAGATCCTGTGAGGTGACTATTGTAGATGCACACATTGCAATATCGATGCTAAAACAGCTTTAAAATAAAGGATGAAGGATAGCATGATCAAACCAGTTTTCATTTTGTTATGTGTTTCATGATAATGGTTTATGATTTTATGAACTATGAAAATATCTGGGGCATCACAATGGCGCAGTGGGTAGCACTATTGCCTCAGCAAAATGGTCGCTGGTTCAAGCCTCAGCTAGGTCAGTTGGCATTTCTGTGTGGACTTTGCATGTTCTCCCCGTGTTGGTGTGGATTTCCTCAGGGTGCTCCGGTTTCCTCCACAAGTCCAAAGACATGCGCTATAGGTGAATTGGGTGAGTTAAATTGTCCGTAGTGTATGAGTGTGAATGAATGTCCAATCCTCCCTTGTATCAATGGTTCAGGCTGGTGGTGGTGGTGTAATAGTGTGGGGGATATTTTCTTTGACACACTTTGGGCCCATTTTTACCAACTGAGCATTATGTCAACACCACAGCCTACCTGAGTATTGTTGCTGACCATGTCCATCTCTTTATGGCCACAGTGTACCCATCTTCTGATGGCTACTTCCAACAGAATAACGCACCATGTCATAAAGTATGAATCATCTCAGACTGTTTTTTTTGAACATGACAATAAGTTCACTGTACTCAAATGGCCTCCACAGTCACCAGACCTTAATCCAATGGAGCACCTTTGGGGTGTGTTGGAATAGTAGATTGCATCATGGTTATGCAGCCGACAAATATGCAGCAACTACGTGATGCTATTATGTCAATAGGGACCAATGTCTCTGAGAAATATTTCCAGTACCTTGTTAAATCAATGCCACAAAGGATTAAGGCCGTTCTAAAGTCAAAAGGGGTCCAACTTGGTCCTAGTAAGGTGTGCCTAATAAAATGGCCGGTGAGTGTATATTTTTTTGTGTTCCAACAGAGCAAAAAAACGACAACAAAAAGTATATTTGAGCGAGATAATAAAGACATAATTAGTTTTTTGGGTGAACTATCCCTTCACTAAGAGTGTGCAATTTTATTAAAGATCCATCCAGGCTCATCATAATTATCTGACAGCCATCATTTGAAAAGAGTTACCTGTCTGAGAGCTTCAAGCTCTTCGCTGGCCACCATCCTCTCAGAAGAGGTGTTTTTCAGCCGGGCCTCTGCAGCCTCCAACTCCGTCTGCAGCTTGTCCACCTCTTTAATGACCTGGTCTCTTTCGCTCATGATTAGCCGGTATTCGTTAAACACAGAATCCCGCTCCTCCTTGTACTTCTCACCGTCCTTCACCGCCTTCAGCTGGAAGTTCTTGTAGCGCGTCACCTCCGACTGGAGTCTCTCCATCTCTCTCTGCAGCTCCTTGTTCTGTGCCGAGGCCTTATTTAGCTCCTGCTGCACAGAGTCAAACCTAATGGGTTTCAAAAAACAAACACTATTAGTAATTGTTTTCATGATCAATGAGTTTCATTATTTAAATATAGTCACCTTGGAATTATAAGGTTCTATCTTCTATGAGTTTGAGATATTGAGCTTTAAAGTTTTTGCATTCCATATGGCAAACAGTATGCGTGTAACATTTGTTTTTTAAATAAAGAGTTTTAAAATGTAAACAACTTATAAAAAAAACATTAAATGACAATTTATTTAGATCATGGTATAAGAATATGTCAATAACTAATTTTTGACAAAAATGTCAGATAGAACCTTATAATTCTAAGGTGACGAAATGTCAGAGAGCTTTTATCATATATTTGTATAAATGGGGCAAAGCGTTATTTTTCAAAGATTTTAATCCGTTTTAAAAGATAGATGTATTTGATATATTTTGGCATATTTAAGTATGCTTGTAGCTTGACTTAAATTATTTTACCATATCTACCCCCGGTTCTACAAACAAGGTTTAAGGCTAGTCAAGATTAAATTGCATGTTTGAGCTGTCTCAACTCAAAATAACTTGTAGAGAGATGTCTTAAATATGTCAGTGTCATTTTTTTTGTCTCCAGGTGCACATCAGTAATATTTTTCTGAGGCCATTTTTATAAATTTGTCTTAAATAGCCTAGTTTAACTAAGGCCTAGTCCTGGCTTAACCTAAGCCCTGTTTGTGAAACTGGGCCTTAATGTATTAATTTTTACCATATTTAAAGGTGCAGTAGGTGATTGTCTTCAGAAGCATTTTTTGTTGTGCTGGTTGAAAGTCTCTTCACAGTCTAATAGTAATGAATACAGTAAATGATCTACATCATAAAAAATTTCATCCAATTAAGTAGAGTTGGACCGACATCTCACATTATTCCGATATAGTAGCCCAATCTGTCTGTCAGCAAATGCAATTTTGAACAAATGCGCAGCCGTTTGTATGCAGATCGGTAAAAACATGCTGGGCCCTATCATACACACGGCGCAATGTGGCGCAAGGCGCGGCGCAATACTTGTTTGCTAGTTTCAGCTTGGCGCAAGAGTCGTTTTGAGGCGTTGCGCCACGCTGTTTAAATAGCAAATGCATTTGCACCACTGCTTTTTTGCCTTCATCTCGGGAAGCTTTTATAGTCTATTCATAACAATTTGCCTTTGTATAATGTTATTATTATAAGTAGTTTTATTTATTATATCCATATTTATATTTGTTTTATTAAACACAAGCTTAGATTTATTTAGATATAACTCAGTTTTTTGAACTCACTTTGTTATTATTGTTCATTTATTCGTTTGTTGGAAATTAGAACTGAATTTAGAAATAGTTTTGAAATAAATATTTGCCCTTAACAAACGAAATTAATTATTTATAGGCTAATTGATGTCTGTGCGTAAAGGTTTTCCTATCCAAGAGCGAAAGTAGATCGATTATCTCTCATTCTTGCGCGGTAGATGCTCTGTTTAACTGTTTTCTTTAAAAAAAAAACTGTTAACTGTTTGCTTGTGAAGTGCTCAGTTTTTCCACTTACACTTACTTTACGCCCTATAAATGGCAAATGCGCTTAAGGCGCGACGCAGCTGGCTCTTAAAGGGAATGGGAGATGAGACTCTGATTGGTTTATTCTTGAAACACACCTATAAATCATTAAGAAAATAAACTCAACCCTTTTAGACCATGCGCCACGGCGCAAAGCGAATTTCCCTGTCCTTAAATTAGCAAATATGGATTCTGACACGTCCTGAAAGCGTTTGCGTCCTACGCTTTCCGTTTTGCGCATGGACCGTCAAAATAGAGCCCGCTGAATCAAAACTTTTTAAAAACCAATCAATATTGGAGTTACCTTTTTTGTTCAGCTAATAAAATCTTTCGATGAAAGATTGATAAGACTATTTTCAGTTTCATTAGGGACCTTTTACAGCATTGATGATGTAGATTTTAATTAGTTTAACAACAAAACTTTGTCAGTTTGGCTAGCACGCCGCCAGACAAGCACTAGTCGCTTTTAACACGAGAGGGTTATTTTGCCATGCTCCTGTTTCAGGATGCTTAGCTCTAGACGGCAGGGGAGGGACTGTGATTCAGAGATTTATGCTAAGCTGTTAGCATTGTGGAAGATCACCTACTGCACCTTTAATGTTTTTGCAATAAAGGGATAGTTCACCAAAAAATGAAAAATTCTGTCATAATTTACCCAACCTTTACTTGTTTTAAACTTGGACTTTTAGAGTTTATTTTTGTTGTTGTTGTTGTTATTGAATGCAAAAGGAAATATTCTGAAGAAAGCTGGAAACCTGTAACCATTGACGTCCATAGCATTTGATTTTCCAACTATAGATTTCTAGCTTTCTAGCTTTCTTCTTCTGTGTTCAACAGAAAGTTAAAAACTCAAAGTTTTGAAACCATTTGAGCATGAGTAAATATTGAGTAAATTCTTATTTTTGCGTGAAGGATCATTTTAATTTAAAACTAGAACATGCAAAATGGGACAAATTGTGTTTGAATTGACAGTCATATCTAAAAAACGTTCACACAATCATTCAAATATATATTTTTTTCTGTTTTAAAGGATAAATGTACACATTCTAACCTTTTTATAAATTTAGGCATATTTAATTATGCTTCTAGCTCTGCTTAACATTTTACAATATTTAATGTATTAATTTTTACCATATTTTATGTTTTTTGCAACAAAGGGAAAGTTCACCCCAAAATGAAAATTCTTTCATAATTTACTCAACCTTTACTTGTTTCAAACTCAAAGTTTTTTTGTTGCTGAATACAAAAGGAGATATTTTGAAGAAAGCTGAAAACCTGTAACCATTGACTTCTATAGTATTTGGTTTTCCAACTATGGAAATTAAAGTTTACAGTTTTACAGCTTTCTTCTTTTGTGTTCAACAGAAAAAAGAAAGTCAAAGCTTTGAAACCATTTGAGCATGAGTAAATATTGATTAAATTCTCATTTTTGGGTGAACAATCACTTTAATTTCATAGTAGAACATGCAAAAAAGAGCAAATTGTGTTTGATTTAGCTGTCATGTCTAAAAAACGTTCACACAATCTTTAAAATAAGTTTTGTTTATCTGTTTTTAAGGATAGATGTACACAACCTAAGCTTTTTTATATATGTATGAATATTTAAATATGCTTGTAGCTCTACTTAACATATTTAAACATATTTAATGTATTAATTTTAACCATATTTAATGTTTTTGCATTAAAGGTATGCCTGGATTGTGTGTTGAATACTGCTTTCATGTAACCATTCAAGAAAAAAGATTGCCTGTTGTAAAACATTTTACAAACCTAATCTGCACTGTAAAAAATGATGACAAAGTCATGACTACAAATGTTTTCATGTTACTTTAACCCCTTCAGACCCTGCGTCTATTAAAATGGACATCACATGACATCCCATTTTTCTGAAATTTGGAACATAATTCAGGTCTGAAGGGGTTAACTTGTTTTAATAAGTTAATCTGATTCTAATTACATTTTTTAAGTTAGGGTTAGTTTAACTTAATATTTAAAATATATTTTTGACATATTTTTGTTTAAGCAATGTCAGTCAATGACAGCTTTAACATCCCTCAACCTCTGTGTGAATGTATTAAATATTAACGCAAATCTTATACTATCAGCTGATTAACATATTTTCCCATAACACAATCAATTCCACACTTTTTACCTCAAAATCAAAGCAGAAATTGTCAAAAAGTCTACAGATTGTGTTTATGACATAAAGATGTGTCATGACCAATAACTGTAACTGTAACTATAAGCACATATTATAGACAACTGATGATGTACCGCCTCATAGATGTAGACCACTGCTGTTGGTACTGGATGGCCGTATCGCGCTGTTTGAGCAGAGCGTCGATTTGTTTTTGCAAGCGTCTGTTCTCCTCCTCCACCTGCTCCAGTCGACTCAGATCTGTATTGTGACTGGACACCTTCTCGCTGTACCGTTTGCTCAAGACGTCATATTCCTTCTTCACCCCCTCCAGCTTGTCCATCGCTGTGTCATAGAGCTTGTTCAAAACCTCAGATGAACCGTTTTCCCTGATTACCTGTGCAAAAATAGCATCCATTTACATGACTCAGTGCATACAAACAAACAACTAAACAAAACCTGGATTATGTGTTGAATACTGCTTTCATGTAACCATTCAAGAAAAAAAAAAATACCTGTTGTAAAATATTTTACAAACTAATTGTGCACTGTAAAAATGATAACAAAAAGTCATGACTACAAATGTTTTCATGTTACTTTAACTTTTTTTAATAAGTTAATCATATACTAATTACGTTTTTAGGTTAAAGTTTAACTTAATATTTTATTCAGTTTGATTGATATAAGCTGAGATGACTAGAAAAGGTCATTTAATTCAACTCAAAAAGGTAAGGCAGTAAAAATGTTTTAAACTGTAAAAATGCTGGGTTCCACACAATTCCTTCATGTTGTCCCGACACAAATTGAATAAGTTAATTTAATAATAATAATTTTAACATATTTAAGTGGACTGAACACAAAACAATTAGGTTGTCCCCTGAAAAAAAATATTTTAAATATATATTTTTTATTTTAAATAAATGGGTTGAACAAAAACCCAGATTACCTTTTAAAAACCACTTATAAACCTAATTTACTGACAAACCAAAATTATGATATTAAATTAAAATACAATAGAAATTAATAGAGTTCATTAACCAAATTTACTTTCAATTCATAACCACAAAAAAAAAACTTTTTTTAAACCAAATTTATTCCTGCTAAAACTGCTTTTATGAAGCAATTTCACCAGTATACAACACAAAACAAACAAAACAGAATAACCAGTGTCAAAAACAGGGTGCTTTTATAAAGCAAATGAGAATGCACCAACAAAACTAAAACCTTTATTACCTGTATTGATAATTGCTTTTAAAAACTTTGCTGCATCAAAACAAAACAAAAACCCAGATTACCTGTTGAAAACATCTATCAGTTACTTAAAAAAATCAATACATGCTGTACAAACTTTATGTACCTAATATGCTGTGTCATAACAAAAACCTGGATTACCCAAAAATCGCTTACAAACCTTACTAAAAAAAAAAAAAACTTTGATATACCAGAAGTAAAAATACAATTTAAAGAGCCAAAATTTTCATAAACCAAAAACACACAAAAAAATGCTTCCTTCAAAGCAAATTTATTACATCTAAACAAAACTAAAACTGATCAATGATTTTCATTATTTAAATATGTCAAAGAACTTTTATCTTTTATTACCACTTATATATTTATTATAAGTAGAGCAAAGCATCAGTTGGCAAAGTTTTTTTTTTTTTTCAAAGAATCATATGGATTGAATGATTGTACACATCATATCCTTTTATATAAAGGAAATATATACTGGATCGTACACATCTTATCCTTTTAAATATATTTACACATCATTAATTATAATTGTAGCTCTGATTATCATGTTACCATATTTGATGTACTGTTTTGTTTTTGGCCTAAAGGGATAGTTCACCCAAAAATGACAATTCTGTCATCATTTACTCAACTTTTACTTGCTTCAAATTCAGAGTTTCTTTATGTTGTTGTTGTCGTCGTTGTTGTTGAATACAAAATAAGATATATGAAGACAGAAAACCTCTAACCATTGACTTTCCATAGTATTTGTTTTTTTGACTATGGAAGCCAATGGTAAGTTTTTTAGCTTTCTTCAAGATATCTTCTTTAGTGTTCATTAGAAAAGAAACTTATAAAGGTTTGAAACCACTTTAGCACAAGTTAATAGTGAATAAATCATTATCATAATCATCATCAAAACTAAACTAAAACTGCTTTTATGAACCAAGTTACAACACAAAACAAAAATTAGAATCACCAGGTTTTAATTAAGCAAATGAGAAAACACAACAAAACTAAAACCTTGATTACCTATATTGAAGACTGCTTTTAATAACCTTACAGCATCAAAACAAAAGCCTGATTACCCGTTGAAAACAACTGTTAGGTACCTAATTTTCTGTATAACAAGCAAAAATTATGTAAAATAATGAAACTATTTAAAATTAATTAATAAAAAAGAATTATAACTAAATTTATTATGTCAAGACAATCTTATTTTTACATCTGATGATTTTTGTTGTTTATTTTTTGTACTACTACTACTTTTACTAAATTGGTTTAAACCATTTCTATTTTTAACAAAGTCCGAAAGATAAGGTAGATATGTATAATACCAGTCAAAAGTTTGGGGTCAGTAGGATTTTTAAATGTTTTAAAATAACGTTATCTTGATCACCAAGGCTGCATTTATCTAATCAAAAAATTCAGTACAAATTGTACAATTTTACAATTTTATTGCAAAGTTATTGCACTATAAAATAACTGTTTCAAAGTAGTTTAAATTTTAATTTAACAATTTATTCCATGGATTTTAAAGATGAATTTTCAGTGAATTTTCAAATCTCTCTAATATGAATTATAATAATAATAATAATTATTATTATTATTATTATTATTATTATTAATGGTAATAGTAATAAAAGCAATAATGATTGGGGTGATAATTTAATTTGAAACTACATATAAAAGGAAAGCAGTTATTTAAAATTAATAAATATATACAATTGTACATTTTTTACATTTTTACATTTAATAAATGCCACCTTGATGAACAGAATAATTTTATTTATTTTTTAAAATCTAGCGGAGAGGTGGAGTGGACAATAAGTAGCCTTTTCTAAATCTAAATCTTATTATCTAAATCTAAATCTTATTTCAGGATCTGAACTGAAAATGTTTACAATTTTCTTTCATCACTTAAAATATATATTTACCATACAAACACTAGAGGGCGATAACAAGTCTATAAAACATCAACTTGCACACTTAATGCTGTCACTGCACTAATCCACACTAAAAAACAACAACGCTTTGCAACATTCAGCACTAAACAACCAGCATTAAGCTCACTTGTTGACCTATTAAAACACTATATGCCCTAATGCGATAGTCGCAGCCAATTTCCTGTCCAGGCAATAAACCCACAGCTCACTGTCCCCTCACCAAGCCACAAGGGGAATTCATATGCTGAGTGATTGGCATCTGTAACTAACTCTCCTTTAGGGCATGTAATCACTGCTTATAGTATTGACAAGCCGCAAAAGCCTCTGTCCTTTTCCATCACTCAGCAAGCCCTCGCCCTTCCAGATTGACCTTTCTCAAGCAGGCGCTGTGCATTTGTGCAGCCTGTGGGCAGACTAAACATTGCTGACAGGTCAAAACACAATTCAGTCTCTATGCTACAGTACTACGCTGTAGCACCTCTGATGCGACCTCTCAGGGACAATCAAAGGTGGGGAATGACACATTGTTTTTTCTATATTACGTTAACTTAAAAAAAAACAAATGTAATTTTAGAGTACTTACCTATAAATTTACTCAGGTTATTAATTAATTAATAATTAATAAATGTAAGGAATTTAATTTAATTTAATGCTGGGCAAAGATTAATCGCAATATATACGTGTATGTATATATTAAGTACATGATACACACATATAAACAAAACTATGCAAAACTATTTAATATATAGATATTTAATTCATTTTATTAGTAATTTAATAAAGTAATGAAGCAAATAAACAATTTATTTTATTTAAATAACTACTTTTACTTCCCTATGTGTAGCAGTGTTAAATCATTCCTGTGAAATAATAATAAGAGATTTTAATAAAGTATTTGAGGCGATGGCAAGTCTCACGATACAATCTAAAAGCTGGTGGGTGTGTTGAAATTGAATCACTGGTTAGTTTTGAAAGATGATAGAGCTGTGATGAATTGGAAAGGCTGATTAGATTCTGAAAGATAGGTGTGTTGGACTTAAACCATTCATTAGTTCTGGAAGATAGTAGGTGTGTTGGATTTAAATGTAATGTGTGTTTATATAGTGACTATGCACCCAAAGCGCTTCACAACCATGTAGTGGGTCTCTTCACGCCACCACCAGCGTGCAGCATCCACTTGGATGATATGACGGCAGCCACAGGACAAAAACTGATTTATACATTAATAGGGATGCACGATATATTGGAGGCCATATCGTTATTGGCCGATAAATGCTATTTTTAAGATTATCGTTATCGATCCGATGTCTAAATTAGGCTGATATCTTTAAGCCGATAAATTACGTAATTGTTGCCATGTACGGGTGGGCGGAGCATGTTCAGACTTGTTCATGTATCTCTCCTCACACTGATTATTCCTTCAAAGTCCGTCCTTTCTTCACGTGGTATTGCTGGGCATTAATAACTCAGTAAGTAAGCATTATCCTTATCATTGTAGATATGTTTGATTGAGTGCCATTGTGTATTTTGCTTCAAATCGCCTTAGGAAAAAATATTACATATGAAAGCCTTTCCTGTTCTGTCTCTTTGTTGTGTTAGAGATAGCAGGGAGATTTATTTATTACTCCAGGGCCGAATAATATTAGTTTCGGGGTTAATTCTTTTAGTTGCAGCCGGTGAATGAACAAGGACCCGAAAAAAGCGCTCCTCTTTTCTGTCTCTCCCTCTTTGCTTCACACGAACAAACCAAACTGACCTGCACATGTGAACAAAAACTTTACGGAAGGTTTTTAATCTAATATAATTATTTGTTATTATCAACGCGTTGCTTCCCATGTGTTGTTGATGTAAGATTGTATTCAGTTTGATCGGAATATTCATATTAATTACACACACACATAGATATGACATAGATATGACAGCCTTCACACACACATAGATGTTGAGCCTTCACAGATTAACAGGGGAGAGCCTAGGTGCACCGGTCACTGAATCCCGCATACGGGCACGTCTTTATACGTCTTTTCACGTTCTGTCTTTATATTCTGCTCTGTGTTTGTCAAAGTCATCTGAGCTCAATTATTAGGTTTGTATCAAAAGTTGCAGCTTTTATGAAGTTTGCTGTATAAGAATATAACATTTTTAAATATTTATAATTATCGGCCTATATATCGGCTATCGGCCTCCAAGTCCGAAGAATTATCGGTATCGGCAAAAAATCCATATCGGTGCATTCCTATGAATTAATTTACTATATCTAAAAAAAAAATAAACAAACATATTTATAGTTATTTATTTTTGATACTACTACTAAATTGGTTTAAAGTGTTTCTGTTAACTCTTAAGATATTGTAGATATGTAGGCTTGATGACTTAAAGGGCCCCTATTATGGGCTTTTAAAAATGAGCTTCTATGCAGTGTGTAAAGCAGCTCTAAGTGAATGAAAACATCCAGCTGAGGTTTAAATCTGAAAGTGCACGTGTTTAAAACTATTGATTCTTTAATGAAATAGTCGACTCAAGTCGAATGAATGAATCAAGTTGGGTTCAGATCTTTTGCTTGAACGCATTGATGTCCATACGGTACATTACCAAATATGTAGTTCCAGATCCGGTAAAATGCTTTACCTTCAGACACTAGCAGAGCGCGGAGGATCACAGGACTGATCATGACGCGAAGATGATGATCAATGACAGATGAAGATTCGGTTATAGGTCAGTGCTTGTACTGTATCTCTCAGGTTAAATCTTTATGAGGCTATTCACATATTCTGTCTAAAACCATGTTGACAACGCAACGCGTGCTTCTTCCTTTACTGATTTAAATGCATTTTGTGCTCTTGATCCTCTGCTGTTTGTTGTTATGACCACCATCAACTGTCAGTTTTTTAAATAGTTCAGCTTTTGTTACTTTGTGGATTAATACTGAATGTGTGTCATTGTTATTACTTAGGGGTTAAGGTTAAGAGTAGAGTAATATGCTGGTGTTTAACTGCATTGCTTTATTGCATTCCTTCATTGAGCTCTCACATACGATACTCTGTGCTAACTTCATAGCTGTGGTGGGTATTTCTCTGTCTCGTGCTGAACACAGTTGACCAATCACAACAGACAGGGTCATGCGCACCAATCAGCGCAGATTAGTTTCGAGCTAAGGAGGGGTTTGAGAACAAATGCATCCCTGAACAATTGATATGGGAGTCGTTTGTATAATTAGGTAAAAACAAATGCATATTATGACAAAGGAAGTGTTTTTTTTTTTTTTTACTTGCATGCATATCAGCCTGTTGTTGGAGACCCCCAAAACCAAAATATGACTATTTATAATGCAAAATAGGGGCTTTGTAATGTGCAATCCTTCTGATGTGAAGAAATGTTTGACTCAATAGATACTGTATTACTCTTAATGAAGTAATTATAAATGTTATTACTTTCCCATTACTTAAGCAATTACTTTTAAAAGTACTTTTACTTCCACTTGATTCATATTTTTGCTCCTCTACCCACCTCTGGCAATAATTATAACTGTTCCAGACATTCAAGCTCGAGCCATTCTAATGCTTTAAACCTTTCCATTTGTGTTCGTGGGTTTAATCCGAAAGGAACCCTGATAAATCAATCCGACAGGAAAAGGCTCATTCCTTCATAGTAGCAGCAGAGCGCAGACTGTTTGTTGGCACAGTGGCATCTGATTGAATAATCTCCTGTCCCCTGGCTTCCTATTTATGTCAAGGTCAGATTTGATGGCACTACTATGGGATGGCCAGCCTAAGGATTTACAGCATAAACGCTGCTGTTCGTGATGCAACAGACACACTAATCCCACAACAGCCTGCGCTGCGGGAAACGGCAAAAAATCTGCAACTTAATTAACCATTTTTGGAGCTCCCCGAAAAACGAAGAGATTGAGTTTGGCAGAGTAATGTCACTTGCTGGCTGACGGCAGAAGCGTTAGGCCTGCTTCACACTGCAGGCGGAAGAAGTGCATATGTATTTTGGTGCCTGTATTAACAGGTTACGTTCACACTGTGTGTATTAGCGGTGCTGTGGAAAAGCAGAATTTCGGCATTGAGCCCATTTTTGCTGTCTGTAGAAACTAGCTGAAACTGTGAAAAGTATTACCATACACAACTGGCAATAAAGGCGTATATGTGTGTATTCAAATACATTATGTTCTTTTGAATCTTCAATAAAAAAAAAAAAAGAAATTAATGCCTAAAATACTTTCATCACAATAACTGAAGTAATAACAACTTTTTCATCACAGGCATAAATTGTGTATTATATATATAAATTATATATGTGTGTGTGTGTGTGTGTGTGTGTGTGTGTGTGTGTGTGTGTGTGTGTGTGTGTGTGTTTTAAATGTAAATATTTTATTTGAAAAATAATAATGTTTCGCAATAAAAAAATAATGTAAATAATGAGCATAAATTATTTCTTTTAAAAATAATTTAAAATATTACTTTAATGAATTGATTTTGAACCCTGAATAAGTTACTATTTACAGAAAAAAATTATCAATACAAAAAAAAAAAAATATATATATATATATATATTTTTTTTTTTTTTTTTTTTTTGACAAATATTGCTGCTGTTGGACAACAATGTACCTTTGAGGCTTTTTTAGGCAAGAGTATGGTTTTGTAGCAGAGCAAGGACAGTTAACGTTGTTCATCCACAAGATGGCGACAGAGACAGCATAATAAGTCCATAGAAAAAATTCAGTGTAAAACTACAAACAACAGCTAATCAAATCATTATAAATCTGGTAAGTGACATTCTAAGCTGATCTCTCTCTTTTGCATGTTGTAGTGCTGTTTTTATACCATAGTAATTGTAGTGCATCTAGTGTGAGATGGAACAAACATATCAGGAAAGTATGTATTTTGTATTGGGCACTCTTTGTATAACCCTGAGTTACTTTTTAGTTGGACACCTGTTTGTTTCTCATCCGTGTCCTGTTTTCCTTACTGCAGACAAGTTCAGTAAAAAGAAAGAAGAAATGTCTGCATTTGTGTAGCGTTTTTCTTTTTTACAAAACACAACAGTAATCTGGTAGTTTTTGCACTGCTTTGACTTTTTCAGCGTTTATTGTGATATCCCGATTGCAACAGAGAAATGCTGAGAATTGTCTCAAGATTGATGGCATTTCATGCCGTTCAGCCTTATAATCCTAAAATGTCAGCAAAATCACCTGTTTTGTCATCAGTTTACATATTACGCAAGAGAATCATTAAACACTTAGAAACATTAAACTACAAAAAGTGCCTAAATGCATTTTTCATGTATTTTAAGCCATGTGATTAATGTAAACACAGCTCTTGTAATCCACTTAACTTTTCCTAACTTTAATACTGATTATGTTACGTTTAAGCGATATGTGAAAGGAATTGGAGGCAAGCAGTTTACAGCTGATTTTTTTAAAATACAGCACCATCTTTTGGTAAAAACTAAATATTCAAATAATCTCAGAATCATTTTTCGATTCAATTTATTGCCACAGCTCTAGTATTTACAGCTTCATCAAGTGACTTCCTTGTCACCACCTGATTTTGGTAAATGTAAAATTATTATAAAAGGCACAAAACTTATATTAGTCTAAAAACTGAAAATAAATAAATCTGAAAAAACTAAACTATGCTACCGTACATTTAAAACTACCACCAGTGCCAAATTTAGGGCAATTTGAACTTTATTTCCTAGAAATTCGACTGACAGTTCAATTAGAACATTTAGGAACGAGGGTTTAATTCTAAAATTACTTTGATATACAGTACTGTGCAAAAGTCTCAGGGCAAGATTTAAATTCGGTTATTTCTTTTTTTTCCTGTAGAGTCAAGAATAACATGAAGAAACAGAACAAACCGAGACTAAATAAATCCATAGGATCTCTAAGATGCTTAAAAAAAGTAATTGATAAATTGATAATTCAAACTTACGTGTTGCAGAAAAATATAGAAATAACTGAATTTTTTTGTGAAAATTATAGTGGCCTAAAATTCTGCACAGTACTGTAAATTGAATATACAGCATAAACACGATCGCTTCCTTAATAAAAATGTCCTATAAGGTAATAATAAAATACATAACGTCACTCTCTTAATAATAATTCTATAACTAAACTGACTAATTGAAAAAATCAGTTAGTGACAATGGCATTTACAAACATAGCAGTACCTGTTGTTGCTGTAGTCTCATGTCAGCCACCTCCCTCTGATCCTCAGAATGAAGCCTCCTCAGCTCCTCACAGCTCTGTTTCAGATGGTTATGTTCTCGAGTCAGCTTGGTGTTCTCTCTTTTCAAAACCTCCATCTCCTCTTTTAACTGTGTCTGTTCACTTAGGAGCCGGCTGTGCTGTATGCTAAACACAAACACAAAACAAAGACACAGATGAGCTGTCTGTAACTCAAGTCCACTGCGTGAAAATGTGCATCGCACTTGTGCACTTTCAGCATCACAATTTACTTTCAGCTTTAAACAATCAAAAATTAATTAAATAATAATACAATAAAAAAAGCTAATAATAAAAACAAGCCCTCTTAAGTAAGACTGGCATGCATAGAGTTTCTGTCTTGTTTCTAGTCTAAATATCAAACAATTCCTAAATCAAGAATCATTTTCTAGACAAGAAAACATTTTTGTCTTGTTTAAAAAAAAAATACACCAAAATGAAGTAAGTTTTCTATAAAATAAGCAAAATTATATGTGAATGAGGTAAGCAAACTTGTTTTTATTTAAATTAGATTATACTGTCACTGAAAACAAACACCATGTACAGTATACACTCGGCATGGGAAGATTTAAGGTTTATCGTGGTTTGGAAAAGTCATGATTTGAAAACCGTTAAAATGTTCCTTTTCCCATGGTATACATATTTTTTATTATTATTATTTACACATTTTTATTACTATTATGACTGTTTTTTTAGGGAAACAGTATCTCCAGGAGCAAAGAAGCATCCACATCAAAAGCTACTAGTCAGCCCAAGATTTACTTATCACTTATCCACAAATCACTTAAGCAGCGACATCCAAGCATGCTGGACCTGAACAGTGCAGTGGCAGACTTCATATCCAAAGAAAAGAAAGATATCCAAAGATGCCTTATCAAGTTGAAAGAAATCTGTGCTTTTAAAACTAATAAAGACAACAGAAGTCAATTAATTATTTCAATTATTTAGCCTGTTTAAATACTTTGTTTGTTTGTTTTTTTTTACCTATTTTATGTCAGCAACCACAATACTGTGATATCATGAAACAGTGATAAATTTATCCAAGGTTATCATACTCTCAGAATCTTATACAGGCCCAAGTAATAAGAAATTCATGACAACTGTTTGAAATATCATAGAAAATATTCTGAATTATCAATTTGTGCATGTATGGAACAGGACTCACTCGTAAAACTGTGATGATTGACACCATAACAAAAATGTCCCTTATATGTTAACCAAAGGAACATTATACTATTCAAAGACATGTATAGAATCCTGATTAAACTAAACTTGGCGGTTTATGGAGTTAATAAATCAGGCAATTACAGCATCGTTTATTTAAAAGATGAATGAAATTACTTTTATTTGCAGTTTTTTTAGAAAAATCTGGCAAACTTAATGGGCTCTATTTTAAAGATCTAGGCGCAAAGTCTGAAGCGCATGTCGCAAAAGCATTAAGGGCATGTCCAAATCCACTTTTGCTATTGTAAGAATGGAAAAATACGATCTGCTCATTCTATTAATGAGTTATACGTTATGGGTGTATTTTGAGCATAATGTGTATTGAAACAATCAAGAGTATCATCTCCCATTCCCTTTAGGAGTCAGTTGCGTCATACCATGACGCATTTGTTATTTATATGGCAGACTTTATAAGTGGAAAAACTGTACGCTTTACTTGTGAGAAAACATTTAAACAAACTATCTGCACGGGGATAAAGAATAAGCTTTTTCTATTTGGCCTTTTTGGCCTTTTCTCTTACTCTTTATTTTTATACCTTACTTTTTTACTTTTGTGAATTAGGAAACGGTGTTGTATGCACACCACTGAAAACCTTTGTTAGCCTACATATTTAATTTCTTTTGTTAAGCTCAAAGATTTGTTTCAAAACTATTTCAAATTCAGTTCTGAATAGTGATGCATACATTTCAAAATCTTACAGGTGGACAAATCTAAATTAGCTTTTATCAAAACAAATATAAATTTGCATATAATAAATAAAACTGCTAATAATAATAGCATTATACAAATGCAAATTGTCATGAATTAACTGAAAAGGGACAGAGGCATGAAGAGGCATGAAGGCAGTACCTTTTATATTTATGTAGAAAATAATAATTTTTGTAACATTTTAATCCTTTAATTTTTTATGTGTAAAGATATTTGTGTACATCCTGTTTGCTGTACATCCTGTGTATAAAGCAATGTATAAATGTTTGAGCCCACATAGTGTCATAACTAACGTACTCTGCGCAGGACTTTAGAAGTGTTTTTAGATGGTCAATGGCACATATTTCAAAATAGCAACACAGCAACAATGCGCCTTAACACACCTCTATTTTAGACAAACATGCCCCCAAGTCCACAAAGTGGTGCAAATAAATGGATTTGCTATTTAAACAACACACCACAAAATGTGAAAATTAGGGTTGCTCTGGTGTGAAAATGGCAGCAAATTGCACCAAACACGTCTTGTTACCTGTGATTTATAGTTTACACATTACACATTATACAAATGCAAACTGATTTTCTTTTTTTTTCTACCATGGATGTCAATGAATACTGATTTAATCACCATCAAAAATGTCATCTTTTTTGTTCAACTGAATTTGCATCTTGGAATGGACTATTACTTTAAATGAGTTGTTGAATGCACTTGTCATTCCAAATTTACTGAACTGTGTATATTCAGACAACATCCGAATTCAGCTGCAGTGCGTATGCACCTCTCTACTCATGTACACCTTTCCAAATTGGCTTCATTTCAGTTTGAACTCTTTCAGTTGCAAGCTAAACCCAGTTCTCAAACTAAATTAATGTTTCCGTTCTCCCGACATGACAACATGCAAACAGTAGGAGAGAATTGTTGCGTGCGTCTGTGGTATAATCACACACTGTTTAGGGAATGGTGAAATATGGGATTAATCCCTCGTCAACTCAATCCTCATCTCTTTTTGGACATTCATGCCCAGCAGAGATGAGGACAGGAGGGCATGTGTCCTTACACTGTAATCAGATTAGAGCCGCTGCACATCTGTGTATGGAGGGACAATATTATGTTACTGTGTGGATCACAGAACACTGGCAAATAAGGGTGAGTCAGAGACAAAAGAACAGAACAAACTTCTTTGAGTACAAGCTTACATATTGCCAGCTGTTGTAGATAACAAGGCTACATTTAACCAGTGTCATTTAAATTGATGAGATATGACAGAGCAGTTTTATAATCATTTTTTTATATAGCAAGACACTGAAATGGAAATTCACACAGAAATAAAAATTCTGTTGCTAAAGCTGTCATGGATATCAAGGCTAGCGTTGTTTTGGATTCAATTAATGTTCACAGCACTGCTCTACAAAACATAAATGAAGACTAAAAGATAATTAATTGTGACCCTGGACAACAAAGCCAATCTCAAGTTGCCCACGTATATTTGTAGGAATAGCAAACAATGCATTGTATGATCATTTTTTTAATGCAAAATTTTATGGCAAGAATATTAAATATTGTTTAAATATATATCTTGAAGTGAATAAAAGTAAACATGTTCTATAAAGACATTTGACAAATGTCCTACTGTAAGTATATCAATTTGTATTTTTTGTTTAGTAATGTGCATTGCTAAGAACTTAGTTTGGAAAATTTTCTCAGTATTCTGATCTTTCTTTAACCCTCAGATTTCAGATTTTCAAATAGTCCAGTGCTTCCCAAACAGACTTTACTTGAGAGGGTTGCCCAGGTATATTAACAGCTGCCCAAGTATGGTGATCATTCAAGATCAATTAACCAGTGCAAAATTTTTTCTTCACTTTTTGTACTGCTTGTCGTATGTGTACAAGACCTGTCAATACTCCCATAGACTTATTTGCTCTGCAGACACACAGAGTCGTGCCTTTTGGGCACTTAAAAAATGCATCCGACCGATATTTCTAAATATCTTAAAACGTCTGGGAATCAACTTTTGCTTTTGCTTTTTACAATGTACATCTAAAATGCCTTGGCAATACTGTAGCTCCAAAATGTCATGCCAATAAAGCAACTTGTACTTGAGAGATCAGCTTTTACCTGTCAATGGGTGCACATGGCTCCTAATTATAATAAAAGTAAGAGAAATAGTGGATTTCTTTTTTTTTTAACAGCATTTAAAAAAACTTTAATCCATTGAAAAGAAACAGTGTCATAATAAAGACAATTATAGTAAAAAAAAATACAGAATTTTTTGTTTGTTGCATGTAGTTGACCATTTATGTGCCGTGAGTAAAAGGTGTGTTTCAATTCGGCTACCACCGCAAGTACATTTCAAACTTATGGGAGGCACTATAGTGGATTCTGAACCATATACTGTCATTTCTGTTTACTTAAAATCACATACATCAAAAGAAAACTTAGGACTCAGGAGATTGATACACCTGAATTTCGGAAAATATATATATTCACACATATATATAATGGGGCAAATAAGTAACACATTAAGTTATGTGTAATAAAATGAAACGACACAGAAAAAAGTATTGAACACATGAAGAAAGGGAGGTGTACAAAGGCAGTGAAAGCCCAGACAGCAGCTGAAATCTCTCAGAAGTTCTTCAGCAACCCTCTGTCCTAGTCCATCAGTGTAAATTAAAATTAGCTGCTTCAGTCCTACATCTACAATATACACACACACACACACACACACACACACACACACACACACACACACACACACACACACACACACACACACACACACACACGTCTACTTATTTTTATTTCAATAGAAATTGTAATTTTCTAGAAGTTTGGAATGACGTGTGGTTAATAATTTTAATTTCTGTCTGACTCGTTCAAGCTATTTTTTACTATTTAAAAGTGCATTATAACATAAACATAATTATTGCAACAAAATTTCAGCTGCAGAACAAAATGCTTCAGATATAATAAAATCATAATTAACCTATAAATGATGTAAGCTCTAATTAAAAATGTGCTTGAAATGCAGCAGATGGCTCTTAGCGTCAGCTCTCTCAGTTTGAGACTCATGGCACCTGTACTCACTGGTAATAGTCTGCTTCTTTCACGGCTTCCTCGCACCTCTTCAGAGTTTTGGTGTGCTGGTTCTGCAAAGACTGCAGGTCCGCCATAGCCTTCGTGCACTGCGTTTTCAGACGCTCGTAGTCATGACCAGGTTTGGAATTTGGCCTTTTGGAGACAAGAGCAATTCATCAGCACTGCGTCCCTCAGTCTGCAAGGGCAACTCAATGTTAACTAGGATAACAGTTATGTTTGCATCTTAAGCTCATTCTTTGTGCCTTACAAACAGTGATGAAATGACTGAAATGCTTGAGAATGGCATTATTAATTAAATAAAAGGCTTAAAGAATTAGTTTACACCAAAATGAAATGGCATAAATTCTCTAATTTGAAGTTACCTGTTACAAATGTTTCGAAACACAAATGAGGATAATTTTCACTCAAATCTAAGGGATTACTGTCCCTTCATTAATTATTTATTAACTTTTTTTTTTACTTTTGCTTTATATAAAAATTTGTATAAAAATATAATACATCTGCTAGAATATTTAACAATTATGACACAAAAAACATTACTAGGGGCAGCAAAGTTATCTTTTTAAGAAAAAATTCACCAAAAAAAGTTTAATGGCCTGTTTCCACTGAGTGGTACGGTACGGTTTGGTCCAGTTCGGTACGCTTTTATGGTTGCTTCCACTTTTAAAAGGTACTAAAAAGTGAACCCTATCATACCACTTTGTGAGTACTTAGGAAGGGTCCCTAGCAAGACAAAAGGGTACCAAAAGGCAGAGCTAGATACTTAACTGAATACTATTAGTTTTCAGAGAAACGTCAACAGCTCATACACAAGCAGAAAAATGAAAACAAAGAAAGCACCATTTTTAAATACACAGCCGAGACCTTACATCGTAATAATATGTACATATAATAATGACCCATGGTCCACCCGAGCTTAAACAAACCTTGTCATCTTCTTGATGAACAGCCACAAAGCCAAAAAGAAGAGCAGAATCTACCCCATGCACCATAGTTGTTTACAAGGCCGCCAAAAGCACTAGCGGTTTTACTTTCTCGTATCTATATTGGAAATAACAAACTTCTTGAGCTGATGATATTAACATGTGCGTGACTATTGAAGTGCTTCTGACATTCGATCCTTTCGAAAATAGACAAATGTGAGAGCGAAGAACAAAAAAACAAAGGAGCAAATGATTCTTTCAGCAACCTAAAAGATGAACAAACTGCCATGTTTAATTATTATCATCGCCATTTGGACTATTAGGAACTTGGAATGACGGAATTACTTTCTAACCAGAGATTACATACGCTGGTAATGATTAAAGATACATATGAAAGGTTTGCACTGACTGTGGTGGACTATATGTTGCGTGTTGTTTTTGAACATAAATAAGGACTAAATGTATGTTGTGTGTAGTTTATCCGTAATTGGTAACATATCAAAACTATAAGGGTCTGTATGTGTTCATGTATGTTGCATTAATTTATTTATTTGTTTTATTTAATCACAGACATTACAATAACTGATTTCATTGATTTGCAGTTATAATCAAATCATGTTCATAGAAAGGTTAGTAATGAACATTTGAAGTATTTATGTGTATAAAGCATCTGTTTTGTGAGAAGTGCTTCTCATACGATATGTGAATGACCCGTACAGCTTCACTTTAACATTTCCTCATGCAAGAAGGCGATGACTGAAAATTTCTGTTGTACACATTACGCCCACTATTGGTAGTTTCCCTTTTGGCAGTGGAAATGCAGACCTGATACAGGTGACCCGTACTATACCTTACTGTACTATACCACTCAGTGGAAACAAGCCATTAATGACCCCATACTTTTCTGACCGTAATATATTGACATATATATTTAATATAAAAATCTGCATTTTTTTGTTTGACTGACATTACCTAATTATACTGTACCTTTTAAACAAATACAGAAAATATGCTTAAAATTGCATGGACATTGCAGCTGCATTAATTCTGCCAGACCCCTAATAAGATTTGATCTGAAGTAAGATCACAATACATATATGTGAATAAAAGTCTAACATAAATCCCATAAAGTGACTGTGCCACTTCAAACAAACTTGGATCTAATTAATACAGTTTTATTAATAACTGAATCATCATGGAGTTGCATGATTAGACTTTCAATTGAGGCACAGAAATCTTTTGGAATTGATTAAACTATCTTAAATTGTTTACAGATTTGAAACTTATGGAGATAATTTTCTGGAGTAACATTGCCCATAAACATGTATTTGATTGCCTTGCCTAGCCTTATCTATTCTTATCGACAAGGGTTGATAGGTGCAGCATTAGTCAGGTGTCAGTATAAAATTCAAAACCACTACATAATTAATCAGAAAGTCAAACAAGAACCAGTACACAGTGGTTAATAAGTAACGCTGCTTCTAGCAATAGACACAGAGGTGCTTCTCTGTTTACAAATATGGCAAGTCATAAATTACATGCCTCAGCTAAACACTACACTGTAAAACCTGACAAGGTAACTCTTAACTGTTTAAGGAAACCAATTGTGGCAAACTATTTAAGTTTTGAAACAAAATTGTTTGAGTACTGTAAACTTATATACATTGAGTCACATACACATATATTATTGGTGTTGATAACATCAAAAATTTAGAGTATTCATAACTTAAACATTCTAAGATCAGTTATCAAATCGGGGGAGTTAGGTTCAGTTAATAGAACAAATTAAGTCCACACAACTATCAGCTGCTCAAATGATTTGGTATTACTTCTAGCATTAACAATATATAAATAAATTCATATAAATAAATAATTCATTCATAACTCATTCGGATTGAGTTCTGCTTAATATATTCACTTTGAATTACCACAACTCTTCATTAAGTCAAAGTAACTCTTTTTAATTGTAAGTTAAACTAATTTATTTCACTTAATGATTTTTACTGTTTGTGGATTTACAGTGTAGCAAAAATAATTTAATGGCCATTTTAAAGTAGTGTTGGTACCGGCAGTCATCAAAGGTGGTGCCAGGAGAGGCGAGAGCCAAGCGCTTGCGAAGTTCGTCCCTTTCCCTGGTGACCTGCTTCAGCTGGAAGAGGATGGTGTCCAGACTGTCACTGGCCGGCCGGGTGTCACTGAGCGCAGGTGGAGGTGATGAAGCTTTGGTACCTGCAACAGTGAGCACGTCACCCGAGCACAGACAAGCTCACCCTGCACTAATGCAGGGTTATGGTCAACACAGATCACTCAAAACAAACTAATTTGGCATATGAAAATGTGCCATTAAAACCATACAAATATGACGAAGTCACAACTAAATATTTTTGGATAATATAAATTAATTTTCTAAAAATCAGGAAAAAAATAGGGGAGGTTTTAAGAGGTGAATCCCCAGTAACTCATTTAGAGAAATATACAATTTGGCATACAAATCAGTGGAAGTTTTAGTTAAAATTGATTCCAAAAAGTTGAAATTAAATACAATATACACACATATATTGGGTAAAATCCACTTTCATTTTAGCTGAATATACACACATATATCGGTCAAAAGTTTGGGGTTAGTAGAATTTTTAAATGTTTAAAGCTAAGCTTCTCCTGCTCACCAAGGCTGAATTTATTTAATTAAATATACAGTACAAATTGTAAAATTGTGAAATGTTATTACACTATAAAATATCTGTTCAAAAGTGGTTTAAAATTTAAAATAATAATTTATTCCAGTGATTTTAATGATGAATTTTCAACTTCATTACTCCTGTCTTCAGAGTCACATGATCCTTTAGAAAGCACTCTAATATAAATTATTATCGTTATTATTATTAATATGATTATTATTATTGGTAATAGTAATAAAAGCAATAATGACTGAAATAATCATTTAATTTGAAACTATATACAATAAGAAAGCAGTCATTTTAAAATTTAATAAATATTTACAAATTAAAAAAAAAAATTTACATGTAAATATGTGAATAATATGTGAATGATGTTTGCACATGCATGGAGTATGGGGTTGGGGCGAGTGAAATTGGCATAAAAACAACAAAACAAAAAAATTGAACAAGGGCTAAAGAAGGCGAACTAACTAACTAAACTAGTTATATAAAAATATCTTTATGTATTATTATCTAGTTATTTATTGGGCCAGCGAATTACAGTACTGCATACAAACAGAATTGCACATAATGCCAGTTAGAGACTAAACCATTTTTAGCTTAGCACAGCATCAAATTACAACAATGTATGCAAATATTTTTACTTCTTGTACTCGAAGTGCTTGAAATCATTTCCTTCTCTGAAGTGATGCAAGAATAATGTTTGTGCTGTCAAATGATCAATCATGTTCAACAGCGTCCAAAATAAAAATGTGTATTTACATAATATGTGTGTGTTCTGTTTATGTTTATTATGTGTTAATACACACAGATACATTAAATACAAAAATATTAATATTTAAAAATGTTTAAAAACAAATATTTGCATAAATATTATTTATTATTTACAAATAAACCTCAAATATACACACCCATTTATATCTATAAAAAGCAGCACAGACACATTATGTAAATGCATACTTTTATTTTGAATCATTTAAAAGCACTAATTAGTATCTAGCATACTGACAGGCAATAATATTGAAATATTTTTCTGCTTCATTATTAGAGTAATACTGTGTATTGTGACATCCCTACTTTCATCTAATGTTTATTTTAATAAAAAAAATTCAGTGACCAAGATTTAGTTCAATAGAACATGGTAAAAATAACATCAATCATTTTATTTTCAGAGCAGAGATTTACCACAGAACTGAAAAAACAGCACTTAAAATGAAATCTGACCTTTAAAGCTTGACTGTTCTAAAAAAAAAACTGCAGAGCAAAACAAAGCCGCATAAATAATCATAGGGAAAAAATGTGAAAATGCTTGAGGTCACAATGGCAGACATTCTGAGCACTTTATGTAAATGATTATCTTTTGGGATGAGCAGCAACTAAAATTCCACTATAATCTTTTGGTCTCAGACAATCTGCTGCAGATATTCAGAGAATGAACTCAGCTTTATCCAGCGATAAAGAGGATCACCTCTATTAAAGTCAAACGCAACGTAGAGCGCATATATTTGTCAAGATGTCATTTCATTGTCTTTCCAGGGATTTATTGGAAGATGTTTACATGCAACATGTGAATAAATAATGCATATGTGTTTTTCCAAACAGTTTACAGGCTTGAAAATCTACAAAACTGATTAATTCAGGAGTAAAATATATATTTTATAGACTCAAACATGAGGATAAAAAAGCCTGATCGGGACATCCATAATTATTACTATTATTATTATTATCATCATCATTATTATTATTAGCACTCTCTCCTAATTTCTTTCAGATTATTCCCTTTTTTATTAGAGGTCGCCACAGTGTAATTAAATGTGTAAATTCATCTTTATTTCTATAGCGCTTTTACAATATAGATTGTGTCAAAGCAGCTTAACATAGAAGATTATAGTAGATTGAAACTATATATATATATATATACATACACATATGTATGTGTGTGTGTGTGTGTGTGTGTGTGTGTGTGTGTGTGTGTGTGTGTGTGTGTGTGTGTGTGTGTGTGTGTGTGTGTTTACCATAACTGTACCATTTGTGACCTTGACTATGATTAATTTTATTTAATTATTTTTATTTCTATCATTCTATTACTGTACTTCAATACTGTTAGATTTATTTCAATTGTATCTTTTTCTTGATTATATATACAGATTGTTATGCATGAAAATACTGATGAAAATGTTATATCTGTGTCTGTTCTAATCGCAGATTTTGGAATTGTACCCTCATAAAATTACGACTACATTCCGTTTTCCTTTACGACATTATATTATAACGGATGCGTGAATTTTATTTACGCACAAAATATTTATGACAGTGATTTTATTTCATATCTAACAATATTGCGCAGCCCTAGTTCCAAAGCAGCTTTACAAAAAGGTTACTACTACACTTAAAATTAGACAGGTTAAGGAATTCTGTAACCAGCAGCCTGCAAGTTTAAAAGTGTGATGTTCATGTGTAAAATACATGAAAAGGCCCTTTGCTGACATTTTCAACTTCATCTCAAGCCCACATTTCTCCTCCTCAGACACAAGCAGGGAGTAAGCATTATGGGTATCTTTGGCACAACATGCTGGTCCCTCTAGAAACTGCTATGCGAAACTGCCAAGTCATTTGGACGACAGTCAACCTGAGAGCACATTCTCCACTGGCACCAAACCAGGAGAAAGGGGCTCTGCCTCCAGACGCAACTGCCATGCCCTCCAACACTCATTATTACCACTCATCTGAGCCTTCAGTCTCATATGAGTGACTTACAAATGCATCACTCACACACACCCACCCACATGCATTATGGACATTGTTGTGGCAGTGTACTAAGTGTCAGCGGTGGATGGTCAATTAAGAATGGATGGTTTTGTGGTAATTATTGGGATACTGATATCATTGACCATAATTCATTTCTATACTCCAACAGAAAAAAAAGTCCTCAGAGCTATTTCAAATGTCTCTGTCATTGTTTTTTAAACAATTACATTTGATTTACTAAAGTTGCACAAATGCCAATTTTAAATCTGTCACATAACCAAGCTTTTTCTTCATATATTCAAAAACTATTAAATAAAATCAAATCAAATATTTTTGTTCTAAAGTGAGCCACCTCATCTTTTTCATAAGCATTATTTCTTTTCAGTTGTGCAGTTAAATTAATAAAATTCTTTACAAAGCATGTTGTATACTGTAAACACGCATACTTTTTTGGTCACATCTATAACACATGTTTGTTTTTCTCATTTAAAATACAAAAATGTTTACAGATTGATATATTTCTGATCCTATAACTCTGTGGTTAATTGTTTTGCAAAATATAAGCATATGTTTCAATATAACATAGTTTCTCTTTGTATTTAAAGCAAATGTCTCATCCAGGGGTGCGTTTCCCAAACAACAACATAACTTGTGGCTAAACTATCATAGTACAATGCATTGTTTGGGAAAACAACGATGTGGTAAAGAGTATTTCCCAAAACCGTAGCTATTTAGTCGCAGATCCATTGTTTTAACCATGTTAGTTATAATGTAAAACGTCCTTTATGATACTCTAAATGGGGTGGAGTAACAACCTCTTTAAAGAAAAAAAATAATAATTTCTTTGTCCAAACTATATTGTTTTACACAAACATGCATTTAAAAAAACACTAAGTTTGGTAAAAACATGCACTCATTTTCCATATTAATTGACCCTTCGCTAAGTGACACCTAAAAAACGCCATCCACCAATCTTGGCTTAGCAACCGTAGCTACGCGCAGGGGCTCTGACAAGCTTTCGAGTGAGGGAAACAGACCAAAGCGTTGTGCATATGGATTGTGCAAATCTGATACCCAGTATACCTAAAGTTTGGACGGGATGGTGGAATTTTTTTCCCTTTTCAAAACCAAAAACCCAAGAGGAGAAATGCAGGTTATGTTTCACAGCTGTCTTTTGCTTTTTTTGCTCTCTATATTATGAGCTCTGCTCTATTTAAGCCTTCGCCATAGTAACTTAGTCATACTAATAGCGAATAGGTCATAATTCATTCATACATTCATTTTCTTGTCGGCTTAGTCCCTTTATTAATCTGGGGTCGCCACAGCGGAATGAACCGCCGACTTATCCAGCACGTTTTCCCTTCCAGCTGCAATCCATCTCTGGGACACATCCACAAACACTCAGGCCCCGTTTACACTAATGCGTTTTCGTTTTAAAACGCGTAAGTTTTGCTACGGTTACGCCATCCGTCCACACTACGCCAGAGTTTTCGAGCGTCGAAAATGGATCGTTTTGGAAACGCTGGAGAGGCCATTTTTATTGTAAAACGCTGCTGCTCTGTCTCAGTGTGGATGGGGGAAAACGGAGAAATCTGAAAATGGAGGCGGGGCTGCCAACATTCGCCTCTCTGATTAGGGCTTTTCCTCAATATTAAGTAGCCCACACCCACAGTTCATTCTTGCATGCTCTTCTTGTAAGTTCTGACTTCGCAAGTTTGATCAAGGCTGCAGTCTCTTCTTCTCAGTTTGATATGAAAAACAGACTACCGAGGACATGGGTAAATCTTCAAAGGGAACAGTGTACTGTATAACTTCATTCACATCACCCTGGCTACGTTGTTTCACTTTCTCAACAATAAAATGAAAACATGATTTAAGGAACTGCCTATTTTCATTTTGATATTAGCAACTTAACAGACAGCAGAAATATTGAGGCGTTGTGCTGCATATATGAGCGTCGTCTTCACTGTGTAGATATTTATAACAAAACGGAGTCTATAACATCACTACCTCCTTTTAATTTCAGTGAAAATATGAAACACACCCTCTCTTTTGCTGAATATCAGTTTTAATAATCAATAATGGCCATTGTAAAAGTATAACATACAATAAGTTTATACATTATTGGAAATAAAGGCAAGCAATCAGTCAATATACAGAATGTAGGCTATGTGGTGATTAACTATTAACTTATCTTTGCGCTTAGCCAAAACACGTTACCTGAGAACAAGTAATAGATTCCAATGACCAAAGTCGGGGAATATGTTGTTAGATAAAGACAACAAGCTGAATAAAATATCACGTTTAATAAATATAGTGAGATTAGATCCAGCGGGAGATGCTTGATGAGCAGTCCGACAAGCAGAGCTCTCATCTGGGTAGATAGGCTGCATCACTTGCCCGAGAGTGTGTGTGTGTGGTCACATGATGTGCGTTTTCAGCGTTTTGGTGTGGACGGAGAGCTGTTCAGAAAGGTGGGTGAAACGCTAGTGTGAACGTGGATCGTTTCCATTCTAAAATGTACTAGTGTAAACGGGGCCTCATTCATACACACATTCACTACGGACAATTTAGCCTACCCAATTCACCTGCACCGCGGGTCTTTGGACTGTGGGGGAAACCGAAGCACCCGGAGGAAACCCACATAAACGCAGGGAGAACATGCAAACTCCACACAGAAACGCCAACTGAGCTGAGGATTGAACCAGCGACCCAGCGGCCTTCTTGCTGTGAGGCAACAGCACTACCTGCTGTGCCACTGCTTTGCCCATAGGTCTTAATGACATTTGATATTGTCCCGGCAAATAGGAATCTGCAAATCTGTTGCTAACTTTACTGAACTTCATATTTCCATTTGTTTCAAGCTACGCATATTTAAAATTACAACTCAACAGAACAAAACAAAACTGAGCACTTGCGATCAATATACTTTATATATAAACTATATACTTTATACATTACCCCCAGCTGTTTTTCAGTCATTTATAACGAGCAAACAAACATACTGACAGTAATAGGTAACTTACTGTATATTGTTATGGGTCAATGATGCTAATATTCAGCACAAATCCATCAGTTTCCCCTTTCTGGCTGTTCTTTCTATGAATGAATGATGTAGAAGCACTGTCCATGCATGTTTCCTTGTCGATTAATAACGCTATATTTCATTGCACAACAATTAATCTTTCATGCTTTTTCATGCTGGTTAAAAATAGAGAAATCACAGTGTAATTTGTTATTATTAGATTATTTTTAAATTTTACCTCTCCTGCTGAGCATGAGCTAAGCTGTTGAATGGTCAGCGTATGAGGCGGCTAGGCTGAGCTAGCTTCAATTTTGATTGAATTATTATTCGGTTGCCTATTATGTGGGGAATATACCCCGGTAATGCATACTGCAGTGCTTTTTTGTCTGGATTTCTCGGATATCTCACCTGTTTGCTAAAAATGACATTATATCCCTGGCAATGTCTGAAACTGGTGCATGCAAAATGTAAAAGCCGTGCCAGGCACGAACGCTTGACAGGTGTAGCAACAGTAACTAAGGAGGGCGGGGCTTAGCGAAGGTTCAATTGAAAAATATATAAACGACACACACCTGTTTCCTTTACAAATATTATTGAGAGTATTCCATATTCGATTCTAAAACATAAAACCACTTAGCTAACACGCATTTTAATCTCGTAAATAAACAATATAAACCGTTAATAGATGTAATTTACAGAAGGCCATTTATGAAGAAATCCTACCTAATAATAATTTTTGTTATTGTTATTTTATTTTATTATTATAAAGTAGGATCTTGTTTCTTTATTTATTTTTTATTGATTGTAAACGTTTACTTTTACAATTTGACATTTTCAAACCAATATATATAATTTTTTTTCACATGCTTTGGAGAAGTAACGTAAATTCTGCTTTTAAATAATAGGTCAACCCATCGTCATGAGCCACAGCTGTGTTCAAAATGGCAAAAATGTTTTCAAAGTGCACTACGATGTGAGCGCAATTGTTAATATGAAGATCACTAAAACTTAACTGTTAAAAAAATACTTGGAAAGCTTATTACACCTAAGAGAGATGACTTTAATGTTTTTTTTTTTAATTATTGCATGTTTAAGGGCTCTATTTTGACGGTCCATGCGCAAAACGGAAAGCGCAGGGCGCTAACGCTTTCAGGGCGTGTCAGAAAATCCATATTTGCTAATTTAAGGACGGGAAAACCTGGTTTGCGCCGTGGTGCATGGTCTAATAGGGTTGAGTTTAATTTCTTAATGAGTTATAGGTGTGTTTTGAGAATAAACCAATCAGAGTCTCATCTCCCAATCCCTTTAAGAGCAAGCTGCATCACGCCATAAGCGCATTTGCTATTTACAGGACGTAAAGTAAGTGTAAGTGAAAAAACTGAGCATTTCACAAGCAAACAGTTAACAGTTTTTTTTTTTTTACAGAAAACAGTTAAACAGAGCATCTACTGCGCAAGAATGAGAGATAATAGATCTACTTTCACTTTCGCTCTTGGATAGGGAAACCTTTACGCACAGACATCAATTAGTCTATAAATAATTAATTTTGTTTGTTAAAATTAAGACTAAAACTACTTCTAAATTCAGTTCTATTTTCCAGCAAACGAATAAATGAACAATAATAACGAAGTGTGTTCAAAAACCTGAGTTATATCCTAATACACATGCTGTGCTCCATATGGTCTAAAACCTGCAGGTGGGCAAATCTAAGCTTGTTTTTAATAAAACAAATATAAATATGGATATAATAAACAATACTGCTAATAATAATAGCATTATACAAAAGCAAATTGTTATGAATGAACTGAAAAAGCCTCCTGAGATGAAGAGGGCAAAAAAGGGTATAGGGAATAGGGCATAACTTGAAATAGAACACAGCCAGGAACCATGCTTCTAACTACAGCAGGTGTAGCTGCAAGTGTACAGGTTTGCGACACAGTTTGCGAATGTTCGTTGGAATGATGGATTTGGGAAACACCAAATCAATGAACTATGTTTGTAACAATGCAATTTGTGACCTTAGTTGGCTAACAGTAGTTTTCGAAAACGCATCCCAGAATGCTGGAATTGCTCCTCTTTATCTTTAAAGAGAAATTATTAAATGTTCTTTTTTTAACCAAAACTTGTGTGCACACTGATAATATAGTGATAATATTGGGAACAGAGCAAGGTTTTATAAGCGTCACCTGTGTGTCACACCCGTTCAAGTCCAATAGAGAAGATCCAGAAGGATAAAATGAAAAGTGTAACAGAGCAAGACAAGTGGTAACCAGGGCTAGAGATGGTGTTTGTGTGTGGGGCATTCACCTTTGATTTTGGTTTATTGTAAAGGCTGATTCAAAACAACTGAAACAACCTTGAAAATATGCCAACTGCCAAGTATTCTAATAACTTTGGCCACTGTATATTTCCACTGTATATGTCCGAGTATCTGTAAATATATGTATTTATTTTATTGTGTTATTTAAAATGAGTATAATTTATTGTATTGAGTTTAATTTAATAAGTCTTACAGAATTATTTTATATTACTTAATTGAAAAAAATATTTAAACAAATATTATAAATACAAAGTATTTTTGGTTTTGTTTTTTTCGGGTAAGTACATCCAGAATTTTAAGTTGTTGTTTTTTTTCAGTCCAGATCTTTCAGCCAAATCTTTTTTAGTTCATATATCACGCTAGTTTTGGAAAAACTAAAAATCCTTTACAAAAGGATTTTGGAGAAAAGCCATATCAGTACATGTCTATATTGTAAACAAACTCACACACGTTAAACAGTATCACATGTGATACTGCAGTACATTTATATATCAGACTGTATTATTCAGGAACAACTAATTCCTATCATATAGAGAATTTGTACATTTCTGAATACAATATGTGAAGGATGAGAGCTGAAACATACCAACACTGCTTAGGGAGCTGCTGCTCTCCGAGTCTGATGGCATTGTGGACAGGACACTGTATGTGGACCCTGCAGATGACAGAAAACACACATTAATTACTCAGCACTGACCATTACAGGCCTTTAATTAAGAAAATGTTCTAAGCTGGCATTAAAGTAGCACTTCAGAAAATAGAGAATAAATCATCTGCAACCTTATGCATTACATCCGAGCATTTATTGATGAAATGATGAGGTTGTTTTAAAAGATCTTTTATTGCTTATTTTACACATTCACAATGTGCTTCTCAACATAGTTTATGCAGAGAGGGTTAACCACACTATTTTGGTAATACTTTACAAAAATGTTATATTATTCATTAATGTTAATGTATTTACTAACAAATTATGAAATATGAATTTATTAGTATTTACTTATATTTGTCTATTTAATGGAAATAAATTTTCTCATTGTTAGTTCGTTAACTCGATTAACTAATTGTCACCTTGGAATTATAAGGTTCTATCTGCGTTCTGAAAGATTTTGAGAAGTTAAGCTTCAAAGTTTTTGCATTCCATAGCAAACAGTATGTTTGTAACGTTTGTTTTTTTAAATAAAAAATCATAAAATTCAAACAACTTCTAAAAAAAACATCCCATAATGTAAAAAAGTTGACATTTAATAAGAATTTGTCGACAAAATTTTTGTCAAAAATGTCAGATAGAACCTTACAATTCTAAGGTGACGTAATGTTAACAAGCATGAGTTTTAATTTTAATAGTGCATTAGTAAATGTTAAACTATGATTAATAAATGCTGTACAAGTATTGTTCATTATTAGGTCATGTTAGTAAATACATTACCTAACATTAACTAATGAAACCTTATTGTAAAGTGTGACCATAATTTTCAATATTCGTTCTTAAGGTGAGCCTCATAAAGCCCAGGAAAAAATGACAAGGTATTAAAAAATTATATTAAATAATTTAGCATATATGTATACAAAAAAATGTATAACAAATATGCTATCATTACAATAATTATAAAGTGTTTTAATACAATTAACCTATTTTTTTTTATAACAACAATAAATGGAACATAAGTCATGTGTAATACTATTTATTTTCTTATCATTAGCAGGAAATTTGTCAAATTTGTTCAACAAAATCTTGAACTTACTACCAACTATATATAATATAATAAAAAAAAAGCAAAATTATCAATTAAAAATCAATAAATTATATAATAATGATGATACATATGTAGTGGTCCCTCGGTATTCAAGGAAGTTACGTTTTAAAAATAACCCGCAATAGGCGAAATCTGTAAAAGTAGTCCGCTTTATTGTTTACAATTATTCTAGATCAGGGATGGGCAAACTTGATCCTCGAGGGCCGGTGTCCCTGCAGAGTTTTGTTCCAACACTAGTCAAACACACCTGAACATGCTAATCAGTGTCTTTAAGATCACAAGAAATCTATAAGCAGGTGTGTTTGATTAGGGTTGGAGCTAAACTGTGCAGGACACCGGCCCTCCAGGACCGAGTTTGCCCACCCCTGTTCTAGATGTTTTAAGGCTGTAACCTCACTACACACTATATAAACTTTTTTTTAGACAGACATTAACATTTTACCACATTTGTCTCTTATTTAAACACTGCCAAAGTGCAAAACGTTGTAGAATAATAAGTCCAGTATTATAAAATGAAACCAAAGACCAAATCCATTTGATCTTCATTTATTTATTTCGTAATGGTGCCCTAAAGCTGCGTAACTTCTCCCCTCTTTTAGCATGTCCAGAGGTTCAACTTTTTTATAAGTGCATTATAGCGAGGGATCACTGTACAATTTTGTATAGTTAATACTATCTTGTTACAACTATTTTTTAATTATTATCGTGTTATATCGAGGGATCCCTGTACTATATTTGTATAGTTAATACTATACATTTGTTACTACTATTTTTTAATTTTGTGTTATAGCGAGGAATCACTGTACTATATTTGTATAGTTAATACTATCATTTTGCTACTACTATTTTTAAATTATTATTGCGTTATAGCGAAGGATCACTGTACTATATTTGTATAGTTAGTACTATCATTTTGTTACTACTATTTCTAAATTATTATCGTGTAATAGCAAAGGATCACTGTACTATATTTGTATAAATAATACTACAATTTTATTATTACTACTTTTATTATTATCCTTGTTCTTATTAATACTAGTAGCAGCATTATTAATTAATAACAGTTAATATGCCTCATTTAACTTTTACTGTTTAAACAATTACGCACCAGTAAATGTTTCTACATTTTCAGAAATCTCTGCAAACACTGAATTTTAAAAAATGATCTTAAAACAGAACATCAGACAAGCTCAAAACACATAAAAACCCACATAACCAAATCAACTATACTGAGTATTCCAAATTGTGTTAGTGTGAAAAACAACTAAGTGCATAATCAAATATGAATAAATATGAACTGGATAATTGAATCCTGGAGATTCTTTGCAGCACTTCCACTGCAGGGCTCGTCCTCATAATGAGCAGAGTGTGTGATGACAAGGACACGCTTCATTATCACTGGCCTGACTACACACACACACTCGTGCACACACATTCAGCCTGGAGAAGATCACAGCCACTCGGATCTTCCTTCACTCTCTTATCACATCATCCGAGACACAAGTCAGCTTCAGAAGAGCAACTTCAGCATAAGACTTCAGTGTCTCTCGTATAGCCTGAAATAACTTCAGGGTAGTGATGATTTGAGAGCAAGCGCTACAGTTTTTTTTTTCTGCTGGGGTGAAAGGCAGAAAGAATAAATAGATATTGCACAATGTCTGAAAGCAGACACAGAGTCCTGCAAGTCCTGTATATAAAGTGGCTTCAGAAATAGAAAGCAAGGCTTTTAATGCACTTTTAGCAGAAGGTACTTTGCAGTGAAAAGATGGGTAGAGGTGCATTGACATGGAGTGATGCATCAATGATTCAATGGTTATAGAGAACAAATTCAGTCAAAACATTTAAAAGCCTCAATAGACTCACAAGTAAGTTGTTTTTCCATTCTTCGCTTAGGGGCAAAAAGAAGTTAGAAATGTTCATTTGAGTGGGTTGATGTTGGGAAACAGAAAGAGAGATTTTTTTACACATTTCTAAACATAATAGTTTTAATAATAGTATTTCAAATTAAAAACTGCTTTTATTGTAGTCGAAATGAAACATTTGAAAATATATATATATTAGGGGTGTAACGATTTATTGTTGTACGATTTATTGCGATGCAAAAATGTCACAATATGCATCGTGGCGTTATGACGATTTGATTACGATTTGACGTCCGTTTTCTCTTATTAGTTGAGCTGTTTGCACGTGAGCTACGTTCCACCTGCTGTCGCACGTGAGTTCAGATTGCAGCAGCAGTAATGTAAGCAGACCAAGATGAGTGGAGCTGAAATAGAGGATGGCCCATCCTCTCAAAATCAGACGTCTGGCAACATTTCGGTTGTACAGTCATTGCTTTAGACTCGTCCGCTTTTTGACACGCATACTGGGTCAAACATCCTAAGTTATAAAGTCTTCACAGTGATTTACATACTTTGCACAGCGACATGGATACCTTCTAATGCTGTTAAAAGAGTCACATACTGTATTTATAAGGTACAATTCACCCTAAAATATCATTCTGTCTTCATATAATGATGTATTGGCGGCCGCAAAATCACACATGACGTGAGCTGACCGTGAGCTGTTACTACAGAGGGCGGACTGATAGACGCGCGTATGGCAAGCCGTTTTAGCATTTAAACGTTTGTTCTGACTATCCATAAATATATTTAGAGATATCTCTAATTATATTTTGACTAGTCATAATTATAATTCGACTAGTCAGAATGACAATTAGAGATATCTGCAATTACAATTGTACTAGTACGAAATCAGATTGGAGATATCTGCAAATATATTATGACTAGTCATATTCCTCCATTGACTTCCATTGAAAAATATTTGCAGAAATCTCTAAATGAGTTTTGACTAGTCACAATTGTAATTAGAAAATATCTCTAAATGAATTTAATTAAATATGAATTAAATATATTTATGGATAGTCAGAACAAAGGTTTAAATGCTAAAACGGCTTGCCATACGCGTACGTCTGCTTTAGTAAACAGAACCTGCAGGTTGTGACTAATAAAGTAGTAAACAACATTCAGTTTGTGGAACAGAGTGATCTTTCAGGAGCCGCGTGGGAAATATGAACAGCACTTAGCAGTGGAAATCAAACCGAAAACTTACACATTATTTAAACAATTATATCGCATTTTAGAGTTATGATTACGACGAGCATTAACCCTTTTGAGTACAGAGGTACACAAAAATGCACGTCAACATGATACACTTGATAGCGCCGACATCAGCGACGCCGAAGAAATAGTAAACCTGCCTAAACTGCTGAAAAGAGCCACGACTGTCCTGTGTAATAAAAAGACGGCCACCCTGTCACTCATCATGCCCAACATGAAGACAGCCATCCATAAAAACCTTCCAGACAGATACACATCAGTTTAGGATTATCTTATAGAACTGCTGATTACCTGGAAATGTGGATTGCACACACAAAAAACGCAAGTGACCAAGCAAAGCCTTAAGCTCTTACTGTTAAATTCAATTGAATAGAAAGCTTATTTTTTTGCACCTTTACTTAAATTGTTCCTTAATTTTGTCTCTGTCATTTTAATAATATTTTTTAAGAAGTTTTTAAATTGTTTTATTTTCCAGAGACAGGCCTGTTTAATTTATTTTCTTAAAGAAGGTTCAGTTTAACAAGTTGAAACAAAAGAAATGCATAAAAAATTGTTTACTTGGTAATATTTGCATTTCAGTTTAATTTTCAATTTTTATTCCAAATATCGTGATACATATCGAATCGTGAACATTATATTGTGATACACATCGTATCGTGAGCTGAGTGTATCGTTACACCCCTAATATATATATATATATATATATATATATATATATATATATATATATATATATATATATATATATATATATATATATATATATATATAATCAGATA